TATCGCCCACAGCTCGTCGCTGTAGGCTCTCAGCCAGGAGACCCTCAAGGGGATTCCTTATTTTGGTTGTCTATCTTTGTCATTGGCGTGCCGTGACAGCAGCACAAGAGATGCTGAAGGGCAAAACAGATGTTGTTTGTGCCATATTGACAGTCAGACAGGAAATATATTGGCATTCTGAATGCCTCTGCTATTCTGGATGACAGCATGAGAAAATAGATTGAACAAAGCACTCAGATTTCTCGAGTGAGCATCAAGGTAATGTGCACTTAGAATGCAGTGCTACGGAAACTCATTACAAAAATGGCAATATTGGGTGTCTCGTGATTGCCCTATTGGGGTGGTTGTCAGCCACAGCACCGATGTTTACTTTTGTTTTCTCCCAGCTGCTGTAGGGAGTTGGAGGGGAAATAAGAGTTAGGAGTTCGAAATTAGTGATCGCATCATGATCGAGCACATGGCCGATCGGTCTAGGATGTGGCACCGTGTACCCTCCCTAGGACGGGGCCCCCCAAACTCCCGAAAGCGAGATGGGAAGGAGCCTGCGATTACTGAAGCTTTGATTAAGGGCTGTCTGATAGCCCAAGAGTGTGCATTTTCTTGCTCTTCCGCCGAGGCGGTGCCACGGACGGTGATCGCAATGGCCCCGGGAACGCCCCTCGCCAAGGCTGCCACGACCACGTGCTCACCCGCCCGCCGTGCCGTCCCTATTCGTGTCGCCCGACCGCGTATAATTCTCCTCACGATTTGTGGCCCACCCTCGCGTCGACTATCGCGGCGTCGAGTTAGTTCTGGCTCACCTCACACATACACTCTCTGCGCTATATTCAGCACCAAACACCAGTTCGCATGATGGTGTTCGGAAGAGTCATCCACTATGCTGTCGACGCGGTCCTTCTTTCAACTGTCGTCGCGGGGGTACGTCGATCCATCGGTATCACGTATGTGTGTTCATCTTGCCTGCCTTTACTGTCAGCTAAGTCCGCATACACGCGGTACGTGCATTCAGGCCAACTACGGACATGATCGAGGACCAAACCATCCGTAACGCCGCGGAGCGCTACCTTGGCATTGGAGAGACGGTATTCGACCTTATCCAAGGCTCCGCTGTCAATAGCAAGTATTTCAAGCGCGACCCGCGGCCTTAGGCTTCCTCTCTACTCATGTCACATTTCTCAGAGGGGCACAGAAGGAAGGATCAGTCGGGATTGTTGTGAGAGGAGGGTCATGGAGGAGAAGACGACTGGCGCGTCAGTTGTAATCTATCACTATTCGGATTTCGAGCTTGTGCGTTGTATCTCTACGCTCACCTCACCTCTTGCCCTTCACCGAAAGTTCGTCAGCATGCATACCCTGTGGAGGCAGCATGCACATGCACAGAGCTTGCTGGAGGTAAGGATCGCTGTTTTGTGCCTCTGTGGTTTCCAACGAATGGGTTAATAGCAGATGCTCACAACGCACGCTGAGCGAGGTTGCAGAGATTGTATTGCAAGGACGTGTACTTTTCGAGGTGATGACCGACGGCGTACTTGGTGGGGAAGCGAATCAGTATGAAGGCTTTGCATCGCGAGAATGTGCACGGGGGATGTAATTGGAATACAGCATGTATGCATGAGTATATAGCGTCTCTGTTGAAGAGTTGCAACGCAAGGTACTGAGCTGGGAATCCGTCGTGAGCAGAGACTAGATCCGATCGTATCCTCCTCAACATCCGAGCCGCAGCGCGGTCCACACGCGGAGAGCAGTCCCAAACGCCCTCCTTCATCCGGTCGCAGCGTGGGCTCCAGACACGAGCAGACTTCGTGAACGTGTCATTCGAATTGATCATCCTCAGCAGCACCGAACAAGCCCAGGAGACCGATCGCCTCATCTGCAAGACTCTATGGAACATGATGAAGGTGTTGCCGAGCCGCGTAGTAGGGCGGACAATGTTGCTATCGTTGGCGATGCTCATCAGAAAGTGAACGGGGAAGAGAGGATGGACGAAGTCGAGGAAAAGATGATGTCGGATGGGGAGGACGACATGTGAGGGGAGAGAATGGGGCCTCCTCCAAGCCGAGCTGTCACATTCACGGTGATTGTTTGTTTGCTTGCTATCTGTAAGTGATAGTACATCATGCATCAAGCTTCGTGCATTCAGTCTCACCGGGTTGCATGCACAGATTTTTCTTGCACAGCTTTTTCTGCATTCTTTTTCAATGCTCCGCACGGTATGGCTGTTGGCATTGAAGCGTCGTCACAGGGTTTCGTAGCCAACCTCAGCGGATACATGTCAAACTATAGGAAAGCGCGGATGTCCAGTCATAGGGTTGAGATGTCCCGACGGTCATGACGACGGCAGGCTGGCTACAACTCGACAACTGGCATAGCCTGCAGGAAAAGTCCCTTGACAGTTAGGGATAGAGTATAAGCGAGAGTATTGTACCAGGCCATGTCCCGAGCCCGGGTGTTGAGAGGCGCACCGGAGGATAACGCACTACGGCTGAGCATTTTGAACACGTACTGCGTAGAGATGATGGCACAGATTCTAACTGGCTCGTCTCAGATTATAGACAGAATAACAATGTTTGAGAACCTTTGCTAAGGCTTGTTGTAGAAAGTGTTCTTAGAGAGGAGTAAGTAAGACACTTGCTCAGAAGTGACTCACCGAGACACTCGCCGCTCGACGCTCAGACGTAAGGTGTTCTTGAAGTGCGGTATGATGTTTTGCGTCTGCATGGGTTCAACATGTCAAAAGAGAGTCACCGATCAAGCTTGCCTTGCACTATGCGAACGCGGGAATGGCTCTTGAGGCTCGCATTGGGAATTAGACTCACAGATCATGCACATAAGTGATTTCAGATCTTTCCCTCCGTGGAGAGCCCTAGCTCTTGTGGTGACCACTGAGCGAAGTGTACATTTCTCTCACCTGTCGCTGAAGCGCCCAGCCTGGAATTACTCACAGCTGATATATTATCTCCAAGCGAGAACTCGAGCGGCGAACAATTCAACTCGTGCTCGGTGGTTGAAGCTAAAGCTTTGAAGTCCAAGCGCCTGTGTGTGATTGGTCGGACGAGCGCGTGGCAGAATGGCGGGCCGCTACCACGCCACAGGCGCATCTCAGTCACCTTCAAGTTCGCTCACTCTGGCAGCAGGCTGGTGCAATGCGGAAGGGGAGTTTGAACGACACTCGGTTTTGGGTAGTCTGTCCTGTAGCGAAGAAACAGTAGTCAATGCACGCCATCCTCTCATCGTATCAGTCATTCTTGCACTGGTGAACTCCGTCTGTCATGCATCCTTTGTCCACGATTCATTTGGTACAGAACACTCAATAATTGAACCACTGACGTTATCTCCAGGATGAAATCGTCAATCACTTATTCCACAGTCTCTGGCCTTCTCCGGCATTTCTCGTGCGAGCACCCATGGAAGTTCACCGAGAGCAGAGCATTCTGACGGTGGCTGTGTGACCGGACATTCAAGACATAACGGGAAGATGCGAGGGTTCATCGAGATGAGCTTCCTACGCAGTTCGCCTGTGGCACTGATCTCCATCGAGATATTGAAAGCGACCGCTGAAATGCGGAGGAACCAACATCACAAAGGTATCAGGAGCGCGATCAAGTGAGGTGAGATCTATGACGACTAGCAGCGCAAGAAATCTCACCGGATAGTCATGCGCTGGTGATCAGGAACCGTCTCCTTGACGATGTATTTCGGTCGCATTGCCATATGGGCATTGATGGTCGAGTTCCGAGCCCAGCTTTCGACTTCGCCATCGACATGGGTCGTACTGCCCAACTGAGGTGCGATATGGCGTGTCATCCAGGCGACACACTGGCATTGAGAGTAGGATACGAGCACAGTTCATCTCACGAGAAAGCTGATGAGCTGTCCACTCGCCTTCACGCAGACGCGTCGGGGAACATGACGTCGAGGCAGTCCATGAGGTGATTGGCGATAGGGAAGAAATCCTGTTGTGATAGCAGATAGCTAGAATTCAGCGCCTTACTTGGACGAACGTACACGATACGATGGAATTACGAGAAAAAATATGGCTACTCGAGAAGATCGGGCTGGCCGGCGACCAAATGAAATTTCAGTGACAGGTCAGCATCAAAATAGACTTGGGCGACTGAGCATTGACAGACGCATTGGATTACAAAGCAACAGCAACGGTATGTTTTGACCAGTGGATGACATGTAATGCATGGAGTGAGGTGGGAGGAGACGACAATACAGACTCTACTGACTCATCTGAGACTATGGTAGGATGGCATTGTTTGGGAGTCTTTGCCTAGCCTGATTGATTGGTCGCGGAAAGACTTATGGATATGTTTAGAAGGGAGTGGGTCGAACACCTGCTGAACTCGGGGCCGAGCCTGAGTCCGCTGCTCAACGCAATGTAACATTTTGCTGAGGTGAAGTACCGACGTTTGGCACCAGCACGGGTCAACGTGCCGGGAAAACCCCCCATCAAGCAAGTTGCATTGCACTATGTGAACCTGGAAATGGTTCTTGAAGCCCGCATTGGGAATACGAGTTCGTCTCTAAGACTCACCGGGTCATATACATGGCTGATTTCAAATCCCCCCTCTGAGGAGGACCCTAGCTCTTGCAGTGGTCGCTCTGAGCGAACCTCGAAAGTGTAAGTTTCTCTCACCTGTCGTTGCAGTGCACAACCTGGAATGAACTCAACTTTTAATTAGTACGTTCACGCGCCTGTGTGTGATTGGTCGGACGCCTGCATGGCAGAACGATCGGGGCATGCCCGCACCATTCACCACGCCACGAGCATGTCTTCTTTGGCCATTCAAATATTCAAATGCAGCGCTGCAGATCTAACTTGAAGGTACGAAACTCAATTCATGGTTTTGGCCCAGTCTCTCCTGTGGCGAAGCAACGGTAGTCAAGGCACGCTGTCCTCTCATGGTGTCAGTCGCTCCGATTGCATTGGTGAACTACATCTCGTCTTTCTTCGTCCACGATTCACTTGGAGTCACGAACAGAACACTCAATAATTGAACCACCGGCGTTATCAAACCGTCAGTCAATCATTCCGCAGTTGCTGACCTATCCTCCTGCGATCACCCATCACTAGACTGCGAGCGGAACCTGACCATGGGGCATATTCTACCGTATCCCGTTTTTGCGGGTCCCTTGTACGCGTGCTGACGGTTTATCGCTTACTCAGCTGATAACTGCCAGGAGATTCCTCTGATCCTTTCCGCGATGGCAGTTCATTTATGAGGTTGCAGTTGTCATACAGCAACGGATCAAATTGAACACAGCTCCTTCTCATGATCTCATCTCATATGAGCCGAGCGGCCTTTTCGTTCCGATGTGCAAATCTCTCTCAGTTGCCTTCTATGCTTACGGGCATGATGGAGTCACCCGTTGTGAACCACCTTTTGTTTTGCAGACCCCATCATAGATGAGTTGGCTCACAGCATATGTCAATGTGCGGGTGATGTAACATTATCTCGTGATGGGGTATGGCGTTATAAACAGGCTGACTGTCCATCACCTTAATTCAACCTACGTTCTCTCTACTCAGGCATGTCGATCGCCGCATCTGAAGCAATCACCGTATTGGACGAAGCGTGCGTCTCTTCAGATAGTTGAAACTTTACTGCATTGAACGATGTATCATCAGCGTTACAGAAAACTGCGCTCTTATTGCGGGCGCAGGCCAGTCGGGCATGTTTTGCTTATCACTGGCTAACCATTGACGACTTTTGTTCACACAGCGCTCATATTCTTCGACCATGTCATAACATTCGGTCAAGAGGTCCAGCTGTTGTGGGGAGAGCGATCATTCTCTGCATGGTTGTTCTTTGTCAATCGGATGCTTGCATTGAGCTATGCGATCGTTTCTGTCTGGTCTCTCATGAACTTAGATACAGTAACGGTACGTGAATGAATATTGTCTCGCTTGGATACACCTTCGACTTACAAATATTGTAGAGGCGAGTTGTTCCCTGTTGTCACAATTATTTGTGCCTAATTGCTCTTATGTTGTAGTTGTATGGCAAACTTCGTGACGAGCAATCTGCTTATCATACTCAATGGAATAATCTCAGATGGTAGGTTGGCCTGCTGCGTGACACATCATCATAGCTCAAGCATAGTGCAGTGGTCACAATATTGCGAATATATGCCGTCACAGGCGGCGACCGACGGCCTGTTATGTTCCTCACACTACTTGCCGTCTTCAACGTGGTTTCAAACGTCTACGTCAGTACGCTTCCTCTTGATTGGGACATATAATTGATTGGCTTATGTTGAATGCATGAGAAGAGTTCATTCCAGTATCATATTATCTGTTCATGTTGAATAGGACAGCCATATGCATCCAGTACAACAGTTCAAGTTCAGCACAAGATATCGCTGCAAAGTATGTAAGCCGGTATCTTCAGTAAATTCGTACTTGCTTATCTGTCATGCAATAGATGTGAGTCCGAATCCAAGGATGCTTTCCTCCACACTCCTTTGACAATTGCACCACAGTGTACATAGTCACTGCGATCTGTGCTACAATTGCCGCCGTCGTGGCGCTCGCAATTCTCTGGCGCAAGCTATATGTTGATCATAGGCCAGCCACCGCTGGCATCCTTTCTACGAAGAATCCATCGCTTGCGGCACTGCTACTCAGAGACGGTACGGCTGTCGGACAATGACTATGGGTCTCTGAGCTCGAATAACGTTTGAATCCACTATTTCATAGGCACAATTCAGTTGACGTGAGAAATGGAGTCCGACTCAATTTTGCAACGTCTGAAGCATATTATTCAGAGCTTTACTACTGCTGAACTTACTTGTAACTGTATCGACCTTCCTGGACGTCGTAAGTGCATGCTCGTTCCAACCCCCCATATCTTCTTACAGGTCCTAACCATTCTGTCGTACATGTCTATGCACATGATAGAATACTAAAAATGTTATCAGTTGTTTGGAATATTCGTGAATCAGTTCTCTTCCATTTTTCCTACCAATGACGCGCTGACGATCTTACAGACTCTCTCCCATCCTCATTTCCCGTGTTCTCCTCAATGTCCGGGCCGCAGCGCGGTCCACACGCGGGGAGCAGTCCCAAACGCCCTCCTTTGTCCGGTCGGAACGTGGGCTCCATACGCAAGCGGACGTCGACAACATGTCGTTTGAATTGAACATCCTTAGCAGCATCGGTCAAGCCCAGGAGACCGATCGCGTTCACCCGCAAGACTCTATAGAAAATGATCAAGGTGTTGCCGATCCGCGCAGTATGGTGGGCGATGTTTCTACTGCCGGCGATCCTCAGCAGGATGTGAACAAAGAAGGGGGTTTGGACAAAGTCGAGCAAGAGATGCTGTTGGACGAGGAGGATGACGTATGAAGGGAGAGATCCTAATGGGCCTCCAAGTCGAGCTGTCAGAATCACGGTGATTGCGTTTCCATTTGCTAGCTGTAAGTCGCACATCGCTTTTCACACGCTCCGTCTCATCCGGCTGCATTCGCAGATTTTCTCCGCACAGCCTCGGTAGATGCGCGTCATGCTATAGATCTTGTTTGATATGTAACATCCATACTCACTAAATGTACCTGCAATTGAGGTTTACACGTCTGCTATGGAATGCTCCTTGCCCTCCCCTATTCTGGCGACCAGCGCGTCAGTTGTAAGATATCACTATTCGGATTTCGGGGTTGTGCGTTGTATCTCTAGACTTACCTCACATCTTGCACTTCACCGAAAGTTCGCCAGCATGCATACCCTGTGGAGGCAGCATGCACATGCACAGAGCTTGCTGAAGGTAAGGATCGCTGTTTTGTGCCTCTGTGGTTTCCAACGAATGGGTGGATAGCAGATGTTCACAACGCACGTTGAGCAAGGTTGCAGAGATTGTATTGCAAGGATGTGTATTTTTCGAGGTGATGACCGACGGCGTAACTTGGTGGGGAAGCGAGTCAGTATCAGTTGAAGAGTTGCAATGCAAGGTACTGAGCTGGGAATCCGTTGTGGGCAGAGACCAGATGCGATCTGTTTACCATAAATATATCATTGCGATGGTTACGTAACAGCCAATGACTGCCGCACTGGTTGCTCGCAGTCCAGTCTGCAACGTCCTCCATCCTACCATCATTCTTGTAACATATCGTGCACCATCCGCGATGGGCATTCTGTTCTCTATCCCCTTAGCAGGCGTTTTTGGGACGGTAGCGTCCTCATGCATAGCAGGCCTAGCGTTCTGCTTCACCTCGACCGCCGGTGAGTACTATTTCAAGCCACTGCGGCGCAACGCCTGATGAGAGCGGTGTTATGCAGCGTCGATGTTCTTCAAGTCTTGTAATTGTAACTCATCTATTGCGACCCGTGTTGGCTTCGCCGTACGTACCCTCCGCCGTGCCCATGAAGGTCTGCGGTGCTAAATCGTGGAAACGTGTCCAGATCATATTCTGTCTGGACTCGATGCTTGCATGGCTTATGAAGACGCCTTTAGCGATACAGACAATTGAAAAGTGGAGTCATGGGTATTTAGAGATGGATTGCGAGGGAGGGAAGTGTTATGGTGTTCTTGCAGTGCGTATGCTGCCCGTTCTGCTCTTGCTGTGCACGATTTAATTAACCATTCACGATCTGTTGCCCAGGTGCATAGAATATGCTTTGCCCTTTCGCTCTTCCATTTCATCCTCGGCGCCCTCCTCATAGGTGTTAAGGACACTAAAGACAAGCGTGCCTCGATTCAGAACGGGTAAGTGTGACTGTGGTCAATGAAATCGTGAAGAACGACTCAACCTTTTCACAGTTGGTGGGGACCCAAAGTGTTGCTCTGGCTCATCCTCCTGGTTGTCTCCTTCTTTATTCCGAACCCTTTCTTCATGTTCTGGGGCAACTACATCTCCATGGTCGGCGCCACCGTCTTCATCCTCCTCGGGCTAGTCCTCCTCGTCGACTTTGCACATTCCTGGTCCGAGACCTGCCTCGAGAACTGGGAGAACTCCAACTCAAATCTCTGGCAGTGGATCCTTATCGGCTCGACCGCGGGCATGTACGCTGCAGCGATCGCAGTGACGGGCGTGCTCTACGCATTCTTTGCCGACAGCGGGTGCACGCTGAACCGCTTCTTCATCTCGACCAACCTCGCACTGTGTGTACTCACCACGCTCATGTGCATCCATCCGAAGGTACAGGAGCATAATCCGCGCTCGGGCCTCGCTCAGGCGAGCATGGTCGCTGTGTATTGCACGTACCTCGTCATGTCTGCAGTGGGCAACCACGAGCATGCGACGTGCAACCCGCTGCGCCGCGGCGGGCTTGGGGCGGGTACGCGCAACACAACTGTCGTGTTGGGTGCGTTGTTCACGTTCCTGGCGATCGCGTATTCGACCAGCCGTGCGGCGACGCAGAGCCGGGCTTTGGTCGGGAATGGCAAGAAGGGCGGTGCGGTGCAGTTGCCGATTGATGATGATGGGCATGCCGAGATGGGTGTGGTCAACACGCAGCCGAACCGTACGGAGACGCCAAGGTATCAAGCTCTGCTTGCTGCGGTCGAAGCCGGGTGAGTAATCTGCATTGAATGTTTCGTTATGAGCCGTCTGACGTTTTACTGCAGAGCCATCCCTGCCTCTGCGCTTGATGAGGAGGAAGATGAGGACGAGGACGAGATTGTTGGAGAGACGCGTGATGACGAACGGACCGGGACACGGTACAACGTATGCCTTATCTTTCATCACACTCTAAGCGATTTGAGACCTGACCTGCGGCTCTTAGTACTCTTGGTTCCATCTCATCTTCGCCATCGGCGCTATGTACGTCGCAATGTTGCTCACGGATTGGTGCGCTATCTCTGCCCTTCTTTCGAGATGCGCCGTGCTGATGATACTAAACCATAGGAACGTCGTGAAGGAGAATCACAACGGCGACGATGATGTGTATATCGGCCGCTCTGAAGTTGCGATGTGGATGCGGATCGTGTCGAGCTGGTTCTGCATGCTCCTGTATATGTGGAGCTTGATCGCGCCGGTGCTCATGCCTGATAGGTGCGTGCTCTACGGTTATCAATCTTGGTCTGCGAAGGTTGACGAAGGACGTCTTCTTTATAGGTTTGAGGACCTGTGACAAGTGTCTGAATGCTATTCTCGGACTATGTGTTTGCGATGTAATGAGTTTGTTATTTGTATTATTGCCTACCATTGGAGCCCTATATCTGTATGCTCTCTTGAGATACAGTGAAGTTCGTGCGAATCCAGTATTACTGCTCCTGATCTTCGAGCTGGCTACGGATGTTGCAGATAGAAAGCCGTAGAAAACGTCCGTCATATACTGATTGAGGGATCGACGCAGATGGCGCACGGTAGAGTGAACAATTTCTGCAAACCAATCCGCTGCGGAACGCAACGTTTGTTTGATTCCATGGCTGCGGTAGCTCAATCAAATGCAGAAACGGCGATGACCCTGTGAAATGCAGAAGAGTACGCTGAAAATATGGAACCAGATCTGATATGCAGCATGGGGAGTGAATGAGTTAGAAAGTTGTAGAGAGAAGGACAGAGAGCGGTAGAATGGCAGCTGTATGCGGCGTCTAAAGCTAACCCGACTCGTTATATTTCGTGTTTCTCGCTGCCTACCGAAAAAACAACTCCGCGTTCTGCTCTTGTATATTCGGAGCCGAATGAGCTGCTAGCAGGATCAGTGACGTGTTCATTCCCTATATACGTGTACTGTAGGTTCTCTGTCTCCTCTGGTGCTTCCGCATTGCTGTAACACTCGCATCGTAACATAATCGAAGGATCGCGTCTTGGCTCGAGGAGACCATTTTTGGGCATCAGTGGACATGGTTCACGAGCCGGCGAGGTGGTGTAGGCGAAGTTATGGATGATTCTTCATACAAGATAAGTCCACCTTATACTCATCCTACGCAGACTGATACACGAGTGAGACGGTGCATGATTGACGCACGCTGATCATCTGGGTGCTGCAGTTCAGGACTTGGCACAACGCAATTGAACTACTCTGTCAGCATGCCTTGGCGAAGATTGAACGAGCACCAGGTCCTGGAGGCCTGTCCATGTATCAAAAAGCTGTCAGATGGTCTGTCATCACATGTGAACGTCTCTGGCCAGCATACCGTGTGTCTCGAACGGAAGACCTCCGCGACGTGCCTTATAGTCGAACCATCAGCCTCCTCGCCGACATCGTCCGTCTGAGAAATCCACAGCGTTGTATCTGTCAGAAAGGTAAAGGAAGGTCCCAGGGCGGGCTTCCTGTCTGTGGACATGAACGCAGAGTCGGGGTTTCGAGGTAGGCACTTGGTGGATGTGTTGATGACCTGGGTTGCGGAAAGGTTCATGGGAATGGCAGAATGGGGGATAGGGCGGGCGTACCAGTATGAGGAGAGAGAATGATTCCGCGAGGCTGCGGAGCTGGCGCATGAAGGTGGTCATGATGGCGTGGCCTATGGTAGGGATACAATGTCTAGTTCATTGAGCGCAGTCCGGAATAGGGTACGATCACACCTTGTGAAGACACAGCACTCAACAGCGGTCCGATGAGAGGAGTAATCGCATCTATCACCACTATGCGGGTCATTGGATGCGGTTTTGGATCAGACTGGATGCGGAGCTTAGAGATCAAGTATGCTGTTCTATGTGAAAATAAATGGGATGCACTTACACTTAGAGAAAGACGTAAGCTCTCCAGCACTTCGTGTGCAGCCTCGATGTCAAATGCAAGAGCGATCTGCAGCCTATCCATGACTGTTGCCTTCGCCTGCTCGTGATGATCTGTTATACGGGGACAGCTAAAAGAATGGATAGGTGCACTAACATCACCTCTATATGACTCTAGCAAGTCAGATATCCTATCAATAGCCAGGTCACCTGTAGTATCGATCCAGAGGGCGGCAGCATCATATACGCTGGAGAGGTGGCGCAGAACAACTTGCAGCGCAAATGCCTGATATTTGCCCTAAGTCATTTCCGTTTTACTCAGAATATAATTATATACACACCGTTTTTCCAGAGCCCCGATCTCCAGAAACCTCGATGACCCGAGGTGGGTTGAGGCCACCGAGCAACTTGTCTAGCGCTGTGACCCCAGTGGTGATTTCGCCGTGAAAGTCCTCTTCCTGCCGTCTTCTCAAGGCTTCAAGAAGCTCGTCTCCACGAATTCCTGGTACCGCAGCTTGCTCGGTCACTTTGGAAATCAGTTGGTTGAAGTCGTGGAGGCTGATGGTTTTCGTGGGCAGTTTCTTGAAGGTGTTCATGGGAGTGTCGGAAAAGAGCAAGTCGACGTCGGTACGGATTCCACATTTTTCCAGAGCATCAAGAAGCCCTTGGTTGGGTGGCGGAGTGAGGTGCTGCAGGCGCATGTAGCTAGATATCAGACCAAAGCGTACGCATCGCCAAACCAGACGCCACAGACGCGCGTCGTAGATCTCGATCTTGTGCCACAACCGCGAGTCTTGTCCTCCTTCATCATCAGACTTGCCACCAGATTAATCTCCAATAACAATGTCTGAGGTTCCTCAGACAGACGTTTCTCGGCCATCTGCCTTACCTACAGCCAGGCTTCTACAGCGCAATGCAGTGCCGCTTGTTGAACAGAACTCGAGCGATTACTTGGACGCCATAGAGGAAGAATGGAACAAGAAGGTGGACGTTGAGATTGAGACACTTGTAGATGGGATGGTGGACCTTGTTGGCTTGGCTTCTGTGAGCTCTTCCTAGCCTATTGCCACTTTGATAGAAGGAGTCGACGGGCGCATAGATTGGAGACAAGGATAAGTTCCGAATAGCGCAGGAATCCTATCAAGCGGAATGCCGTGCTGAGTCGATGGTACGTGAAAATACATTTGCGTAGGTCTGAGCTCACATACCGTGATATGGCAGATACGAGCAGCACATTCTCTGCTCTCCATCATTCACTCGATGAAGCTGCTGCTCCTGCTGTCCGACGAGTCTCAGATTGCGAACAGACGTGATGCTGAGATGCGGACCGTGCAAAGGGACAGAGAGGAGCTGCAAAAGCAAGTTTCGGTTATACTTGACGAGTTACTTCATCCTCCCAGCCAGCAGCAGGATGACGACGCCATGCACACGACATAGCCGGAAGAGCCGTCTTCCGACATTCTCCCTTTGCTGTCATATATCGAGGTACCCCATTGCTGCTGGCGACGACGGACTATTGCGTCCATATCCCGTATTTTGTTGTACATTAGGCATTCGTCGAATAGAATGAAACATATATTGCTTTTCTTTTTCCAATCACATGCCTCGGAAGCTTGATCCTGTCGGGCGCGTCAGTGCTCGGAGGAATCGCTTAATCCTCCCTCCCCAACTGTTTCTCTCCCCACCACCGTGCACTGGGCTTCTTCGGCAGCGGTCGTCCTTCCAGCAGCTCTTCCTTGAGCACGTCCTCTCACTCAGCCACTCGCAACATCCAGCACCATGTCTGACATCAAGGTTGAGGGATTCAAGGTACCCGCTCCTGCTCTCACACTTGAGTGTGCGGTGATCTTACAGCCTCAATAGTCCTCTGACGTCCTGGCGACGCTTGCGTCGGTATTCGACAATTATAACGACGAGGAGAAGAAGGCGCAAATCAAGAAGGTGCGTCCTCGCTCAGCCTATGTAGCGCAACGCTCACCAGAAGACGCCATCACGTAGACGAACGGCATCTTCGAGCTACGAGTGAAGAACACGGAGGGCAAGGAGGCTGTATGGACGATTGACATGAAGACGCTGGGGACTGTGTACAAGGGACCGGCGAAGTCCAAGGCCAACGTGACACTCATCATGTCGGATGAGACGTTCAAGCAGCTGGCCGAGGGCAAGGTAAGTACCACCCATGCTACGGTGCAAATATATTGGACTGATAGGCGGCATTTTCAGCTCGACGGACAGAAGGCATTCATGACCGGCAAGCTGAAGACGAAGGGCAACATGATGTTCGCCACAAAGCTCGACGGCGTGCTCAAGGTCAGCATCTCAGACCACTTCACAACTGCGACCGCTAATACGGCGTTGAACAACAGGCAGCCAAGACGAAGGCGAAACTGTAGACGTTGTACACCCGCTACACACATCCGCTTGTATTTATCCATTTTGACCCATCTTCCGCATACCAACAATCATGAGCTGGAGGTATATCATAGTATAACAGTATTCTGCTGTGGTTTACAGTGCCATGAATCCGAATCCGATGCTAAATGCTAGAGGTGAGTGCCGAGTCATCTATCAGAACATGCCTCCGAAGAGCCCGCGCTGTCGCCGAGGGGTGGGCTGTGCGTCTGGTCTCAGCGCCGCCAGGCTGTTTAGCTGTTTCATAACCTGCTCGGTAATTAGCATCGAATTGCACGGCGGTGTATTGTTATCACGTACCTCCTCCAGCTTGTCCTTGCGCTCCTGTAGGTCAAGGTGCTTCCTCACGATGGGGTTCTCGCGTGCGAACTCAACGATCTCCCGGCGGTCAAGGTCGTATAGAAGACGTGAGTCAATCTCGCGAGGGAACTACAAACGAGGCAGAAACACCACGTCAGCGAACGGACGGCGGTGTGATGAGAAACCAGATACCTGGTAGAAGAAATGGTCAAGCAGCTCAATGCTGATGAACATGGCCGAAGTGTACGCCAACTTGTCGGCAACAGCATTAAGGAAGATCTCGGGGCAGAAGACGTCGTTCTCGGGTCCCGCTTTGCACCGCTTGGACTTCAAAGCGGCCAACCGTAGCTTAAGAATGCCCAGTCTGTCGCTGCATAGCATGGCATGCCGCGCTAGAGAGTGTCAGACCGGATTAGCTGCGGCTAGTACTACGTTTCTTGAGCTCACCATCAAGAATCTGCGCTGGAGGGTAGCGGTACTCATCCTCGTTGAGGTCCACCTGCGAGCTTTGATCCACCACGCCACTCAACCTCTTCTGGGTCTTCTCGTTTTCCTGCTCCTCCAGACCCCTCACGTACGCAATCAGCCCGTTCAGTCGCCTGCCCCCGCCGACACGCTTCTTGATCTCCTTCAATTTGTTCTCGCACATCTCCGCCTCGCGATCAAATAACTCAACCGCCTGAACGCGCCCAGTCTCCCAATCGCGCTGATCAACCTCGACCTCGTACTTGTACGGCTTGATGCAGTTCTCGACCTGATCCGACGTGATACCGATCCGGTCGCGCAGGAGCGTGTGCGAGAACTGAGTTAGCCGCTCCGCCGCGCGGGGGTGGAACGTGAATGGCTCGCCAGCCGCGATCGAGTCAATCAGTGCGCGCAGCCCGTCCGCGACAAGCAGCGTCGCGTCGCGTCCTACACCGGACTTGGTGAGCAGCGATGCCGCGGCGTCGAGCTTGTACTTCCAGTAAGGCTCGACGCTCTCAGGCGTGACCTTCGGGTTTGCCGCAAGCGCAGAGAGCTCCGTCGTGCGCTTATCTGCCCAATAGAGCTGCTCGAGTACGTTGAGCACCTTCTCATCGAGCATTGCCTTGAGCCTCGCGCGGACGTGCGGCTTGCGGAACTGCACTGTGAACTCCTTGAAGCGCGCCTTGAGTTCGTCCATCGTCTCCGCGACGTACGACTCAGCGGTGATCCGTCGGTCATTGTACTGCACCTTGAACTGGTACTGCGCCTCCTCGAGCTCAAGCTGTACTGCGTTGGTGATGCCGTGCAATGATGACGCCATCGACGACTCGAGGACTTCCATGAGTCGGCGGCGGAGGGTGTCGGTGCCTACCATGAGAGTCGAGGAGGGGCCGAAGTAATCTCGGTGAGAGCCAAAGTATTCGTTCTCACTATTCCTCGCAACGAGGGCGGTGGAATCATCCTTCGACTTTTTCCCTGGCCCTTTGCATACTACCCCGACATAGCCGAGGTGCAGAGGATATCGGTTGCCAGAGAGGATCATCGCGCCTTGCTCCGCAGGCACCAGGTCCATCTTCGTGATCACGCCGATGGTACGCAAACCAAGCGGGTCGACCTTCCTACTTGCGCGAAGAGCAGGTGAGTTGGCAAGGTCGACGTCTGCAGCACATACGGCGAGAACGATATTTGGCTCGCGGATGTACTTCTCGCAAAGCGCCGCGATCTTCTCCTTCAGCGTTTCCGGCTGGTCCATGGAGGCAATCTGAATGTAGCCCGGGAGGTCGATCAGTGTGAGGTCCGGCACTCGGGGGCTGTATATTCGGAGATCGATGGGCTCGTTGGAGACGGCTTCGGCGTCAGGGACAGCAAGATTGAGGTCAGTGAGTGTGCGCTGTATGCTGGAGAAGTCGGTAATCCTTCCAAGGCCGAGTGCAGGGAATTCACCGTATTCCTGCGCGGAGTCCGGCGTGTGAATGAGGGTGAGTTCGATTGGTCTGCGTGTCACCATGTTGCTCCCTCTACGAGGTGTTCATGAGATGATCAGAACGCGCTACGACAGATAATGCACACGTACTTCGGCAAAAATTCATGGCCAACGATGGCTTCCAACACTGAGCTCTTCCCGGAACTCTGACTCCCGATTACGACTATGCTCGGCAACTTCAGCGCGTCGCTCTGATCGATGCTCAGCAGCATACTCCTGATCTCGATGAGCTTCCGCGTCAAGTGCATAAGGCCTGCATCCGGGGAGATACCATCGTCATTCGCCTGCGAATCCGATGCGGAAAGCGATACAGCTGCCACGGGAGTAGCCAATGCGGCTGCATGACGGTTATTGGGCTTCTTCGCATTGCCTCCGCCACCGCCGCTACCACCACCACCGCTACCACCACCACCATCACTCCCGTCGGAAGAGAACAAGTCTTTCAAGAACTGAGGTGCCTCGAACTCGGGCAACTTCACCTCGGACACCTTGGACGAGACTGCCTTCAAAGCATCGGAGGCGGAACCAAGAATGTCCGTAGCGGTATCTTGGACGGACGATATCCAGTCGGCGGACTGCTTCCTGAACTCTGAGAGTGGAGTCGAAGTCAACATTCCGGCCCAGCAGCTCACATTTCATGCTCACCCTCGAACTTGTAGTTGGCATAGGTAAGCCCGCCAGCGCCTACTGTTCCCGCCGCAATCGGTACACGGAACGCGCGCAGCAGAAACTTTGGGATCGCCGTGTAAGAGATGGCGCGGACATGCACATGGCGCAGGGCTGCTCGAGAGGCGGCATAGTTGGACCTGGATCGGAGATGATTGGATGTCAAGAAGGTGGAGAATTGCTTGTGGACTGGTCGCGAGGCATCAACGCGTCTTGTGGATGTATTCAGGCCATAGGCAATAGTTTTCTTGAGGGAAAGCGCAGAAGAGACACGACGGCGCAGTGCAGAATACATTCAGCTCCTGTCAGGGAATCACCCAGCTTGGTTTTGAAGTCGTAATAATCGTCAATAGAGTCCAAGTAGGGCTTGAACCATAGAAGGCAAGCAGAAAGGGAGCCGAAGGAGTCGAGTGCTGTTGACGGTGTGCAGGAACCAGCAGCTGGAGCTGGAGGAACGCGTTGCGCGACGGCACGCACATGCTGACTAAGCCCGACATTTCCTTCCGGAATGGTGGGCGCTTATGTGGCGGTTATGTATTCATGAACGCGCTCAAGTGACTGACCTGAAGTTGAGATGCCGCCAGTCTTCGCTACTTATTTGCATAGCACGAGCTTTGAAAATGAACCCGATGTGAGTGAGATTCACGATGCAATTTATCAATATCACGGAAAATTGTGCATGAATGTCGACTGATTTCTTATGTGCAACCGTGGCATTTCATGTTGAAAATGTTTCACTTTGGCTGTGAATGAGAACTATTTGCCGTTTAAATGCTACATTAGCAAAGCTTTGCCACAAATGTAAGACATCAGCGGATATTTTCCACATTGTTAAATCGCATCAGACATTCATGATCTTAAGTTGGAAGCCTCCTCGGGATAACCGTAGACCACGTACTATCCGTCTAGCATACTTATAGCAGTGATGGCTAGGCGAGGTCGCCCAGCACTCATCAGCAGCGATGTCCCCCGTCAACAGCACCCCTCCTCCTCCTGGTGTCTACGTCCCGGCCGTTCTCTTCTTTGACGAGAACGAGGAATTTGACGTGCCTGCCATTAAGGCACACATCCTACGGCTGGCGAAGGTGTGTATCAAATATCGCTACTCGTTAACTAGGCACTGACCGCTTATAAGGGGGTGTGACGGGGGTACTTGTGCAAGGAAGTAATGGCGAGGCGCAACATCTCTCTCACGATGAGAGGAAAGAAGCTATACGTCTGACAAGGCAGACGCTTCATGAGAACGGCTTTCAAGATGTTGTAATCATCGCGGGTACAGGCGCACAGTCTACTCGGGAGACAAAGAAGCTCTGTGCGGACGCCGCAGAGGCTGGAGCGGCTTACTGCCTCGTGTTAACGCCGTCCGTCTGGCCCGCCCAGATGACAGCCGAAAAGATTTTTAAGTTCCACCGAGATGTACGTCTTTGCATAGTTGCTAGGCAGATTGTCACTAACATATCCCACAGGTCGCTGATGCCTCCCCGATCCCGACCATGGTGTATAACAACCCTTTCGTCACAGCAGGTCTCAACCTCGATTCAGATATCATCGGCGCTCTCGCCCAGCATCCCAATATTGTCGGTACCAAGCTGTCCCGCGGAACAATTGGAAAGCTGCACCGCCTAACATCCTCCGTCCCCGCGTCGAAGTTCGCCACCTTCCCGGGCATGTCCGACGTCTTCCTACAAGGTCTCGTCTCAGGCAGCGCAGGGCTTATATGTGCCCCTCTGAACATCGCGCCGAAAGCGCACATGGAGATTTACAGACTCTATAAGGCGGGCAAGCTTGAGGAAGCGACGAAGATTCAGGCACTGCTTGGCCATGCTGATTGGGAGCTGCGCAAGCTGGGCAGCATTGGGGGCATCAAGGCTGTTGTGTCGAAGCACTTTGGGTACGGCACAACTGTCGTGCGTAACCCGCTCAGCGCTGTGGTCATTACAACGACCAACACACAGAAGCTGGATGAGTTGATTGCGCTCGAGAAGTCGTTGTAGAAGCAGAAGTACTCCTGGTGTAGTGGTATCTCGCGGTGCAATGGATTGCTGCCGTCCACATCAGCTGCGACTCATAGCGCCTGTCTCGGCAACATCGTGCCCAACATGAGACTTTGTGAGGGGCGAGGTAATCTCGGTGAGAGCCAAATTATTCGTTCTCGCTGTTCCTCGCACCTAGGGCAGTGGACTCCTTCTTCCCTGACCCTTTGCACACTATGCCGACATAGCCGAGGTGCAGAGGATATCGGTTGCTAGAGAGGATCATCGCGCCTTATTCCGCAGGCACTAGCTTCGTCTTCGTGGTCACGCCGATGGTACGCAAACCAAGTGGGTGGTAAGCTGAAGCTGGAGGAACGCGTCGCGCGACGGCACGCGCACATGCTGACTAAGCCCGACATTTCCTTCCGGGACGGTGAGCGCTTATGTGTTATCTGCACGGCCCTGATCACGAACGCGCTCAACTCAATATTTGACTTGTTCGAGATGCCGCCCGTCTTTGCTGTTCGCATAGATAGCCTCACACGAGCATTGACAATGAACACGATGTGAGCGAAATTGTGTCAGGTTCTCACAACCCACGCTCGGACTAACTCAGGCATTCTTCCTCTCCGTCTCATGATCGTACAGTTGAAGCCCTCCTCGGGACAACCGGCTCGCCGGCGGAACATTTACTCTCCGTCTAGCATACTTATCGCAGTGATAGCTAGGCGAGGTCACCCAGCACCCACCAGCAGCGATGGCCCCCGTCAACAGCACCCCTCCTCCTCCTGGTGTCTACGTCCCGGCCGTTCTCTTCTTTGACGAGAACGAGGAATTTGACGTGCCTGCCATTAAGGCACACATCCTACGGCTGGCGAAGGTGTGTATCAAATATCGCTACTCGTTAACTAGGCAATGACCGCTTATAAGGGGGGTGTGACGGGGATACTTGTGCAAGGAAGTAATGGCGAGGCGCAACATCTCTCTCACGATGAGAGGAAAGAAGCTATACGTCTGACAAGGCAGACGCTTAATGAGAACGGCTTTCAAGATGTTGTAATTGTCGCGGGTACAGGCGCACAGTCTACTCGGGAGACAAAGAAGCTCTGTGCGGACGCCGCAGAGGCTGGAGCGGCTTACTGCCTCGTGTTAACGCCGTCCGTCTGGCCCGCCCAGATGACAGCCGAAAAGATTTTTAAGTTCCACCGAGATGTACGTCTTTGCATAGTTGCTAGGCAGATTGTCACTAATATTTCTCACAGGTCGCTGATGCCTCCCCAATCCCGACCATGATATACAACTTCCCTGTCGTCACAGCAGGTCTCAACCTCGACTCAGATATTATTGGTGCTCTCGCCCAGCATCCCAATATTGTCGGTACCAAGCTGTCCTGCGGAATGGTTGGCAAGCTGCATCGCTTAACATCCTCCGTCCCCGCGTCCAAGTTCGCCACCTTCCCGGGCGTGTCCGACGTCTTCCTACAAGGTCTCGTCTCAGGCAGCGCAGGGCTCATCGGTGCCCTCCCGAACGTCGCACCGAAAGCGCACATGGAGGTCTACAGGCTCTATAAGGCGGGCAAGCTTGAGGAAGCGACGAAGATTCAGGCGCTGCTTGGCCATGCTGATTGGGAGCTTGGCAAGCTGGGCAGCATTGGGGGCATCAAGGCTGTTGTGTCGAAGCACTTTGGGTACGGCACAACTGTCGTGCGTGGCCCGCTCAGTGCTGCGGTCATTACGACGGCCAACACCCAGAAGCTGGATGAGTTGATTGTGCTCGAGAAGTCGTTGTAGAAGCAGAAGTACTCCTGGTGTAGTGGTACCCCGCGGTGCAATGGATTGCTGCCGTGAACGTCAGCTGCGATTTATAGCGCCGATCTCGGCAACACCCAGGTGCACAACACGACGAACGCGGAGTTTGACGCAAGCTGGAGAAAGATTACGCTCTTTAGTGCTGCGCTACTCACGATGGCGGGGTAGCACTATCTTGGCTATCGCTGCAGCTTTGACCTAATCAAGTTTAGATCCTCTCATGGAAGGTTTGGCGGGCGCGCCAAGTCGTGATCGATGGCGCTGCCATATGTAATATCAGTCCAGTACGTTTCTCGACTAAGAATTCGTCTCCGACTCATACAACATGTCTAGGACTAAGTATTGCTACCTGAGCACGCGAAGGTTGAGAACGTTGAGCAACTGTGGGTAACCGACTGCGGATTACAGCATGCTGTAAGTATCATCCTTCTGGATCCGAGGCAGTGCTTGTTGGACATCTAGTCCTTCGGTTGTGATATGCCAGAGATCGATGTGATTACGTCCTCGCGGATGGACCTTGACACCTTTGCAGCGCCATCATAAATAGCGTCGTCTTTGCCCGCCACAGGCGCGGCTCGGCATTCTACATGCGACGCGTAATACAAAACATGCAGTTGCATAGCGCCATCGCCAGGTATTAGGTTCAATTGGACGTCCATAAAGTCGGCTCCATGGAGCTTTCTTCCCAGGGCATCCGAACTTGATACTATCCACCTGTGTTCCTCGCCAATGTCGAATGATGCGCCTACAGTCACCGAGACGGGGATCCTGGCTCTCAAACTGACGTGAGTGCTCATCTGTTCTATGAGACGATGTCTTGACATTGGTCGGTTTTGGTAGCTTCATTAACACATGCTGCCAAATGGCCGCGAGCAGTGAGATCTATTATGCTAAGTGCACGGCAGGAGGTTTACCGGTTTTTGAACGAACCGCAGCACTGATCTTTCATGAATACACGATGACCTTCTCCGACGAAATCAATCTCATATGGCGATGCAGAGCCACTGGGGCTACGATCATCTTTTTGCTCAATCGGTACCTGGCCCTGGCGCTGGGTATTACGATCATTATACAAACTCTCCCATGGAACACACCTCTCGTCAGTACTTCTCTACAGGCATCTGAGAGGGGAGACAGGTCTACTGACATTTGGTGTTTTTGATTTGCACAGAGGTCTGCGCCTGCGGTAGCTATCTCAATGACCACTGATCAAGTAATTGATATTTAGTTGCGAGGCTACGATAATATCGTATAGTATAGTCAATATGCTTCTGAACATCGTAATAGCAGGCGAGTCCTCATGGTCAACTGGATCGTATTAGCTCGACTGACAACCTTGCAGTATTCTCGGCGCTGCGAGCGTTTGCCATTAGCGGATCCAAGATGCTTGCCACTCTAATTGTGCTGTCACTAGGGTTGGTCACGGTCTGTGCGAGTATCGTGAGCACGACTATTTCACTTCGCTTACCATACATGTCCTCATATCAATGATCTTCTAGTATTTCATGGCGCGATCATCATATGCATATGTGTTAATGATAGCCAGCATGCCTGTATGTGACTATCACGATTACTATTCCCTCGATACATTCAACCGGTAAGCCCTGCTTTCACAACGCATTGAGTGGTCTAATGGCTCATTCCTTATCATGTCAGAGGTGTGCACTGTCGTCCTTTCGTGCTACCCAATTACAATTACTACAAAATATAGTCATTATCGCGAGTCGAATCTGCGCGATTGCGGCTGATGTCATTGTGATTGCTCTCACATGGTATAATACGTATAAGATGCGAGCAATTGCTCGACAAATCATCCAAAACTCGCTGTCGACATTGATATTCCGCGATGGTGCGTAACAACGGGATATCTAGTCCTTCCAGACTCACATCATTGCTGCGCTAGGCACAATCTATTTTGTGTATGCTCATCGTGACCTCTAACCTACGCAAATCTGATCGATCCTTCCAGCCTACTACTATTTCTCAATATTATGCAAATGGCTGTCAGATCAGTGGGTGGTGTGAGTGCATTTGCTGCGAACCTCCCCCCCAAAAATGTGTGTATTGACGAAGCGGTGAATCACAGGCTATCACAAATTATGCTGCTTCTTTCGTGGCACCGTTAGTTTTCTCGTCTTCTCCGCGACGGACTTCAGGGTGCTGATCAACTCGTAGAGTGTCTTCCATCCTCATCTCGAGGTTCATGATTAACTTGCGCAGCGAGGTATATGGCAGCAATTCTGACAGCATCGTCGCAAGCATCGTCGGGAACATGCACTCCTCCCTGTCATATACTGCATCGTCGGATGACAGATCCCGTTCCGCCGGTAGCGCGAGTCTAGCTTATGAGGAAGGGAGCTCGGAGGAGCGGGGCAGCATTACAAATCAGCTTGTCTATGATGGTGACCATCCAACATCCATCGAACTGTCAGATATGTATTCTAGGGTTGAAGTTGTTTGACCTACTAATGTATCCTCTCCGCTCTCACAATCACACCATTGCGCCATCATTGTAGTAACCATTACTGGCCATTCGTCTTAGGTACAAAATGCGGGATATGAATCATGTTCGAAAGAAAAAAACACTAATGTATCCTCTCGGTTGAGTTGTGTGTGCGTAACGTCACATATTGCTGCAATGACATCCGAGGTTCGGCAAACAGAGTTGCGTTCATACTGCTACTCCACGGCACCAAAAGGTAGACAATCGTATAGATCGTTATCAGCGCATCTCCGAACCGTGGCACGTTCCGATGTGTATGGGCGTATATGAGCCCGACTCCGGTGATCAGCTACCACGAGGATATCAAACGTTGCAAGATGACCACCGGCTGACCAAGGAGAAGGGAGAAATTCAGCATGCGTTACACCCGAATGTTTCACGAACAACGGGAACGTGCATAGCTGGGCCTGAAGATGGCAGGCGGAACGTCATGTTTATGCTTGTAACCGCGCGACTTCCGCACTCCGACTCCTTTATCACCGCCACCCGCCTCCACGCCCGACCCAGCCGACTCCAGCTCATCGCGACACCGATTCCCCTCTCCCCCACCCACGCCAATCTACAACTATATTAACGATATCATTTTGCTGCTTTACAACCGCCATTGGGCCACTACTTCGTAATGAAATACATCGAACGCCCCGAACTCGCGCGCCTCGCACAGGCGCTCACCCACGAGGGTCCGGAATGCTCTGTACACACTCGCATAGAGGCCTACAGCTGCAAGAATATCAAGCGCGATAAGAAGCTGTTCCGCACACTGGAGAACGCATACAATGACGAGGTGTCCAACTCTCCACCCGTGCCATCATACATCGCGCTCGAGCGAGAGGCCGAGATGACACCATTCGGACCGATGCAGGAGCACAACGCCCGCAAGACCCTCTATCTCCTTATCGCGACACTCAATATCGCATTCCCAGACCACGAGTTCTCAGACGTACGCCCGTCGCAGTTCAGCCGCGAGGAGAGCGGCGCCGGCGTGCTTACGGCGCTCAGTACCACCCTCGTGTCACCACATCGCGCAGGGCTGCAAGCTCCCCGCACCTATTCTGCATACCCACCTGCTTCGTCTGAATTCTTCCCTTCATCTGTACCTTCCTCTTCTTCACCCATGAACTACATCCGACCCAGCCCCTTCACCCCTTCTAAGGTCGTCTCCGGCACCCATCCCACACTCTATCGGGTACTCGACGACGCAATTGGCTTGTCCGATTGCGAGGTCTACTCGTATAATCCGGACATCGAGTTCGATCCTCACGCCAACGACTACTCGGATGACGAGGACGACGTTGCATCCGTCGGAGACGAGGACTCTTCCACGGACGAGGACGAGCTGACATTCGAGTTTGACGACTATGATGTGGACGAGCTGCCGCGCCGCCCGACGTGGAAGAACTCAGCAGGCTCGGGCCAGACTGTCTTAAGTGACGAGTATGAAGAGAGTCCGATCCGAACGTCTTCTCCGAACTATATTCGCATGAAGCGGAGAGGCGCATTGCTGTGGAGTTCGCATTGGTTCTTCTTGAACAGGAAGCTGAAGCGGATATTGTTCATCACTGTTTGGGCGAGGTCGAAGGGTGTCCATTCGTACATGGATGAGGATATGCTGGCACCGAGGGAGAAGATCCGCGGCGAGAGGTTCCTTGGATGGGAGGGCGCTGTGGGTACTGGAGCGAGAGCGTTGGGCATTGCTGCGTCGGTTTAAGAATACGCAGACATGGTATGTCACCTAGCTGTCACTTTCGTATGAGTCACTCACGGCGGAATCGCACCCAGTCATCGGCACATACCTTTAACCTGCTTGCTACTTTATGATTTATGGACTCGGACCACTAACGCCTATATATGCGGCTCCTCTTCTCCTCGTATCGTATTGTACCAGTTACCCATTGCCAGGTCCTGGCAGATTTACGATGTGTACGATAGCTTGCGAATCTCATCATGTACCATCGGCCTCCCATTTTTTTTGTATATAGCACCGTATTGCTCGATATAATGGCAGGATGGGCCTCTTTGCAGACTGACTGGACATGCCTCCCCGAACTCACGCCTTGTGACAGACGTCGATGAAGTCCGTGCAACCCAGCAGCACGAGGGAAAGGACACTGGGCATCCGGAAGAGCGAGAGCATTCATGAGGTGAATGTCAGGTATTGCGAGCAATGGCAGTATGAGAGAAGATTACGTGGCCACCGGCTAGAGGATGAGTATCGAGATTTGTCAAGTTCAGGGAACAAGTTGGCAGCATTGACCACGGGAGAAACTGAGGAGTAATAGACAGACCATGATCTGATTTATACAGTCTCGTTCGTCGAGGCATCCAGCGCCAAGTTGAATGACTCGAAGGCATAGTCATGGGCTGCGCCACCGTCAACGCGCTCAGGCAATCCAGAAAAATAGGTTTCGAGACATCGTACATCGTGAGAGGGTGAGAGCAAGAAATCGTATGAACAATGAGGAGTGCACTTGTACCCAACCATCGCATTGTCAGAGACAACGAGCTCCCCAGAGACAAATTTTTCATCGATGCAACACGCGGAGATCCATCTATCGCTGGAAGTGGCCCTTCAAAATCTGAGATTGAATTATGTAATTGTTTGTCAAAGGCTTCTGATCCTAACAAACATTGTCTCACGTGGGCAACTTCTCCAACTTGGACAAGCTCTCCTGGAACGCTTCGTGCAACCTCCCAGTCATATCGCGCGGACCATTGTACCGTCAAACGGTCGAGATAGAAATTCCTAACAAGACCCGGTTCTATTCAATTACCCAACTTGTCTTTTTCACTGTCTGTGCTTGCGTTGCTCGTCAAGGAGCAAGTGGCAGCACTCGCTCAACTCCTCGATCGTGCACGACGTTTCAGATGCCCTTCGGGTCATGCGATACCGCAGATAAAGAACGCCTTTCTTGTTAGACTCTTCGCTATTCCGGAGGCCGACATCGGAGTTTCTATATACATCAACATTCAATCGTGTAGCGCTCGGCATACTGCAGGCGAGTCATGATTGTGAATCTCTCAGGTAAAAGCTATTTATGTCGAGCTAGGGTTTCAAAAAGGCTCGTAGAAAGGGCTTTAACAATTTGCTTTTGTGTGCATTTCTTTAACCCGATTTTTTTGAACGTTGCGTTGTCAGCCGTTTGCCAGCTTTGCGCATCGCGGCGAGCCATTGGCGTAGTTCTTCTTCTATCCAATCTACGGGCCACGCACAGCGTGTTTAAAATTTGTGATCGTACATTCTGGCAAGCATGAGCCCAATTCCCGAGCACACATATGCACATTCATCAGTACTCTGCAGTCCTGCCAAGTTTCACAGTAGACAAGCAGATAGCGGTATGACCTAAAGAATTTTGGCTTTCTTTGCGGATGCGATCGTCAAGATGCTATCGCAAATACGTTGGAACTATCCGTGCAGCGTGCGTCGAGTCGAGTAATAAATTTCAGTGCAGTATACTCACAAAGGAGCTGTTCGTCCGTTACGTCGACCATTCAAATATTCAACGCCTGGGCAATGGATGACAAAACGGAGTCTGTAGTGCTTGACCTCAAATGGCGCGAAGCGCGATGATTGGAAGATGGTCACGTTGCACCCGCAAGGGGCCCGTGAACTGGTGAGTCGCTTCCCACGACGTCGCCACCATGCGATGCAGCACGCTCACTATCTTTCGACTGGTTTACTGTCAGCAGTTATCGGACAGGGCCGTTACCGCAATGTACCGAACGCTCACGACATCCTCTAAGGATAGGAAGGTTGCCTTATCCGCTGTGCAGGAACCCAACAATACGCCTTTCTCCCGGGTAGAATGCGCCGGGGTTCTCCGACGAACAGTCTTGACCATCATAGCCCGCATTGACCTGCCTCCAGAGCCTGTCCAACGAACTGTCTATTAATCTTCTATTGATATTCCATCAAGTATCTTCTCTCGGTAGCCAGACCCTGCGATGGACCACACTTGACCGCCGAGGTAGGCTGCAAAGCCGCTGCTTACACTGGCTCCGACCTGGCTCGAGAATGACAAACCATCCATCCACCGGTATCCTCTCACTTGTATGAACCCAGATGAATACGGATGGGTCATTGCGGTTCTCCAGGGCAGGGATCCAGGAGATCAGAAGGCTGATCGGAGCAGAGCAGAGAGTTTGAGAAGTTGAGTCGACTAGTGTTTCCTGAAATTTACATTGACCCGGATTTTAGTTCTGTCAAAGGCCCCCTGTGCGAGTCTAGCGTAGAAAATCGATGCACTCGGCGGTTATGGGACGCAGAGGCATCTAACCAATCAAGTCAAAGATATTGTTGTCCAACTACCAACGAGGCACTGTTTTCGGACACCTGCTTTTCCTTTAACTTTGTCAGTCTTTCGCACGTAAGCGGCTTCGATGGCCACGGTTCTCGTCTCGTCTCGCTCTGTGCCTGAATATTTGTGCCAATGGCACCATCCAGACTGAATTGTAAGTCCTCCCTCACCCCCTTTCACCGGACAGGATTGGGTGATGAGGCCTTCGGACTGTGTACCTTGATTAGCGAGTTCTTGATGGAAACTCATTGCAAACGCTCTGGGACCCTGTACGCAGCGCAACCGTCCAGGTGCGTGGTCCCGTTTCAGATCGGCACCGTAAGGTTGCATCAAAGATATACCAATGCGATCCGACGCTACTGTCCCTGACCGTGGATTTTATGCCATGTCTTTGGATATGGAGCAAGCTATGTAAACGCAAGTTTTTCGCCTTGAGGTTGCATCAAGGTAATTTCAGCGATCATTCTTCCTGGTCCTTATCATCGGTTGAACTGTTCCCGACTGATTCCCGTGTCTTCAGCATGGCATGATATGCAGTGCTTGAGCGATCCAGATACGCCTGGACACAAGGCTGCGACCATCTCGCTTGTGTCAGACCTCCCAACACGAGTCTGCCGTTTCTCGGGGTTAAGTAACCGGCAACTTACTACCGCCGGCAGACGTTTATGTCTACCAAGGAGTGGTACATAAGGCTAGTCTGTTGATGCCTGACCTCCCACAGCGGTTGGTCTCTCATGAATCCAGTCCCGTATCTTCAAGCTTCTTCGCCGTATCCAGAAGGCATGTCCATGGAGCTGGACCCAAGCTCAGAAGTTGATCATCGCAGAAGGTTGACTTTTCGCTTCATTCACTGGGTTCCATCTAAAGCCAACATTCCTCCAGGCCAAGAAATAGACCCGCTCAATCGTGTCTCAACTGTCACATTTCAAAGAGAAAGGTAAGAGAACTCATCAATAAATGTTGGAAGGTTCTCACGTCATTTCGCGGCCACCGGCAGTGCGATCGCAAACGGCCGTGTTTAAGATGTACCCAGCTGGGCGTGGTAAATTTATTTCTCTCAAATGTTCCATTGTGTCCGGTTTGAACAGTGCGACTTACAGACCGGTCTATGTTTCTATGAGGTCGATGACCCTGCATTGAGGTAAAATATATCCAATCTATGTCTCCCTCCGCATCAAACAAGTCTTCGAACAGAGATGATCCGAACATCGATGAGAACACACGATTGAGGAATCGCATTGCTGAACTTGAAAGCATCCTCCGAGCATATCATGGTGTGACTTCTCTGATTCGCCAAGGTTGCTTCGTGCTCACGATAACTTCCAGGAAAGCCCGGCCCTCGGTGGGCAGACACCGTTTATCATGGAGAAGATGCTCGCGAAGTTTGGAACTCCCAGGCGAGGTCTCACGGGTCCCCATCACTACAGACCCAGGTCGTTGGAGGTGCACAAATGACGGCGCAGGTTCGATCTGTGAATGCTTCCCCAGTTGTTAAGGTGGAGCCGATTGCCGATGAAATTCAGTACCAGCTGTACAACCTTCCTTCAAATGGGCCATCGAGCGTCCCTCAGGCGCAAGCCGCAGCATCGCACGCATACTCGCATCATGACTCTTCCGAGTTCTACCCCGAATCCTATCAGACCGGCTTGAACGACGAACGATCGTCTGACAACTACAATTTCCAACGCCCTTCTCACGAATCTGATGCCGTGCCCTTTACTTGTCGTTGCCTGAGAAATCCAGCTCTCGCTCGACCGCTCACTGCATTCATGACTCAGCTGCGTGCGACCTCCCAGGTGCTCCGGCATGCATCGGGTAACCACGACCCTCAAGATTGTCTCGTCTTGGCTCACATGGTGGAGCTCGATATGATCATAAGGTATAATTTATGGCTAAGATGATAGCTAGCAGATTTGCTGACTACTTTATTATCTAGGAATGGAAGCCCGAGTTATTCCACGGCATACTCGTCCGTTCCCCGAGTGGCCGAACGCGGTGTAGTAATGTCCCCTTCATCGACCCTTAGCTATGAGGTCAGCTCTAGTGTGTCGTGGACAACTCACAGCGGTGGTCATACCTACTTACATCCGTATGGTGAGTTATCCAGTGAGACTCACCGTGCTCAGCCTTCGTCACAAGCGAGATGAAAGTCGGCTTAGCGTTGTCTGATTCCACGTTATCTGTATACCGAGGAGAGACTAGTGACGCATTCGAAAGAATAATAGCAACACTGTTCGCTCCAATGGCTCTTCGGTACGCGCATCGAGTCGATGCGTCAGTTGTAGTAGTTCGTCACTCCCCCTTGTAGAGTAGCTTTTGTGATATGAATCGCGTTATTCGTCTTGAATCTTGGCACATAATGGCATTAGCGACCGGATAAGCTGCCTCATTGAAGATGAATCAAGTTGAAGATGTTGAGATCACAGCTGGTGACGAAGCCACCCAGACCTACAGAGAGACGCGATTTCTTTTGAAGATAAAAACTCGTTGATTGACGAGACTTGCATTGAGAGGTGGGATCCTCGCACTTTATGACGCGGTATACTTGAGAAAGCCAAGCATACCAACATCTTAAACTGCAAGGATCCCAAGTTGAGAGTAGTACGACAGTCACTGGGGACCAACATTTTGAAGGATGTCTTCAGAGTGCATGAAGTATCTAGATCTCTAGCCTGAATCAAGCTCAACTTCAAGCCGAGCCCTTTGAACGTCGTACAGCCTGTAAGTGACCTCACCGCTGGCCAATAAGTGGCACAATCTCCGAAAAAGCGGTTGTTTGGCAAAAGCTTCTGATCTTAACAAACACCCTCACGTGAGCGTCAGATCAACGCGTCTCAACGATGCTCGACCTTCGTGAGCAACGACTCTCGCGATGGCACCGACACCGCCTCCAATTCCAAGCGGGTTTTCCATGCAATCAACTAGGCTACCATCGCCATCAGGCTCGCGTCCTCGCCATTCCCTCAACTCGTCCTTCTCGTTTGGTCCTCAGCCTCTCGTCGACTCATTCGCCGAAGTAAACAGCAGTATCGCGTCGAATCCGCGCTCTTTCGCGCTTGACCCGAACCGGTCCATACTGCAAGCTTCTCCGTTGTGTTCTTCGCCGCGTGTGCCGAGGAGAACGAAAGTGAACACGAGCAGACATCCTCTCGCTAATGACAATTCGAACATCTTCAATGACGATGGCGACGATGAGGCGGAGGATGAAGATGAGTACCAGCTCGGAATGATAGACCGCATGCGTTTGTGGAGACATGACGCTCTGATGCAACATCTCTACGATACGGCAGCATTCTGGGGCGACAAGGTTCTTAGCTGGACAAGTAAGTAAGCCTGATCTTGAGAGTTTGTACTGCTTTATTGAGACATGGGTAGATGACCCGAACGACGCGTTTTGGTTGGCTCAAACTTACTTCTCCACGCACCAGTACTCCCGTGCTGAGCGATTGCTCACGCGTCCTTTCCCTACAACGCCGCCTAAAAGCACACCTGGACAACCGCCGCTAAACAACGGCCACTTCCAACCATCCAACAAAGCCAAAGGCAAGGCAAGAGAGGTCCCCGTCCCTACTCCACAGGTAGTCGCTCCTATTATCGAACGCCTGCCCGTAGGCCCGAGCGAGATGGTGGAGGTCGCTGCGCGATACGAGGAGGGTGTCTCGCGGCTTGTAGACATGAGTGTCGCATGCAGATACCTTGCTGCTCAATGTCAGGTTCGTCAGGGCAAGTGGATGGAGGCAACTGAGATGCTGGGCGAGGCGAATCCCTTCCGTGGCTCTGGCCGAAGTGGCCCAGAGGTTCCGAACGTGGATGGTGGTATCAAGGTTCGTTTCCTATTCGTCATCCTGCTCACTATGTATCATTACATGCATACAGATTGAAGCGTCTATGTGCCACCTGCGTGGCCTGCTCATGCTCAAGCTCAATCGAGGCGAGCAGGCCAAGCTATGCTTCATGGAGGCGTTGGCTCTAGACATCAAATGTTATGAGGCTTTCCAGCAACTTATTTCGGGAGAGATGATGACTCCCGACGAAGGTCAGCAGAGGACGCGTTCCGTCGACGAACACTGATAGAACGCCCAGCAGAGTGGGAGTTCGTGCAAAACCTGGCATATAAAGAGCAGACGCCTGAAGACGGCGAATTCATCCGCATGATGTACACATCTAGGTTGCGGAAATATAAGCATGCGGAAGAGCACGCAATTGCGAGAACTCGCCTCGTGACCGACTATGGCTTGGGCGACAATCCGGACGTGCTGTTCAGCTTCGCAGATGCACTATATTCTCAATTTAGATGGGCAGATTGCTTTGCCATCACGACTAGGTATCAAGTCCCGCGTCAGATCACTTAAAGTGATTGATCATGGCTGCCTCAGAATTCTGGGCCTTTCCGCTATACATGTGCCGACAATGCCCTTGCATATAGCATGCATGCACCATCTATTACATCTCAACTCAAGATTGTTCATTCTTGCACACGAACTTGTAGACCAAGAGCCGGAGTCGCCCGTCAGCTGGTATGCCGTGGGTGTATGGTACTTTTCCGCGAAAAAATGGGCCGAAGCGCGGACGTACTTTAGGTGAGTACTCGTATTTTTGTGAATAATATGCACGGAAAGCTGAACAACGGGCTCAACATGTTAGCAAGACCTCCCTCATGGATCCGCGCTTCGCTCCTGCGTGGATAGCATTCGCGCATACGTTTGCCGCAGAAGGCGAGCACGATCATGCGATTACCGCATATTCCACTTGTGCACGCATGTTCACGGGGTACGAACCACCGACATAGCTGCATTAGAAGTAACTGATGTGCTGGTATGTACAGATCGCATCTGCCACTGATGTATGTCGGCATGGAACACATTACACTTGCGAACTACCCCTTGGCAGATGAAGCCCTCAATGCCGCTTTTGCAATATGTGACGCCGACCCGCTGTTGTCGAACGAACGCGGAGTCATGGCATATAATCACAACGAGTGAGTCAAACATTGTTTTACAAGACAATCACACTCAATGAACCTCGCTAGCTTTGAACTGGCAGTGATTTTGTTCAAGGAAGCTCTCGACCTTGCAAAGACAGTACAAACATCTGAACAAGCTTGGGTCAATATATATCTCAACCTCGGCTCGGCATATCGCAAGCTCGGGTAGGTGATATGTACGTCTCCGGCTAATTGAAGCTCATTCGTCTCACAGGCGATTAGAAGAAGCGAAGGCCGAGTACCAAAGGGTTATCGAGGTCGACCCGCAGAACCAGTCCGGGCTTGCTTTCCTCGGAATCACGTACCATCTGTTGGGTGACATCGATGCAGCCATAGAGAAGTACCACGAGGTGAGTCTTCAATTGTCCTGATTGCCCATGCCATGCATCTTGCCGACATAGCTTTCTCTCTAGACCCTTAGCATCGACCCGATCAACGGCCAGGTGCTCGAACTGTTGGAGCTTGCATTGGAAACGAGCGCGGATAGGAACGATTTTGGACTCGTGAACTTCCCCGGTGGCGAGGAAGCGTGGGCGCAGAAGATGCGGGAGCATAGGGATCGGGATAAGGGGAAGCGGATCGCGACGAGGGACTATCCGCAGGACGAGCCAGCGAACGCGGACGAGATGAGCATAGGATAATGCGAGGGCTCGTTGTGCTCGTGCATATCATATATGGTGCAGTGCATTCTGGCGATTATGGCGCAGATCTAAATCGTAGCGGGAGATTCATCTTCGTAGGTTTGGGCGTCTATGTTGCAACTACACCCTTACGCATGGTATCCCTGTGATACTGGTATCGTAGAGGATCGTCCTTGTACACCGGCCAGCTACCACCGTAGCCCATGGCATAGCCTGCCGCCTTGGCTCCCCATTCGAGAAGCGGCCGCCAAAACATCGCAGGAGGCCGAGGTTCAGATGCGCGAGAATGCTTCCGCCGCCGCCTTTTTTGATGGGTATCTTTCAATGCATACACCGATGCGGTTGGAATTACAGAAACGACAGTACAGGAAATGTCGTTGTAGGAAGGATTGTGCGGGGACGGTAGGACCTCTGAGCCTGGCTTCAGGGATGTTATCTTGGGCGGCTCCGGTGGGTCTTTAGGGATCTCAGCTAAAAACATCTGAGGATGTGGTGATGGAAGTTTGGCTTGTACATGAAGGATCTTCTTGTCACTTTGCGGGTGCGACTACACGGATATGAGTAAGCTATTTGAATGGAACGGTGCATCAGAAGTCACGCACATGAAAGATCTTTTCCCCTTCCTGCTCAATCCACCCGAAGTCTACGGCGACCGCTTGTGCTTGAGATCTTCGTCGCTCCGCCTCCACGTCATCATCTTCGCATTCAGGTTCCTTCACACTGTGGACGATTAGCAAGTGTATTTGCATTTGCACACGAGGAGGGCTGACTTTAGAGCCGGGATTGGCTGAGCACTCAATGAGACAGGTTTAGGAGGTAGCCTCTCTGACACAAGACGGAAAGCTGCTGTCATTGTGAGCCAGATCGCGCGATGCCAGCCACGAAAACAGACGAACGCATAGACTCCACCAAGTCTGTCCCCGCCTCGTCATTCCGTTTCGTCTTTCGCTTCTTTTTCTTTCTTAAATGCTCCTCTTCATCGGCCATTGACGCGTCCATACTGAGATAAACATCACCGAGAGATCTCTTCACCAACTGCTCTAGCTCGCTGAGCAATTTGCTGCGATTCTCGTCCGTCTCACCAGACCTAATGACAACATCGTCGTCTTTAAGGGCAGCGCGCGTAGTGATTTCGAGAGCGTCGCCGTTGAGGGTAGGATTTGAGAACTTTGGCACCGTAAACATGAGATGGACGTTGTCGGGGTGAGTAAAACTCGAATCTCGATCCTTTGTTTGGATCGGAAGCCTTTGGTATACAACGCCACGTGGTGATCGTACCCTTAACCCGATCTCCCTCATCCGCGCCTGTACAACCCTGCTTTCTCTCTTCCTCCAAAAATGTCTGCACATCCAGAAACACCACAAAAGCCGATGAAGCGCAAGAAATTGCGCGCTCTCCATTCGGCGCAGTCCGATGCAGCTCCCAGCGTGCCGAAGCCGGCAGACCAGCCGCAGAAGAAGAAAAAACATCGAGAGGATATGTCTGCATCTTCACTACAGGCCGAACAGCCAGCATCGTCTACAAAACGCGAGACTGTACGCACAAATACGGCACCCGCTGTACAGCCGCCTCTGCCGCCATCGACTCACGGCGATGCGCGCGAAAAAGCAGGTAAGAAACGGCGCGATAAAGCGGAAGGACTTGTTTCCATTCCCCCTCCAGCTGTTACATCGGCGTCTCAGGAGGCAGAAAAACATGTTGATAAGGGGGAAGCTGGAGAGAGGAAGGAGAAACGGAAGAAGGCTAAGGCGAATGCATCCGCACCTGCTGTCGCTCCGGCGAGTGTCCCTGCATCCGTCGCTCAACCCAAGGATGATGAACAAGAGACCCAAGCATCTGCAAAGAAAATAAAGCGAAAGCAAAAGGCCCAGGCGAGTGTTCTTGCACCTGTGGAGCCACCGAAGACTGCAGCAACAACATCTACGCCTGAGCAGCAGCCCAAGAAACGCAAACGAAAGGCAGACGCGGACTCGAAGTCTGCCGCGCCTGAAACCGCCACGCAGGACACGTCTAAGGAAGCAGCAGGCGAACTGCAGCCGACGGCGGGAGACGTGAGTATCGCAGACACCACCAAGCAGAGCAGGAAAAAGAGAAGGCTACAGGCCGGCGTGGTTGCCACGCCAGCGGCGCAGCCTGTTAAGGCACCAGAGGCAGCCAAGAGTCTGCACGGACAGGCAGGACAGGAGAAGGAGGAGAACGCGCAATTTAATGCCGCTCTTACTGACGAAGCCGTGCCTATCGCCTCTGAGAAGAAGAAAAGCAAGCAGAGGAAGCAAGTTGTGGCGGAACAGAGCAGCAAAAAGCTGCCTGCATCTGCAGCGCTCGCTGAACCCGAGGAGCTTTCCAGCAAGAAGGCGAAGACCGAGTCGAGTGCCCTGAAAGCCTCGCAGGCTGCTCCAGCAAAGGAGAGCTTGAAGAGCCGCCGTGTCCGTGCTCTTGCAGAGGAAAAGGAACAGCCGTCGCAGCCTGCCCCCGCGACGGAGAAAAAGAAGGCAAAGCCGTCTCAACCCACTCCTGTGAAGGCGACTGCGACAGCATCACTCGCCTCCGCGAAGGAAAGCGGGAAGAGGTCACAAGCAGCTTCTAAGGAGAAGTCGGTGTTAAAGGATCCGGCTGAGGAAAGAGTGAAGGCGCAGCTTGCCCTTGCGAAGGAGACCGGGAAGTCTCCTGCAAAGGAAAGCGCGAAGAGGTCGAAAACTCTACCCGCGAAGGAGGCCACGAAAAGGCCTGTGACGAAGGTCCCAGCGAAAACTGCACCAGTTCCCAAAGCGAAGAAAGCGGCGAAGACAAAATCCCCATCTCCTCCACCAGAAGCTTCTGAATCCGATGAGGACGAGGAGGAAGCTGTCTCCATTAGCGGTGTGGAGGTTGAAGAGGAGGAGGAGGAGGAGGAGGGGGCAACTAGTGATGACGAGGACGAAGAATCAGTCATCTCGGGTAGCGATAAAGAGAACGAGGAAGAAGTGGAGGAGTCGCTGGCAGGCAGCGACAAGGAGAACGAAGAAGAGGATGAAGAACATTTGTCCGGCTTTTCCACGGACGATGACGACTCTTCCGACGACGAGAGGGCGGAAGAGTGGGAGAATGTTGGCGTGTCAGAGCTGCCGACCGTCTCCAAGGACGATGCGGTCGTGAAGCAGAAGCTGGCGAAGGCGAAAAAGTATCCGGTATGCATTATTCCCTTCTCGACACACTCTCTGTCCTGAGTTCCGCTTGTTGTGCAGAGCGAAGACCGCGGAGTGATCTACCTCGGCAGGATACCGCACGGGTTCTACGAAGACGAGATGCGCGCATACTTCTCGCAATTCGGCACCGTCACGCGTCTCCGGATCTCACGTAACAAGAAGGTACGTCGCTCATTCCATTCATCTACAACCTATTCGCTCGTCCGTTCTAACAATGCCATTCATAGACCGGCCACTCGAAACACTACGCGTTCATCGAGTTCGACTCCGCATCTGTCGCGAAGATCGTCGCGGAGACGATGGACAACTACCTCCTCATGGGACACATCCTCAAGTGCAAGGTTATTCCGAAGGATCAAGCCCACCCCAAGCTGTGGGTCGGCGCGGGCAGGAAGTGGCGCACCGTGCCGCGCGCCCGTGTGGTAAGGACGCAGCACAACAAGGTGCGTTGTGGATCAGGATCGTTGAACTGCGTCGATATGGTGTTTTATTGACGACTGATCAACCACAGAAACGCACGGGGAAAGAGCAGGAGAAGGCGGAGGAGCGGCTGCTCCAGCGCCAGAGCCTGAAGAAGCGCAAGCTGGAGGAGGCAGGCATCGACTACGATTTTGAAGCCGTTGCATACGTGCGTCTTCCAGGATTTCTCAACCTCCATACACGCTCTGATGTCATCTTGCAGAAAAAGAAGGGGAAGCTTTCCACGGCGTGAACATTGATGCTCGTCCTTTTCTCTGTTGGATATCCGTCTTGCCTCTGTTCGCTTGTTCAGTCTCATTACTAGATCTCTGTCCTCGACCATGCAGTCTCTACGGTTGACACAGGCGCAGGACCTGTTCAGGTCTTACTACGTGATGCTTTAGTCTCTGGGATTCGTTGCTAGATCTGGCATGCTGTAGCATCTATTTTCGTTCCAGGAACTAGGCCTTTCTTGCATTTATCGGTGCTACCGGTGCGCAGTATCATTTCTACGGCCTTGGAATCTGCCATCGTCGTTGATGGCCTTCAATATGACAAACATGGCCCTGTTCCGGTGCTACGGTCGCATTTTCCATGGCATGATTTCGTTACTCGTCAGAACCTCCCACCTTCGGCCTTTTACAGGCTATCCCACAGCCGAGGGCGTACGTCCCAGTGGCGTCTGCGTGGGGTTGCTAAGCCAAGACCATGACAGCGGTATGACGTGCCTGACAGCGAGCCCACAGCAGCAGCTAGGTGCCGGTGTCGTTGTCACCACACATGCCGTGCAGTGCACACTACGGGCCGGATCCAGTTAGCCCGACAGGTCCCAATGGGGTGCTCGGGCTCCGCACCGCCTTTGCGTGATGATGTTTGACGTACGAACGTGCATCGGCGTGCCCCGTGCGCGGGTTGGATATTGCTTACTGAGCGCAGGGCGGCGGCGGCGTGCGCTGGAATTTGGTCGAGACCAGTTCCAGGGGGTTCTTGCTTGGCTGCGCGAGGATCCTTGCAAATGGCGCTGATTACACCAGGGACGTTGATGATTTCGTATCGTGGAGCGAAACTCTGTTGGGCGTTGAGTGCTAGAACATGACTTTTTCCCCCCGCTGGGCGCATTTACATAACCGTGAAGACGTGATTGGCACTGTAGTGTGTGCGTCAGTCGTTGGTTCCGTCTTCTCTCTCCCGTCCAGGACAGCCTGGGCAATGTACGCCGAACAAGATTATTTGCACTCAACTCGATAGTCTCGAATCACAAGTATAGCTGGCAGTCTCGAATAGTCCCTCATCTCGTACGTTCCATCCTACAGCCTCCCCTTAGCCTTCCCCCTCCCCTTCCCCTCATCCCTCTTCGCCTCCTTCAACGACCCCCTCCCTGACCCGCGCCCATAATCCGCCGCCTGCTCGCCCCTGTTGTGCGCCACCACCTGTGGGTTCTCCTCCTGATTTCCCATGAGCTGTTCCTTTGGATTGTCCTCTGGTCGGTTATCCGACGGCTCGGACGGCTCTGCGAAGCGCGAGGTCTCGAGTTGAGGAGCTTTGGGCGGCATGGTGATGTGAAAGTTGTTTGAGTATGCGATGCTTGATCAACTGGGCGCGTTATCTTTGAGAGAAATGTTTCTAGTATTTGATATAGAAGAGCATACGCTTTTCAACTCCTGTAGCTGTCGTTACGCGACAGAGACGTTATCGTGTTATGATGAAATGTGCGCAGGCGATGCAGTCGCTTGCAATGTATGTCCTGTCCTTCTACGTCATGGACGCCCCCCACCGCTCCATCATTGTGAGAACTCCACCGATCGCAAGTTGGTTCCGCACAATCAAACATACACACCTTCCTATCTCGGACACTCCACAATTTCCCACGCTCGGCATTTCTTTCAGTCAATCGCGGGGCGAATCGAAGCAGTATGCATCGGGCAAGGAGCGTGGGTATATTCATTACATGCAGCCCGCAGCGCGTCCTGCGCGTTCACGCATACAAGGCTGCGATACATTACAGTGAACGTAACAGTCTGGCGCACACACGCGCGCGCCATCCACGAGAGTGAGTGACTAAGTAATGAGAGCATAAATACATCATGCAGCGACGGGATAGAGACATTGAGCAGCAGTGTGAGTGATGAAGCAAGAAATGGAAGCGGGAAGGAAACGTCTGGCATACACTCAATTATGAGTCTCCTGAAGCAGCGACACCTGCATAGAAGACAAAGACGAGTCAGCGCTGGATGGTGGACAAGGGTATGAGGCAGTGCTGACCTTCGATGAACCCTTCCTGCTTCTCGTTCGAGAGGTCTTCCAACGTCTCGTTCTTCGTTTCCCTGATTAGCAACGTCGAGAAAACGCCCGTCAACATAAACAGCGCCAATATCTCAATACTGCATCGGCCATCCGTCAGCCACCGCTCCTCCCACCAAAACACAATACAGCCAACTCACATGTGCTTCACAAAGTGGTTCGTCCCGCCAATGTTGGCCAACCGCGCAAAGCCGACCTGCGAAATGACCGCGCCGAGCTTCCCGCTCGCGGCCGAGATACCGTGGCTCGTCGACCGGTAGCGCGTCGGGAAGGCCTCGCCGGGGACGATGAACGTCGTCGTGTTCGGCCCAAAGTTCTCGAAAAAGTTCGCGAGGCAGTACAGAAACACAAACGCGCCTTTTGCGCTCGTCGTCGCCGTCAGCTTGTCAAAGCCAAAGCCTGCACGCACGTCCTTGACTCAGCAACACCGCTCTCGCGGTATGAGAAGAACGCACCCATGATGACGAAGAGAATCGTGAGCATGATGAAGCCCATGAGCTGGAGTGGCTTGCGGCCCCACCTGTCGATGACGAGGAATGACGCCCAGTAGCCGGGAATGTACCCAGCGACGGTGAGTATGATGTTCCCGACACAGATGTTGTGCAGGTTCGTGTATATCTTGCGCGTCCCCGTCAAGCCGTTGCTTGGCGTGCCAAAGCCGATAGCCTCGAGGATGATAGACTGGTTCAGGCCCAAACCGTAAAACGCAATCTGCATCACGATCCTCATTCAGCCGACGCTCGTCGATACGAAGAAAAAAACAAAACGAAGACTCACGTCCAGCGCGAACCACGAGTACGCACACCCGATCAACAGCTTGAGGTTCTCCCACTTGGAGTAGTACGCCAAGAAGTCGCGCTTGCTCGCCTTTGGCGCCTGCACGCGCTGCACGACCGCGTCCGGGTCGACAAAGTAGCTGCCCGTCGTGAGGAAGTTCTCGACGTCCTGCGACGCCTGCTTCACGTTGCGCTCGACGTCCATCGTGAAACGCGGTGTCTCTGGGATCGTCAGCCGGAAGTAGAGCGCGACCGCGCCTGGCACACAGCCCAGCCCGATCAGGATGCGCCACATGGCGTCGACGCAGGGCGTGTCAGCGGGCCCGTTTATCAGCGTGTCCTTGTATCCCACAACGATGACGAGGGCGACGATTGAGCCGGCTGGTGACGGCTGGTGAGCGGCAAATCCAGATAGGAAAAGGGTGCGGAGACGTACTGAGCTGACCCCAGCCCTGGTTTGCGAACACAGCGGTCATAAGCCGGCCGCGTGAGCGCGCTGAGGCGAATTCGGAAGAGATGACGGCGCTGAGAGGATAGTCGCCTCCGATCCCGATTCCCATCTGCGCGGCACATTCGAGGAGTGAGAGGCGGCGTTGGCGAAGGTGTTTGTGAACGGACTTACGAAAACTCTCCAGACGATGATGACACCCAACACATTGACTGCGTGCGCCTCGCCGGCGACCGCCTGGCCGAATGTCGCGACGATGATAATCATGAGCTCGATACCATCTGTCCGACGCGCATAGTCTTCTTAGTCAATTTCTCGTATACTGGTAAGACGTAGACTCACACATCCTCTTACGTCCGACGACATCAGCCAGCCAGCCGAAGAGAAACTGGCCGATAATGTTGCCCATTGGCGTGGCGACCTTGACGCCAAGACTTTCGTTGGTGGTGAGAGCGCCATCTGGCGTAGAACTATTATTTAGCGCAAGCTGATGGCTCGTGAGGAGAGCTGACTTTTTCCATACACGTAGCCCAACATGGTCGACGCAATGTTGATAGCAAAAATATCATAGCTGCAGTATCGACCAGTAATGAATATAACGTGCATATATATGCGAGGATAAGTAGACGACTTACGCATCTGTGAAGAAGCCGACACCGGCGACCAGCATCACCTTGATGTGGAACCAACTGCGCCGCGGTCGCGAAGATCAGCAACCAAAGCTACATTAAATTTGAACGAGTCAACTGACCTGAACTTGGCATTGTCGACCTCTGCTAGCGCCGCTCGTCGCCTCTCATCGAGCGCGTAGGCAGTGTTGGTCTCATGACCGACCTTCTCCAAGGGGCGATCGGAGCTGCTGGTAGACCCTTTGTCCATGATCTCGGAGGCCATCTCGCGAATCAAAATGCTAGCAAACGAAGAGCGTGTGCGGCTAGCAGGATGGTTGTGGGCGCGAGGAAGTGAGGGACGGGAAGGGGCGGTCGATAGCGGCGGGGACTTTTAAGGACAGGCATCTTCTAGTCCGGCACGCGGGCGTCCCGCACGCTGATGAAATTGGGTAGCTCGTATGCAGGACTCGGCTGATGCGAGAGGATTCTCCCATGCTTCGCGTTCCTTGCACGTTCGTAGTCCCCGGCCAATCACAGCCCGCCCTTCTTGGCGTCAGTCGCCCACGTTTGCCACCGACCGCGCGCACTCGAGAGTCGCTCATTCCAGCGCCCAGCTCTGCAGCCGGGGAACCTGGAGCTCTTCGTCGTCCGCTCCTCTCGCTCGAAGTTTTCACTTGCGAGTCCAAGCTCCGTAGAGAGATAAGCCTCGTTGGTGATACTTTGAATCCTACGTTTGACAGATCTTCCTACCATGTGCTACCATCACACGCGGAGACCCCTCCTCTGAACTCTCGCCTGCTATAAGTTCGGTGGCTCGCTTCGATAGTCGCGGCGTTCTCACAGCTGTAGTGCTCGTCGATTCATCTCCCGCCTTGGTCATGCAGTCTATTAATTCTCTTACGTTTGCCGCAACTCTATCCGGGGTGCCAGAGAGCAGGGACTTTTGGATGGTGCCTGTGTCGCGATTGCGTACCACCCCGGCTGAGGCCTGAGGCGCGGAAGCTCCGTAATTTGTGAATGGCCTCTCGCGACAATTCAGTCCTCCCTCTCAATTATCACCGTGCGCTACGTATCGATGCAGTCTTCTCTACCCCCTACAAAACGAGGGTCGTAAACGTCCATGTCTTGGCTGTGGGTAAGACAGCGCCGTAGTGTGCTCACTGTATTGTCCTAGTGTTGTCCAGGCCGCCAACGTGCTGCGCTCGTATTCTCAATCATTATCCCTGCCAACGCGTTCAGCTATCCTTGCACGGTTGTGCACTGCCTTCTGCGAGCGCACTGCAGCTCTGCCGCTTGTCATGTCATCGCCACAACCCGCATCACCATCACCTGCGCGCCACTATCGCAAGCCACCAATCGCCCCTTATGCATAATCTCCGGGTCGTCTGATCCGCGAGTCATGAACGTGTCCCGTAGGTTCTGTCACTGACGTTGTATTCTTAATCGGATGATTTCCATGCGACGTAAATGTATTACGAGGCAATGATGGTGCTTACTGTCTTGTGTTACAGTTCATGATGCTTTGGCACTGGGCGCTCATTGTCAGAGTCTGCGTCCTACGTCGTGTAAACGGGTCTTCGAGAGGCTCTGGTCGTGTAGATGGATGTTACTCCACGGTGAACTTCTGCCGTACCATTGCACACATTTTCAAGCGAGTCGGTATGTGCCAGGAACTCTTCCCTCCCTCCATCCCGCCCGCTCTGTCGTTCGCACTTCCGTCTGGTTGACATGGCCTTAATAGACATGCGGCAATGCTAGCTCTGCACCATCCGCCACATTGGCGTCGGTGTGCTCTCCACCTTCCATCGTCAACGCGTCTCTCCCAACACATCAATCACACCAACCTTGGCATGGATATTCGAATTTCGAGAGCTGTCATGTTCTTCAGTCCTCCCACGACGAGAGCGGTGGTGCCTGCAGTTCTTGTCAAACTCTTCTCCTATCTCCTCACAACGTCCCTACCTGCAGAGAAAGAATGGTCGGATCATCCTCGCCATTATCGCTCACCCCGGATAACCTATCATATTTGTTGAGTTCAGAACGAAACCACCCCTTCTCTCATCGATCTCCGGGACATAAGCGAACGCAGGCAGCGGATGTGTTCCACGGATCATGTCTGCAGTGCCTTCTTGAACTCTGCTCCTGCCTTCTTTCGGAACTGCGTTCGCGGCGGAGTGCTCGGACCAACCTCGCCGTCATCATTTGTTTTTGAGATCTCAAAATCCGCTGATTGAGACAGAAGATGACCTCTCTACCTCCGGAGAACAACAGGTTCGAGAAGATAGTAAGTTCCATGTCGCATAACGCAGCATCTCAGCTGCAGTTCTGACGCACGTACCACATATGACGAATCCGCTCATCAGTAGCCGTTGCAAATCCAAGATATCCGCTGGTGAAACACGGGATGTCGCGCTCTGTGTCCTCCATAGCTTCGTGCCTCGCTCTGTTTCTTTCATCAAGTTGCAGGTCCTTATCCGCGGAAGCACGTCTTTAGACGTTGAGTTATTGTCATCATGCACAGATCGTGAACGAGCTGATGCACCGCTACCACGGTGTTGTCTCCCACAGCCGTCGCTCGTCCTGTCTCTCTTGCGGGAGCGAACTGTCGTCTATGACATCTACATCAATCAGCTTCCAAACATCTCACCAGGTAGAAAGCCCACCAACGAAAGAGACGCCAAAACTTCACCTCTAACCTGATCATGGTGAGAGCGCCTCACCGGTATGCTTCTCTGTTGGTGGCGGTCTAGGTCCTACCTGACGCCTCTTACTACAAGCATGTGGAATGATCGCGCTGTTCGAGCGGCTGATCCTTATAACCGGGGAAGAACAGTAATCTCGGTTCCGTGGGCGATGCGAGCAGTTCGGTGTTCCATGGTAGCTGTCTTCCCCTGATGCTGTTGCAAAAGCCACCATTCATTGGTCTCGTACCCAAACCTCTCACCGAAAAAGAGGTTTGGGTACGAGACCACCATTCATAGTGTCTACGCGTCTGGTCCTGACGATTGCAATTGCTTCGGATAAGTACGATATCTTTGGTTCGCCTGGCACTTTCCTAATTGATCATCGTCAGACGTGACAGCATCTCACCTCTCCAGGAAGTTCAGACAGTCTCTCCAGTGTCCACGTAAACAGATGACTTTGATGTTTCAAACTCGAGCTTGTTGGATTGTTGGGCCAGACAAGGTTACTTTGAGGATACCCTGAAGGAGCGTTTCAATCGGGCCTCTCCTGTCTCGACCTCCTGATCTGATCTGATCATAGAGTACCCAGTGCAACCAGGATACGATCGCCCTCCTTGGAGAGGGAAATTGCGGTGGAAACCTATTTTCTCCCATGGCGTTCTCCCTCGCTGTCAAATAACTAGCGCGCACGTTCGTGGCATATGCTAGCTAGGAAAGGAAAAGGTCTCGGCCGGGCTACTTACGGTAAAAGATCCCGCGCCCATCTGCGGCGCCTCCCTGCAGCAACATCGGTCGCGAACCCGTTACCAACTCTGGACTCATTATATTCACAGAGAAGCAGTACCCCATACGCTCCCTGACGGCGATCATTGGCAACGCTGCCTTTAGCGTGTTTCGCACGGGGTCTCGCGTGTTCGTACACCCACGCTATCTGGCTGTCGCCACAGCATCTACGGATGTCCAATCGGCTAGGCGGGTGAGGCCGGCTGTCGTTCCACGAACGACGAGTCGGGAGTCGGTTCCTGGGACCTTTCTCTCGACAGTGGCTTCGTCAATTACATATACCCGCGCTCCCACCGCCCTATTTGTTATTTCTGGCGTCATCTCCGTGCTTCTCTTCACGTCGACCGCATCTTCTCACGCTGTTTGTCTAGGCACCCAGCAGATCCGGAACCGCGATCTGGCATGTGTATGTTATACCGCCGGCACCGATTCAGGTATAAAGCGATCTATGTGGCTCGCACCACACTTGTATTGACCCTCTTGATAAGCGTGCTCGTGCTCCACCGCGAATGAATTAGGCGTCTCGCTGCGCCCGTATGGCCACCTCCCCGCGGAGAGTCTCCACGCTGCACTGGAACAAGTCATCGACCCAGGAGTTGCGCAGCCATGTTGTCGCGCCATTTCAGGATGACGCTATCTATCTCATCAACGAGAGACGGCGCGCTGTCCTCGCGGAGATCGATAACGCCAGGTTCTCGTACGTGACGTGCTTGGTTCCAAGTAACCCTTCGCAGAGTTGTTGAAATGGTGGTGGCAGATGGTTCCACATAAAGGTCGCGTTCGTATCTGGTGCCGGATTCTTCGCCGATGCGTGAGCCTACTTCTCATGTTAACACGGATCATATGACATGTTGGGGCGTTCATTAACCTCACAATACCAGATATGACATCTTTGCCATCAACATTGTCGCTTCCATGCTAGGATACGTGTACGGCGACGGTACGTTTTGAAAGCATCCGTTAATTATTTGCATACCGATGGTGGTTGTCGCAGAGGATGATGTTTCGAAGATGTCTGCTGCGAACGGATCATTGGACCCGATGAAGAGTCTCGGTGTCAAGATCGCGACGCCCATCGGGATAATCGTGGGACAATTATTCTTTGGCTGGCTGGGCGACCTTCTGGGCCGCAAGCGTATCTGTAGGAGCACATTATTTCCACACTATGCTGTCGATTTGCTAACTTGGGCCTTCGCCGTAGATGGCCTTGAGTTGATCATCATGATAGTCGGCACATTTGGCCAGGCAATGTCGACCCCCAGTCATAGCGTCAGCTTTGTCGGTCTCCTGATCGCGTGGCGATTTTTTGTGAGTCCGCTGAACCTCATTCACATTTTGCTGTGCTGAGGTACCTGCAGATGGGCATAGGCATCGGGGGAGACTATCCTCTCAGCGCGGTGATCTCCTCCGAGTTCTCTTCTACTCGCATCCGGGGCCGTGTGATGACCGCTGTGTTTGCGAATCAAGGCTGGGGACAACTCGGTAAGTATTCAGGTCTCTTCAGCATCAGGGGCACAAAGGCTCACACACGACTCCAAGCTGCAACGGCTGTCTCCTGCATCGCGGTGCGTGCATACAGGGACAGCCTTCTCGGTGACAGCGCAAATTTCTTCAAAGACATAGACCAAATATGGCGCATCATCATCGGCTTTGGTTGTGTGCCTGCCGTCGTCGCTCTTTACTTCCGTCTTACCATCCCGGAGACCCCTCGTTTTACTATGGACATCAAGCGGAACGTCGAACAGGCAGCAATTGATGTCGACGCATTCCTCACGACGGAGGCATACACCGTTGACCCGGAAGCGGTGTCTCAGAGGATTGCGGCAAGGAAGGCTACGAAGGAGGACTTCCGTTCATATTTCGCGAAATGGGAGAATTTGAAGGTGCTTCTAGGTACTGCTTATTCGTGGTTTGCCCTTGATGTCAGTGGACGTTCGCGGGAGGTCTTTTTCCACGGCTGACACTATACATTGCAGGTCGCTTTCTACGGTCTTGGGTTGAATTCATCCACCATTCTGGATGCTATCGGATTTGGATCGCCTGATGAGAGATTTGTCGGAGGCCGCGCAGCGTACGAGAACCTCAAAAACATTTCTATTGGTAACCTCATTCTTTCGCTTGCTGGGTTCATTCCCGGATACTGGGCAGCCTTTTTAGTCATCGACCGCTGGGGCAGGAAAAGCATTCAGTTGATGGGGTTCTCCATGTTGACCGCCCTGTTGATTACCATGGGTGCGTATTAGCAGCAAGATAGCAAACCTCTCTGACATGGACTACGTAGGGTTCGCATACAACCGCTTGATGGTCGCTCCTCATGGCAAGGCAGTCTTCGTATTTCTCTACTGCCTGGCAAACTTCTTCCAGAATTTTGGCCCCAACACTACCACCTTTATAATACCAGGAGAGGTGTTCCCGACGCGATATCGATCTACAGCGCATGGAATTTCCGCTGCAAGCGGTAAATTTGGTGCGGTGGTCGCGCAGGTCGGCTTTCAATGGCTCAAGGATATTGGTGGCCAGAACGCGTTCCTGGATCACATGTAAGCCCCTTACATCCGATCAGGTGTGCACGACATCGACGGGTTCTCGGATAGTTTGCAGATCTTCGGCTTCTTCATGCTTACTGGCATCTTCTCTACTATGCTGATACCCGAGACAAACCAACGCTCCTTGGAGGCACTTTCAAATGAGCGGCAAGATAGCTTCTTCCGTATTCCTAGTAAACGCATGTCCCTACCTCACGCTGTCAATTCCTCATTGTCGCGCAGGTCGTAGCCAACGCGGGAGTACGGGAACTCAAGGAAGCGCTTTCCCCATGACTCCAATCCGACTCCCTCCATTGAGCGTAAACGGGGCTCCCGCAACCATCACCATCGCTGACAAGCATGGATGTGCCGATTTTGATATTGTATCTCCGTATACCAGCACGTCAGATGCGTCCTTCACATAAATATCTACCCATTCGTTTCACAGTGCTCGTCTATTACCTATTCATGTGCTTTCGTCGCTTGCACGCAATTTGCATAATATGTACCGGGGTGTCTTCGGGAGGTAGAGTAGACTATGTAAAAGAATGTTCAATGTAATTAACAAATGTCGATTATCTCTCGATCTCGCAGTAGAAGATTCGGGTATTATTGACACTGGAAGCCGTGCTTGTCGAGTAGTACTTTCCGCCTAACGACTACGTGGAGAGATATCCGCATGGCATCTTAACGCGCCACGGCGCGGAGGTGCAACGGATGACCGTGAAGGGTCAACGCGGCTGGTACGCCTGCGTCCACTCGGCACGGAAAGACCGGAGGGCTAAAGTGACGCGTACTATCGCGTCAGCAAATTGCACCAGGGTAAAGCATCTCGTATTCATACCTAAAGTGACGCGTACTATCGCGTCACTGTGCTATGCATAAGTACATCGGTACAGTGCGGAACGATAGGTAAAACCACGTACGCGGATTGCACCAGGGTAAAGCCTCTGGGGCATCCGAAGTACTCAATGCGAATATATATGCTGGCTGTCATGACTCTGAAGGCAAATGAACGTTGGGGAACTCAATATCGAGTGGGGCATATACTAAACTAGGAAACAATATGACCTTATAAGTAGTATAGTGACGGTGGCCCGACACCCGAAGGCGGCCGCAAGCGACACATCTTCGTCGATTCCATTACCAAGGGTGGCCGAAAAGCATAATATAGGACGATAGGACTCAATATATGCAATAGTCAATCAGTTAAGTCCTTGACATGTTTGGGCAGCCACCGTGACGATGCGATCACGTGCATGTGACCGACGCGTCGCGCAGCGGTCTTACCGGGCGCGTATGACCCCTTTTATTTCTCTGTGCATCTTTTGAAACATAGTCGACGGAGAAGATATATGCTGTCCTTCTTATGACTCTCAATCCCCTCAGAAGACCACAAACTCTGAAAAAAGGACCATTCCACGAACGCGCTGCTTCGATTTCAATTGATAAAGCTGGACCAGATACGCAACATGAGCTTGCGTCCTCTGCTCATCAAAATGCAATATATGCGTTCAAAAGTGTACATGTGAAACTTTCCTCCGTGTATACTGATACTATGTTACAGTAGAATGGTACGCATTGACGTTGAGCAATAAATACTCTGAAAGCATGAGAGAGGGAGAGGTCGTGTATATGTAGACGTCGTGAAATGGCAAGTACTTAACATTTGCTTTCACGGCTTGCCCGTCAGCTGCTGCATCTTCGCTTCCCTTTCGCTCTGTAAAAAGTACGCAAAGACGCAGGTCAGCGCCGATACCCAAGGTGCTACCGAAAACCAAGCACTCACGTCATCAGCGGCCTTCTGCGCTCTCAACCACTCCACCTCCAAATTCTTCTCCTTCAGCATATCCGTAATATCCGCCGCATGATCCCTCGCCGTCTCCCTCGCATCCTCATATGTCCACAACTCCGCCTGCGCACGATCAAAACGCGCCTTCGCCGCAAGGTGCTCGAGCTCCTCCTTGTGGAACGTGCGCAGCGCCTTGGCGTGTGCGCTCACCGCACGGCTTTCCTCGCGCACCGCGTTCTTCTGCATCTTCTGGATGTCCGCGAGCTCCTTGATCGCCTGCTCTAGTGCCTTGCGCTCCACCTTCCCTTCAGACTTGAGCACTTTGGAGATCTGCTTGCCTACTTTGGCTGCACGGCACCATGAGTGTCTGTCCTCTCGCTCAGATAAAGGACGTACCATGCGCCTTCCCGATGCGTGACCTTTGCTTCGGCGTCAGCCCGGCCTCCGCGACCTTGCTCCTCTCCACAAAGCTGTGCGTATCGTCCGGCTGGGGCGTCGCACTAGGCCCAATTGTGCCGGGACCCTCTGCAAAGGTACCTCCGCTGAGGCTGAAGTGCCGCCGCCTCTCGGAGAAGCGCGACGCCGATGTGCTACGCCCGCTCTCGAAATCGGCGCGATCATGGCTGCGCCCGCGAGAGGTAGCTGAGCGGAAGGAACGCAAGGAGCCCGTGCGCCTCGATATGGAGCGGGTCCGGCCGTGACGGGACGGCTCGTCCATAGGAAAGTCCTCATCGACGTCGGCGTTTTCGTCGGTACCTTGCGGTGCGTTGCTGTCCACGACGCCATTACGCCGGGGGTTCTGGGCGTTGTCCGTCCAGAGGATGGGAATAGGCTTCATGTCGGTGCTGGTTCGTGGGGAGCGGGACGTCGAACTTTGTTTGTCTTTCGCGCCCGCTGAAGATGCATAGCCGGAGTCAGAGGTCGTGCTCGCCGCGGCTGCGGATGACTTGGAGCCGACAGGGAGTTGCTCGTCGTTAACGTCACCACTGGTATCGCTTGTGCTGGCACTTCCCTTGTCCGTGGCGATGACGGGGTTCGGTGCGATGCTCACTGACGACGGGCGGTCGAGATCGGCTTGCTCGCCGTCCTGCGGCTGATCTGCCTTTGGAGCCACGTTATGGTCGGTGTCAGCCGTCGGGAGGATAGAGTCATCGACAGTTTCGCCGTCCTCATTATTTCTGGTGAATATATGCATGATGGGTGCGTCGTAGTAGAGGCTGTGTTCGGATGCGGTATCGGGAGGGGGAGCGGTGGGGGAAGACAAAAGTGGGGGAGACATGGATGACGGGTGGGTGGGTATAAGACGGATATATAGCGGATAGGCAGGTGTGGCGCTGGGCACAACTCAGATGCCAGTGGAGTGCTCCCACGCGCCTGGTCGATCGAAACCGCGCGCTTGCCCTGATCGGGCAATGATATACCCCTTTTCGGCGATGACGTCGGCCTAGAGCTAGTGGTGTTTACTGATTAACATTCTGGGATACGACGGTCTGCGTGCTTCAAGGTCTGTCGGCGCTCGAAACGACGGAGGCGCGCAAGTTCGTTTGTGTCGCCACAAGTATCGGCGACAGCGCTCTTTCACCTGCAACACACAGTTCATTGGCTATTGCATCCCGTTGTGTTGTTCTTCTGTCTACAGCCGCTGTCCTTCGTGATTGCATACTAGATCTTTCTGGCGGGTGTTAACAGTCACACCAGCTTGTCCCGTCACGACTTACATGCATGTAGTAAGCTGTTGGAAGATTTCGTATTGATGATGAGTACTCTATGGTTGTGCGGCTGTGCAGTAGTCTGGCACGAGGCTGTGGAGTACGTGATGTGGGATGGGGACTCGAGGAAGCTGTGTACTCATGATGCGGACCTTCGGAGAAGGCTTGTCCACGCACAGCATTTAGGGCGTCGCAATATGGTCCTTACACTGGGATGTGAGTGCTCCATCAATTGTATGTCATGAAATGGATGCGATAACTGGTACAGCTTTGCCATCCTGTGGAGCGGGGCAACGTGATAGCAGAGCAGGTGCTGAGCTGCGAAACCCAGTCAACATGTCACGCGGCCTAGCTCCCCCGAAGACCGGGATTTATGTACCAGTGCTAGCCTTCCCGAAGCGGGAGAAGGTGAGCTGCGTACATTGATTTGCAGACCACATGAGTAACGTATGGGGCAGTGCGAGCGTCTTCGGCTCTTTAGGATGCCTATATAGTCGCACGATGGGGTGATACCATTGATATCAGTACCTGGCCCACAGACGTGTCTCCAGTATTTCCTGACTTTACGGCATCCTTCAAACGCCGAACCGCCCGCCGTGTCAAAGATCGAAGAGCTCGAGAGATCGTGAGTGGTGAACCTTTCTACAATAACATACCGTGACGTTTCGCACGTAGGCCATGAAAGCTGCTGCGATGGGTGAGGGACAGGTTGCTGCACAAGCGAACTTATCACTCCATGCAACAGCTGGAGAGCGTCTCACGTCGGCAGGTAAGAATTGTCGCATTCAGCAATACTAAGCTCTGCACCCACTGAAGCCTTGCCAAGAAATCCCGACCGATGTGTGGGAGAACGTAATTGACCATTTGTGGAACGGGATCGATAATTTGAAAGCATGCACGCTCGTATGCCAAGCATGGTACCCTCGGAGTCGATTTCATCTATTGCGACAAGTCAGGCTGTTCAGCGACGTGGACGCGAAAGCATGCGCCAAGATGCTCAAGCAGAAGCCCACGCTCGCGGAAGGCGTGCGGGACTTGTTCATCGTAGGAGGCAAATCGCTCAACGAGCGACTGCCCATTCCTCACCTGTCGACGATGGCGATGATGCTCGCGCGCAAGCTGCCGAAGCTGGAGCACCTCGAGATCTACAAGGCAGACTGGCAGCCGTGGACGATGCACAAAAACGTTGTCTTGCACCTCTCTTCCTTCTCCTCTGTCACGCACCTCACCCTCAGTGACATCGCATTCCCGTCAGTCACCGCCTTTGGACAGCTCGTCTGTGCGTTTTCTTGCCTGCTCCGGCTGAAATGTGAAACTCTCCAGTTCACACACGGCCGCTTCAATAACGCGACATTCAGCGCTTGGGGAGATCGTGTGAAGACGAGGGAACTACACCTCGATGGCAGCGATTCTGCCAAGGACGTGATTGACTATTTCATCTCCACTGGGATGGGGGCCAACGTACAAAGGTTTTTCATCTTAGACAACACTCAATCGTGGCCCGCCACTTATGAGAATATACACCGACTATCGTTTCAGCGGTTGATTGATTGTGCGGCGACGTCTCTTGTGGAGTTTCAAATATTCCTTGCCGAAGAATACACGCCGCAGAGTACGGCGGAGCGCGCTAGTGAGCAATTCAGTCTCGATTTATGCATTATGCTGATAATCATTTTTGTCAGATGGCACGCTATCCTGCGCCAACAACACTGCACTCAAGAAGCTGTTGTGCGCTATGCCAATCCCCACACCTTACGAGCTCAAATGGATATGTGATTTCCTCTCTACCATGCACGCGGCGGAACTCCAGCAGCTGTCTTTGGTGGTCGACATCCGTGGCAGCGAAGCGTACTTCAGCGTGCAAGACATGTTGAGCGCATGCGGACCTGCCGAATTCTCGCAAATCGACGCTGTGCTCTCATCCCATCGGTTCAAGAGCCTCCGTCAAGTAGAGTTTCAGTTGTGGGCCACCAGGTGGGCAGAGAGCATCCCAGATGCCAAGCAGTGGGAGCTGCGACTGGCGGTATGCTTTCCGCAGCTCATCAAACGAGGGTTTCTGCGGTGAGTAACGCACACTGGCTGCTCTACGCCTCGTCTCAGAGCAATAGCTGAAAACACCTTATCGGCATTTCAGTGCAACGGTGATGGTAGACATGAGTTCCTAGCCCACCAGGTGGGAGGTCGTCGTTGCGACCTGGCAGTGGTAATGCGAGTTTCAAGGGAATGCATAGCTTCATTACTATGGAATGCAGGACAGGCATGCGAGCTCGACGTGAAAGGAGTTGTTTAAAGCCTGGGGCATACTCTGATGTGTAAGCGAGCTTGCGGAATAAAGGCAGTGGAAAGGATGGATACCCACATTGAGCATATCCTCTCTTATGTTTGACGACCTTGATGTAGTTATTCGACGCTCTACATTGAATGTCAACGTCATTGCGTCGAACACATAAGCGCACAAAAGTGCTTGCTATAACCTCACAAAGCGGAATTGCGATACTTCTACATGTTTCCTCCAGATGAATAAGTTATCCGTAACAACCAGCCTTTAAAATTCTAATCAGTCCCAAGGAGATCCTCTCGCTCATAACCCTCCAAAGTCGCCCTGGATGTTCCGCTCATCGATTGCCAGGAATTCATGCTTGTCTGCGTACAGGGCAGCGATAACTTCACGCTCGCGCCACTCGCCACTCTCAGATCGGAGCAGCGTATAGTTGATAGCCAGAGCGGACAGAGCTCCTCCGTAGGCGTGCGAGATTCCTAATCGTCGTGTAGCAGTGAGACCAATACAGTCAATACAATACGTATTACGCACCGGTATCAATGATGATGATCTTGCCGTTGCATCTCGATACAATTTTCTGCATCTGCATTGAGCATCATACAATCGAGGACACAATGCATCGGACTTACCTCAAAGTCTGGCGTATGCCCCATGATCATCCTCCTCGTGCCCGTCTCCTTCAACACCTTGTCCACCTTTGCACAGGCCACATCCTCCGGCTCCAATGCCCATCCGCGGTACCATAGCGGGCCATCGGTTCCATACAACCTCTTCTCCGCCTCCGTCGCGTCCTCAGGCAGGCCGGGGTACGCGTGCGGCGGATGTGGTGGCGGTGGCTGGCGCGCCTGCAGTTTATGCAGGAGGGACGCGCCCAGCGAGTTGATGCGCGAGGGGAAGGGCGTCAGGTCAGGGTAGCTCTGCGCGAGCCCGCCATGCACGAAAGAGATCGCGGCGTGCGAGAGTGGTGAGAAAGCGGAGGGAGAGGAAGGGTCGTAGTCGGCGTTGGGAGGCCCGAGCGAGGGATGCAGAGGGAGGCGGCTAGCTGTGGTGTAGTTTGTTGCCCAGCTTTTGCCGATGGACCCCTTGGAGAGCATTTGCTGACGCGCGGCGACCGAGCCGAAGGTGTCGATCTCGGAAGGGTAGACGTATCTTCGCGGCGCAAAATTAGTCCAATAGCTACACGCAAAGCGGTTGTCAGCAGCGCAGTACTTACCTCCAATCACCTTATTTTGCATATACTCAGTTTGTATGATCTTGAAGGCTCAAGAAAGTGAGACTTACCTATCACGTTCATCCATTCGTGGTTGCCCAAGAGCGACAGAACCGTGCCTCCGGCGGCATGGGCTTGCTCACGCAGCTTTTCCATCCAATTGTACAGCTTGATGGTATCATCTCCTCTATGCGTGCGTTCGTCAGCATGTGTCATCAAAATGCAGAGAGTACCTACCGATCAATAATGTCACCAGTCTGCACGAAGAAGTCTACGTAGCCGCTCCAATTTCCCTCCGCATCTACCACACCCGCCATTTTCAAGACCGTCTGTGCGTTCTGCATGTCTCCATGGAGGTCGCCCACCGCAACTATGCGACGTGTGTATTGCCCTGGCGCGGCATGGACATCGTTAACGTTCACGTCGCTCGGGCGGTAGCGCATTCCAGCGCCAGCGCGCAGAGGCTGCTGCGCCGCATTTTCGTGAGGTTGTTGCAACTGTGCTTCAGGATGGGTCGCGAATGGCCAGGAAAGCGGGAAGCTCGCGACAGACTTGAGCAACTCAAATTGGGGAGCAACGACGTATAGCAGCCCGCAGATCGGGACCAGCACGGCTAGAAATAGCAGTATTCGAGGCATTTTTGAACGATATCGGTATGTTTAAGGAAGTGCGGACTTTTTGGCGTGCGAGTGGTACATGAGCCTGCCACGACGACGAAGTTGGGAATTAAGCTGAACGAAAAGGCGTGGATGCCAAACGTGGGGTAGTATATGATCGCCACGAGCTTTTAAATGGGCGCTACCGATCCGTTCAAACTTGAACTCCATCCTTCCCTCTCCTCACGATCAGGCTACTACAGCTATTCAAACGGTCCGCTGCTAGGTTAAGTGATATCTACATACTCTTCTAACCGTACTTGATGTGATTGAACTCAGATAGAATTGTCCGCACAATCGGTTGGCTATTTCTATGGCCATTCGTTCTCCTGTTCGAGCGCGTTCCCCTGTTCGAACGCATTCCCGAAACGTTCGCGAGAACAAGACTCCTCACCTCCACAAAGGCAGATACAGCTGAGGACACGAAGACCCGTAGGCACAAGGTGTACGTAGACGTTCTGGTGCCGGCCTCAAACGAGAAGCGTACCGCCTTCCCGGGCAACCACAGGAAGAAGGTCTGCGGTCGGCATCGACTATCCGAAGATTGATAGATCTGAGCAACCTAAGTGCATGGTCTCGCCATTACCTGTTCGACAGAAGATTACGACGAAGCCAGTCTGCGACAGTGGAGCAGGACAGGCGAATGCAAACAAGTTTTTCAAGGATACTTCGCCTATGGGTGGAGCGCACAGTGCTCAAGATCACCGGACGAGTAAGTCAAGCGGGAGAACAAGCGTGTCGCGCGACTTGGACTTGCAAAAGCCCACTCGAGCAAGCCAAGTCATCTCCGGCTCCCAACACAGCTTTGCGTCACCCTCTCAAATCCAGTCGAGAGTCCACAGTTGCAAAGTTGCTTCATCCAGTGACTGTACGAGATCGACATCAACTGTTTGGGATGCAGGCTTGGATGCGACCTCCCGGCTCTCTCGACGAGCCCTGGCTGCTTACATATTCTCCCTGCCGCTTGACGAGTCCGATGTATCTGATATCGAGAAGCCCTCTGATATCCTCTGCCCGTGTCTTCTTCTTTGTTCCGGGCTAGTCGGTCTCCAGAACGCTTAAAGCCCGGCATGTCCAGAATTGAAACGCCTCGGCCACATGCTCGATTGTTCGATAGCACCGCCAACATATATACGCCTGACCTAATGCTTCCATCGAGCTTCGATGACGTTGAAAAAATGTTGCAAAGCATCGGCTTGGCGAACGATCGTAGCTCTTCTTTGCCAATATCCATTGTCTCTTCGACCTCAAGTCTGGATGCTGTCGAGCAGTTGCTCACTACTCCTCGATTGGAAGAATCTTCAGCTTGTGTTTCTCTCCACGCTTGTTCACCTGACGCACCGTCATACACATACCCTTCCTCTCTATGTCTTCCTGTATCGCCCAATGACAATCACGCCGAGTCATTCTCTGCCTGTGACGAGACTCTTCAACTGCCGATGGCCACTTGTAGCCCTGTTGCGCTTGCGACGCCTTATAGCCAAGTGATACCAGCGCATTGCCCTTCTCCAGAAAACACTATGCCATCAACGTTTCAATCTGGGGGCGGCGTGTATTTGGATTCTGTCATCTCATGCTTGCCTTCGTACGAGGCGCTCTCATGGGCTTGGGCGGACTATTCCTCCTATTGCTGGCTTGGATATACTTCTGTTATGAACTGCCTGAAGATCGTCTTCAGACCTTCGCTCTTTGACATTTCTGGTCAGTTGAGCAGTCTACACACACTGTGTCCTGCCGCCACGTTTCTATCATGTTCTCAACCAAACCACGCGCATATACGCCGCCGAATTCTGTCGTTGAACTGTTACATACGATCTCGCCATGATGTCTTACATAAACATAGATATCCGCATAGACAATACTGCATAGTATACATGAATTCTGTCATACACCTTTGTTACATGGCATGTTATTTGTTCTCACTCGGAAAAATTGCAGCACTCGAAGCCGGGGACTGTACGATTACAGCTTGGCGGTCACAAGGTGATCGTCAAGAGCCGTCGAAGCCGAGGAACCATCTAGTCACAACAGCTTCGCGATCTCCTCGTCGAGGGCGTCGGGAGAGGTGGTCGACGCCCAGCGGCCGACGACCTTGCCACTCCGATCAACGAGGAACTTCTCAAAGTTCCACTATGAGAGGGGAGCATTCATGAGCGAGCGAGCAAGGCATTCGTGCAGATGACAGACTGACCTTGATTCGCGTCAAGCCCAACAGGCCAGACTTCTGGCTCTTGAGATACTTGAACACCTCGTTCGTGTTGTCCCCGTTCACATCCGACTTCTTCATGAGCGGGAAGGTGACGCCGTGGTTGAGCGTGCAGAACTCCTTAATGGCAGCGTCGTCGCCGGGCTCTTGTCCGCCGAACTGGAGCAAGCGGTCAGCACAAGTAATATACACGCGATGGTTATCCCGCATGGGAAGATGGACACGGACCTGATTGCAGGGGAAGCCGAGGATGAGGAATCCCTGGTCCTTATACTTGTCGTACAGCTTCTGCAGACCTGGCAATCACCTATGAGCCCTCCCATCCTCACTGAGCTGACGCGAGCTTTCTGTAGTTACCAGTATACTGCGGGGTGAATCCACTACACGTAGGAGACGTCCATCGTGAGCGACCATTCACCATCGCGAAAGAACTGAGAGACGTACCACTTGGATGCAACGTTCACGATCAACACGACCTTTCCCTTCAACTGTTCAAAGTCATACGTCTTCCCGCCCGGAAGCTCAGCTTTCAGCTCATAGAACGAAGTCATGGTGGGGCGTGTTTCCTGTTCAGCGTCAAGTCGAAGAGGAGTACTGCTTATATTGCGGGCCTGGTAGTCGCGTCGCGCTCTCAGAGCAGGTCTTGGGAAGTGAGATGGAGGAAAGAGAGATGGAGAGCGGGAAGTTGCTGCCAGTGCCCTGTTAGATATGTATCCCCACCGTGAGAGATGCCCAGAACAGCTTCGCAGTGGGGTTGTCAGAGTGGACTGCATCTTGCAAATGCCGCCCAGGCTCGAGCAAGTCGGGCATCGCCCTCAGTGCCTACTGAGATGGTTATCTTTCTCGACGGCGAAACAAACAAGGAACGTGTCAAAGCTAGATGCGTTATTACTGCTACTGTAAGATACGCGACACAGGGTACCGAAGAGTATACAAATCAATTATCTAGAAGGAAAGTAGAGTCAAAGTCTGCAAGCCGTCTTTCACTATACCATTGAACTGTTTCTTTAACCGCTGGTTGCGCGGCAGAGATAGCTGGAACTGAAGCCAGGCCACAAGCTGAGGATATGCATGCGGTTTCCGGGAGAACACAGTAAAGAAGGCATGCGTTCCCAGCCTGTAGTCAAGCAATGTAAGTGGTTGCAACCGTCGGGAATAGCGTGGGGAACCTACCAGATTACTTGGACTTCAGAGACTTCGCATCGTCCTCCGCTGGCCTTTGCTACTCTATTGGTTGCCTTATTTCTCATTGTAGTGTAAGTGTACTTGAGCATCCGCTGGACAGTATCTATGGGAGACTGAAGCTCAGAGAGGTCTTTCGGGCCACAGAGATGGCGACACGCACTCTGGATAAACTTGTTATGCTTCTTGACATTGATCCCCCATTGTCGCAGGTAATGGTGCATCTTCATCGCCGACAAGAGGAAGTTTTGGTAGACGTTCAGGAAGACGGTACGTGTCGAGTTGAGCTCGGGGTCGCTGTATAGAATATGGCTTTTCGCCTTCGTCGACCTACCGAGACCCGGTCAGATGCTGCATGCCAATGGCACACTAGGACGCACTGCATCATCTTATGCACGAAAGTCACGCCAGGATGACGGCCTCTCTCCACCGTCAGAGAGTCCTGCAAGTCTGGAACAAGTTACCAACTAGGATATGCTCGAATCGCTCTCGCTTACATGTCTCATGGTACCGCGTGTAATCTGTCGAAACTGACAAGTCACCCATGTTGATCATATGCCCGCACCATGGGAAGTCTGGATAGCGAAGTCAGCATACACAAGCAGCACGCTCGACGATACCGAGTATACTCTTTTGGTGAGGGTCGGTGACGTTCATGGTCGGATCATAGTCAAAGTTCGTCAGAGTTTTGTCCACCGAGATGAAGCACCCGTACTCCGGATGGCCTGCAGAGGAACCATTCCAGCTATAAACCAAGCCGTCCGATATAACATCGCAAGTACCTTTTATCATCATAGCTAGGAAGCGTTTTGCTCGAGCTAGGTCTGTGGTGATGAACAAATAGTCATCTATCAACCTCATCAAGAGCTGTGGACAGCGTTCATATCAAACAATAGCTTGACTCAGTAGCCATGAAGCTCACACTCTGTGGGTCTTCGGTAAACTTGAAGTGCTGCCGTTCAAGGTCGCCATAAAAGAAGGAACATAACAAAGCCGAGAGTACAGAGCCCTGCGGAATTCCTACCACTTGCCGGTAGTAATCATTGCCGATCTGTGCGATACACTGAATAGGCCTCACAAGAAGTCGTGGCTGCTCAAACACACCTTGACAATGTTCTCCGTGATGTGCTCCTCCAGCAGCTCAATCAACTCCTCCCTGTCTGCAAAAGGGTAGACGACCTAAAAACGATCATCAGGGAATATCTCCGTTTGCCAGGTATTGGATCAACATGCCTGGTCGACGAAGATGGTATGTCGCAGGGCTGCTGCCAACTGTGTGGCCGTGTCCAAGAAGTGTGGATGGTCATCTTGACATCCAGTTTCGTGTGAGCGGGGTCATGAAAACGCGTTCATGGTGATATGCCTACCTTCCGGCTGCGCTCTCTTCGCATACTTGCGTCTGATCTTGGATCCCACAGTATTCACTTGACCGTACCGCTGGAGCATATAAGCATCCTAGCACACTCGAGTCAGCTTGCTGCGGCCGTCATTGGTTAACGGTATGGGACGAACCTCTGAGATTGCGTCTCGCAAAATCTCTAGCAGCTTCGTTTGTTCAATGCTATCAAAACATGCCTGTACGTCCAGCTTGACGAAATAGAGTTCTGGCCTGTGTAAACATGAATATATTGCGATGCTTCCGCTGTTGCAAAAGGCACTTACAATGTCTTCTTGTTCGAACTGGATTCAAGCAGCCTGGATTTGTATGCTTTGAGCTTGGTGTAGATCTCATTGGATCCAAAAACAGATGCTCCCAACAGTTGCGGCTGGTGTTCCTGTGTACCAAATCCAGATAGATAAGCAAGACATGCTGACAGAAAAAAGCACCACCAGCCTTCTCGTAAGTGAGGATGTGGAATGCGGTCTGGAGGATCTGATTGATCGACGGTTGATATCGATTCTACGAACGACAGAAAATCCTTGTAGACAAAAAGCGTATTTTGGTCCATGCTCACCTTCTCGCCGCCTTTCCTGCGCAAATTAACGATAGGACGGACTCCCGTCTCCTTCGGTAGAAGACGCACAAACGAGAAGCCGAGCTTGCGCTGCCGCAAAATCTCTTCCGCTTCAGCCTACACGGGAAACGAATAAGCGCAGTCACACGAGCCACATGCGGGTGATTTTCACCTGTTCGATCTTCTGGAATGTGTCATGGCTCAGTTTATCGATTAGTGGCGCACAGAGTGTCGACCAGTCGTCTTGACGGAAGTACAGCACCCGCCTACGAAAAGCCGACGATTCGGTGATGTAGAATGTTGTCTATAGGGAGAAAATGTCAGCGACCAATTTCCAGGCGCAAGCATTCCTATCTACACGAACTTTGAGTAGGGGCATCAAGAACGAGTCATAATACCAGAACAAGAATTCTTCGAGCAGCTCTCGCCGCTTCAAAGCATCAGTGACGGACACGCGCGATTGGATTTTGGCAGCGGCGCTATCAGGAGCGAGCCAGTCGCATTCTGTGACGCTGAAGACTTGTAGAACGTTATGCAATGTTGTCTTCTCATATCGTCTGGAGGCGATGAAGCCCTGGATGTCTGCGTACTTGATGAGCCTAATTCGTAGCCCATCGATAATGCACTGCCTACGTTTGTAGACCACTCGGCGATTAGCGCCAGAGCCCCAGAATGCCCTTGGGATGACTGCATTGGTAGCAAGGATCGCATATCGGGACACCTAAAGCAGGGTCAGGACGTCGCTCAATGTGCACGATATCATCCGTGTTCACCTCCGCAAAACTGCATGCGAATTCAGCAAAGCGAGGCTTGTGTTGCGCATGTCGACGAGCTTGTGTGAGTCCCTGGGGGATTATCGGATTGCCTATGGTGTCCGTCGACGCATTCAATCCTGATACAGATGCTTGTGTACGCAGTTGAGATGTGTACTCTGACATCATTTCCTATATACGAGATCCTCATGTTTTTCCAAGAATAATCACATACTGGGATATCGCTTACTAGTATGATACTGCTCTCTAGTGGCTTATTATTTGTTTTGACCTGCCGATCGTCATCAATACCAATTGAAACTTCGTCTGCTCTGGGCCGACCTTCGATGGACAAACTAGATCTAGGAGTGCTTTGTATCTGCACTTGCTGTGCCTCCAGATTAACTGATCAAGAAGGACCAAGATCGGCTTCAGCCTCTTCGGTGTCTTGCAAGGACCCACTTTCTGCAGGCCACGCCAACTTTATTCAGCATTCATTGCACATAAGCAATGCATACCTTGATCTCGTCTTCTTTATTTGAGAAATCAGGCACTTTATACGTCTGGAACGGAAGTTGAGCAGATACGAAAAATGGGCTTTCCAAGCCGTATTGTCGCGGGAAGACGTATTTCGAGAGGTGTCTCGCATGCTCCGCTTGTGTTCTGGGATCAGGGTCTACCCACTGTGCAGGTTGTGCTTTAGGTTTATTCTTATATGAGGGTGCAATACGATTGAGGATGTCTACAAGCCATGAGCCAAGCCGTCCTCGCAACCAGGATAGAGCAAAACTCACGCTTTGGAGGCAAGCCCACAGCGATGTTTCCAACTGGGGGAATGAGATACGGCCAGGCGTAAAACATTCTTGACCGCGCGAAGCTGATGTCGGCAACAGAGCACCTAAGCGTCCGGATTAGAAGTATTCATGCTCAGAATAGATGACGATCATACTTTTCAACGACAGTCTTCGACGTTGCCGCTTTCGTCGAGGCCCAAGAGGACGTCCTGGAAATCGTTTTATCAACATTTGCTCGCTTCGTAGATTTTTCGTCCTCATGAGCAGTCATTATCTTGCGCTTCATTTCACATGCGATTTGTTCACTGCCCCTTGCATGCATATTTTCTATGACCTGAGGCGTTTTGAGATGGATAATAGGTTCTCCCGTCATCTGACAGAGGCATTCATTTGGTAGAGATACAAATATGGATGTTTCTGTTAAGAGATGAAACATAGCATCCTCGCCTATCCTATATAAGCCGTTGGTTTGTATCATGAGCTCCTAATCGGACAGCACCGGTGTTGTCGACGCACCTTTGAGAGAGCAGTTGCCACTCTGGAGCTTGGAGAGCAGTTACCATTGTGTTCACGAAGAAGTTCGTAGGTGCCACTCGTCCATTTGCAGTCCGTCGTAGCTCGTCGTCCCGTTTCGCCTAACCACACGTCATGTTGAGAATGACACACCATCCTCAGCTGCATACATACCGCACGGTACCCAGAGGTGATGATATTCGAAGTTTTATCCTTCCCTCTCGCGAGCAGTCTCTCTTGAGCGATCTCGATTATCTGCGTCTCGATTCGTGAAACCGATCCTCTCGCTATCAAGTACGGTCCATACCTCTCTGACGTTCACCATAGGCGGACTGGCTATAACGCGCTTTATCCTCCGCTCAGTGTCACACAACGCGACATAAGATTGATCCAACAGCACGCGATACGCGGCAGGATCGTCTTTGTTGACAAGAAACTCGTGGCCATCGTCGACTGGTTCGAGTATGCTTGCCAAATATTCCCGGAGAACGCATACAATAGGATAGTAGAACTTAAGTATGGAGGCTGTGAGTGACATCCGATTAATCGGCTAATGTATGGAAGGAGAGACGGGTGAAACATGGAGGCGCCCGGTGGCAAACGCGTCCGTTTCTTCTCACGCCACCGACGAGTCGTACAACGTACAACGAGGCTTGAAGGGGTCCGTGCGCATGCCGGCACTCCCATGTCTCCAGATATCAAAACTCAGGAGGCCAACCGAGCCGCCGTTACGTACAAACCATGTCCACATCACACGCAGATTTTCCACCAGGTCGGGCAACGCATTGCAGTTTGACTGCACGGCCGGGATGCTCCTCCTCAGGCTTCAGATGGTCCAGGAGCTTGTCAAAATGTCCTTCTCCACCATATTACATGACCGCTGGGCCGCCCAAGTCAGCTTGTCTTCTATTATATCTTATGCTGTGTCACTGTTACAACGGCCAAGACGGCAAAGTGCGAATCTCGTCGCATGGTTGCCAGCAAGCATGATCCGAACGATACCGCAAAAACAGCGCGTTGTGATGAATTACAGAGCTTCTGGTATTAGACATCGGTTAGTCACTATATATATATATATATATATGCGCAGCGAATAAAGTAGAAACCTGGTTGCCTACTACGACAACCCGAGGACGAGTTGCGTCTGTAAAGTTCACGCCTACTTCAAATGGCATCCTCGAAGCGGCGCCTTGCCCGCATTGCCAAAGCTAAAAGGACGAAAACGCGACGACGTCGACGGACTGTTTGTGTGCAGCTTCTCTAGCGCGTCGTTAACTCTGACAAGACGTCTATAGAAAGCTGCGGGTCCGCATGAAGATGCCAGACTCCCTATGGGAGATGATCCTACCGTGAGAAATATGGAGACAGCACAGGAAGGTTCCGCTTGGAGAGGCAAGTACTGTGAATTGGCGCGTGGTGTATGTAGCTCACGAGAGGCGTTGTTGAATCAAGCCTTGCCCATCTTACCGGCCGACGTGTGGGAGATCGCGATAGATCATCTCTGGGATCAACCGCGAACGCTAATGGCGTGTACCCTCGTCTGCAGCGCATGGTATCCTCGCAGCCGCTTCCACCTCCTGCGCAGAGCTGTATTGCGCAAACGCCAAGATTTGCATGGTTTCGCGAGAGTGCTCAAGCGGATGCCGTCGTTGCGCCATCAGGTGAAAGACCTTGTCATCGAGAGACGCCACCCAGTGTTGGGAAACAGGCTCCCGGTCGACTACCTCTCAACAGCCATCAGGATGCTTGCAGGCAAGCTACCAAAGCTGGATACACTTTGTATATCGCATTCGATGGTGACGATGGAGACGCTGCATCCTGACGTGTTCTTGCATATGTCCATATTCTCTTCCGTTACGAGGCTTCATTTCACCAGGCTCGTTGTGTGGTCATTATCCACCTTTGGGAATCTCATATGTGCACTTCCTGCCATCGTTGAGTTACGCTGCTCAAGCTTGGCGGTCTCCCAGAAAACCCCCTTCACTAGCACAGTCTTTTCTGGGAATAAAAAGCGTGCCAAAATCACCACACTGTATCTCGCTAGTCATGTAAACAAGGGTGTCATCGAGTTCTTGGTCACGACTGGTGCGGCGGAAAACTTGCAGAAGATCACCTTGGATAACTTGGAAATCTCCAACCCCGTCAGGATGCCACCCAATTGGGCTATCCAGCAGTTGGTGAACTGTGCGGGTGCGTCGCTTACAGAGCTGGACATGTCATTTTCCGAGGTACCCCTCAGTCTGGGCCAGGCTGATCGTCCTGGTATGTCTGGCACGCCTAGCTATGTGTTTGGATACTTTGGATACTCATGCTGTCTCATATCAGACACTATGTTGTCCTATGCGACCAACAATGCACTACGCACACTGACTGTGGGTGTACGGCGCCTTGCAGACAAGCACATCGACTGGATGCTTTCCACCCAACCAACGCTCAAATCAGAGCGATTGGAGACGATCGTGATAGTACTAGATTCCAGGCGTCAGGATCCGCCAAAAACTCCGGGCGGAGACACACCCAGGTTACTCTCGGCGGTACTCAGCCCTCCTCTATGTGTCCCATTGGACACTATGCTCTCCTCTGATTCATTCAAATGCGTCAAAACCGTGGAGATCCGTTTTCTGGCCAATATATTCTCCCAGGTGATTCCAGATGCCAAGCAATGGGAAGACCATGTCGTTCCATGTTTTCCGCGGCTGGTTCAACGGGCAATCCTCCGGTAAGTATATCCTCGCCAGTCATGCTTCATCTTATGTCATTGATTTCAATCTGTGAATCCTGTGCTGCAGCACCTCCGTGAAGGTGGACATGGATGAACCGTGAGACGTGGCGGGTCTTTGTAACTATCTCCACATCTGATTTCCACGATGAGCTTCAAATTCAACAACCTGGTCCTCTCGCCATGATTTGGACAACGCTCTATAGACTACATCCGAATTGACAATAAGGTAAAAAAAAGTCGTACAATGCGGAATTATAGTGCTGGAATGTCTCTCAAGCAGTGGAGAACAGACGGAGCTTATGGGATCGCGTATCAAAGGATGCAGTTGTGTTGATGGTTATCGTTCACATCACAAATGTGGAAATGTTGAACTCGGTATAATGCTGCCTCTGTAGCAAACTTTCCGTGATGGTAAGAGAAGTTGAAAAAACGGATGGATGTAACCAGCGCTCGATTGGTACCACGACGTACCCATTGGGTGGCCTTACTAGTGACGCTTAGCTCAGGTTCGATTTGAACGCACAAGGGGATAAATGGAATGACTGTCTAAGATATGTATACATTGTAATCGACACCAGCAGAATGAGATTGTCAAAAGAGTACAAGATGATCAAAGGCATAACACGACAAACAGAAAGCACTACACCTCGAAAGAGAGAGACAGAAAAATATCGGGGAAAATTTATGCTGCCTGTCCATCCGCCGGCTTTTTGTTCAAGAAGCCTATGCACGGTGTATTCAGTGACCCAAGCAGCAGCTACAGAAAACAATGGGCGTGACGCACCTTTGTACTTCTGATTGTGCATTTTCTCTCGTTCGTTGTCTATTGCTCGAAGGCGGGTCAATTCAGCATTGATGGCAAGAGCATCTGTACATAGACGCTGAGCCCCCATTACAATCACTGTGAATGACTGACGCTCACCCGCTTCGTTTTTCTTCAAGAGGTCATCCAGGATCTTCTCCGCCTTCTCAAAGTAGCCCGATTCTCCGAGTGCCTTGGCCTTTCGGAATAGCGCTTTATAGTTGTTCGCGTTGAGAGCAAGTGCCTGTGATCAGGTCAGCTTCGATGCAAAGGATACGATGAGCTTCGGGTAGAATCTAACTTTGTCTGCGGTCTCGACGGTACGCTTCCAGTTGCCCTGTTTCAAATGGCATGCAGACTGATTGGAATAGATTTTCTCCATCATCTCGTCTGCCTGTCCGTCGAGCAGGATGAGCATGCGAACGTTACCACAATCGTAATAACGCTACATGCCTCGGTTTTCGGCTTCTCGGTGGCCGCGCCATCCACAGGAGAACTATCAGCAACAGCATCCGACATCGCTGTGGACGCGTTTCTTGTGTGGGGGAGGTCTCCATGAGCAAAGTCAGACTAGAGGCCGAATACACGGGACGCTCACTTGTCCAATCCTTTCAAGTACATCAACGCCTTTGCGTGCATGCCTCGTCAGACAACACTATAAGGGTGTTATAATCACTTGTTACCTCATGGTAAGATCTAAGAGCTGACGGAGAGAGATAAATTGAACCGAAGGCACGTCCGAGCATGAGTACTCTGGATAGTGGCGCATACCATTTTTCAAATCTCCTTCCTTGAAGGCATGATCTGCGGCATCCTTCTTCTCCTTGGCAGTGGCAAGCTTCTGAAGCACCTCGGGGCTTGGCTGATTCGGTTGATTTGCTGCTTCAGACATTTGCCGAGCGGCGCACTCGAAGGAAGGTACAGGAAAGTGGTGTTAGGCGTCAATTTGCTAGGACCGTTTGTACCGCTTCTCTCTTTCCCACGCTTAGAATCAGTGAACGCCTAATGCTTAGCGCCCGTAACATCCCGCGCCCATACCACACACTCTCCTGCTATGACACTTCTATCCTGCATCTTTGGTGGAGCCCTTTTCGGCCTCGGTGCGCGGATCGGCCAGCTCGCCATCAAGAAGCGTAACATATATGAAAGTTCGTGACCCTCTCTTACCGTTCACGATCTGCCCATTGATCGCGTGTTGGCAGACCTGGGTGGACATGCCATCTCCATGATCGTCTTCGGCTACGCAGGATACTGGGCATATAGGTGGGACGAACGTGCAGCAGTTCTGCTGGCGGAGAAGCGGGCGCAGATCGCGGAACGCAGGAGACGGGAGGCAGCAGCCCAGGCATGAAGGGGCGTCATCCTTGTGAGTCGTCAGGCCATGCATCCCAACCCTCTGTTTCTGACGCTCAGTAGTGGGTGTATTATTTGTCATGTCGCGCCGTTGCATTCATCTTAGAAATTACCCCCGCAGATTGATGGATCGCTTACAGACAACCCGTGCATGCAATCGTGCCGGCATCCCACTCAGAGACATAGTGATATTGTCCAAATAAGCTGTCTCAACAGACAGCTTTGACACCCAATTTATGGCACGCTTGTCGACGTGCGGTTCAAGGATCAAACGAACACGCCGTCGAACGAAGTGTAGATGAGTATCTAGCATTCATTTGGAACAGCTTTATATAATCTGGTAACAAATACGGGTTTCTGGTTATGCAATGGCTATGATTTCGACAACGACAACGACGGCAGGTGTTTTCAAGGAAAAATGGAAGCGTAAATGGTAGCAGAAGGAAATGCAATCAGTAACCCGCCAGAGACCTAAGTATCAGGGAAGAACGTGGCAACGATGTATGGACAGCGGGACAACGACGAGGAAAGCGAGATTGGACAGGAGAAACAGAGAAGGCAGCGAGAAAGAAGTCGTTTTCATGGACGAAGCTGGGAACGGATCGCGTACTAATACAAACCGCACCTACGCAGGAAAAGCGAGGTGAAAACGGCACTTACAATTCCAGCACTGAAACTAGAGACGAAACAGGGAATGAGCGGTGAGTTGTGAAATGTACAGGAGCACGAACGAGTGGCGATGTTACGGTCAGCAGCACCAGAAGGATGATATAAAGCCGAAAAGGAGTGTGTATGACGATCTGCAGTGACCGCCGTGGTAAGAGAAACCAAAACAGGGAGTGTGGGATCGTTTGCACGACGAGAACATTCAGAATGGGATCCAAAGATGGTAGTGTCCGCGGTTAGTTCCTTGTTGATGAGTGATGAGTGATCAAAGAATAACAGATGGCACATGTACATGGAACAGATTTGTGATCGATATAGGCTCTAACAGCATGAGGTCCGAATTGGAAATTTACACGTCGACAGCCGTCGAGGACGAGCAGTGCAGGGCTGTGCCCAGCCAGCTCCAGTTCAATGCAGCTGGATCGCACTTCCCAGCCCGACCACATCGTCAGAGCAGCACTCAGTACGATTCTCTTCGGCAGCAGGGCTGAACGAGAGTCTGCGAGATACGTTTCCCAATGTGGGCATAAAGTCGGGATAGGTACCGGCAAGGTGCTCCTCGGCAACAGGTGAGAGGTGGCTAAACGAGATCCTGCGACTGAAAGGGCGAAGAGGAAGCCTTCCACCCTTGGGGCGACGAGGTGTCCTGGGTTCGGGACTATCATCGGCAGACGTCGTCGCAATGCGAGACATGCGGGAAATCAAGCCCTTCGTCGGCGAGGATTCAACGTCTTGCGAACATTGAGAAGACTGCAAGAGGCGCGCAGAGCGGCGTAGAGTGACTGGAGAATCCTGAAGACGAGGTAACTCGGGACCCAGTATGCTCGGATTGCGGTGAAGGTTCGCCCTCTGCTTGGCCGGGCGGCGAGAGGTCGCATATATGGAAGACCTGTCGGAAGACTGTCGAGCGTCGTGCTCTCCGATAACTTGTTGAAGAGATCCCTGGGGCGAAGACAGCTGAGGTGTAGTAGCAGCTTTCACACGCGTCTTCTTAGCTTTGGCACTCCGCAGCTTCTCTTCTTCGTCTTCCGACTCGTTGTCGCCCAGGCTCATGGCACCAGAGCTGCGCCTGGACGCCATGCCATAGGACGGCGCTCGCTTCAAAGATCGTCTATGCAGTACAGGAGCAGCGAAAGAATCTGTGCGTTTGAGTCGCGTCGGACGGTCAGCTTCGAGCGCAATGAGAGATCCAGGTAGGTGTGAAATGTCTGACATAGATCTTTGCAGACGACGCGGTGCTTTAGAGTCGGAGCCGATAGATTCAAGAGTATCAGAGCTCGGCGTGGAATGAAAGAAGGCGTCTCGGCCAGCAATGTCGAAAGGCGGAGAGGGGGGTCGATCCGCCCCGGGTGCATGGGCATGAGGAGGTGGGTTGGTTATAAACCGCTCAGTGCGTTGCAGACGATCCGATAGACTAGATGAGCTTTGAGTTTGCGCGGGCACGAAAGACATATGGTCGAACTCACCGCAAGATCCCCTCGTCGGCTTTCGGGTCGCGTACATCGTTTTGCACAAAGCTCGTGCCTTGATGCCTACGCAATGACATCCTTGGGCCAGTGTTGGTAGTTTGCTGCAATATATCAACGTCGCTGCCGCCTTCTTCCGCAATGGTGTCACCAGCTCCATCGTTGATCATGTTCTTGGCTTTGAGGCGTGCGGTCTCGGCTATCTTTGTTCGAGTCGCGCGAAATGAGTGCGGCCAGTTAAAAGCGCCTTTGGACCGAACGACTGCGAGGGCAAGTTTGTCGAGCAGGTTGCTAGGAGGGACAGGACCACAGAACGGTGTGATCAAATGCACGGGAAGAGCGTCCAGAGTCTGTAATTACAGAAAACGTAAATATCATGATATATAACAACAAACATGAGATGATCAGGTGAACGCGAGACAGAAAACGCGACATTTGAGGTAAAAACATACCCTTGACAACCGGAGCACCTCCTCCGTGGTCCATTCCACTTCGGGATCGTCTGCTTCGTCGTATGCTGAGCTGCTCCAGCCACTGCCGCTATGTCTATTTTCAATGGAACCAAAAAGTGGCGAGGGGGAGTCGCGATTTGGGGGAGTACGGGGAGATAGCTCTTGAGAGACGACAGATGATCGACGGCGAGCGGTTGAGTCTGGCGTGGACGCAGAGAGCGGGGAAATGACGGCCGGGGCCCTCCGTCGTCGCATATTATCCTGTGCAAACAAGAGAACGGAGGGCGTAATTGCGGAGGACACAGAGAGCAGAAATCCAACTCAACCACTGGCACAGGAACAGCAGCGCCCACAAACCGCGCCATCACCACGTTCCAGTTTAGGGCAGGCAAGGACGCGTCTCGGTCAGAACCGGTCACGCCACCGACGCGTCCCAATCCTCTCCCGAAAACTGAGCAATCTCCTGCAAAATACAGACAACACCCCGACAGGACACACACCGCAACATTTCTGGGTACAACGTCGCCAGTATGCCTTGCAATGTCTGGACAAATGCCTGCTGCCTCCCCAAAGACGCTCTAAAGTGACGGTTTGTATGGTTGACAAGCTTTGTGCCTTGTTCGGGATTTCACTCGTCGCCCGAGTCTCCCTACGAGTGGCTTCTATTGTTTTCAGATGGCAAAATGTATTTAAGTTCTGTGCATGATGGTCGACCAGAAGACCTGAGGAACAACAGCCGGCATCTGCGAGTATTCGGTGATGACACGTAGCAGGCGCTTGTCAAGACCCACAGAAAGATACCGTCTGCATGATCAATGTGTATTGAGAGGGCAAAGAGGGCTCCTGAGGAGAGAGCAACATGTAGTCGACCTTACCCCGCCGGTGAGACTTGTAGTGGGGGGAGGAAAGAAGCTGCGCGCCACTATCGTGTAAGTCATGTTGCCACGCTTCAAAGCACCAAACGGTGGTGATGTCCACGATCAGATATCGGAGCACGGAATGGGCCGAATAACACATCATCTCCGTACATGAGGCGGGTTCATCGGCTCGTAGTCTACTTCCAAGTCGGGAGCAATGGAACCGCTTGTTCGTACCTGCTCAATGTTCATGCCGTGGATAAGTACTAGTACATGTTCGAAAGACTAGTACAACCCATGTCCATCCTATGCTGATCGCAATTCGCGGTGCTATTTTGCACACAGTAGATGTGATTCTCTCCTCACTGTCATCCTAGGACACATGATTTTTCTGTAGCCGATATCGATGAGCTTCCAGCACGGTATTAGCACTTCTAGACCCAGGATGTTCTCCCGAAGCCTATCGGAATTCTTACGACATTCCTTTACGGCATACATGGGATGAGTTTTTGCAAGACATTCATTTGCTTCAACCAGTCATTGATGAGATCCGTTGAGTATGCAGGTGCGAGATGGTACATCGAAGATGCACACCATGCAGAGATCAAATCCGGACGAACTGTGAGCTTTTTTAAGTCAACCAATGAAAACGTACAGGGTTATGCGCATTGCATGAAACTGCGGCGATTAACTTGTCATTAGCGGTTACCTTTGAGGAATTAAGCAGTCTTCGTTCTTGCTTTATTGCATTTGGAATTCCGAAATAATAATTCACAGTACTTCGTTTCATATCTGATCACCTGGCCATCAAGATAATCACGATAGATATGGAGGACTCAGCTAGTTTTCTCGATGATATGGCTTGGGGTATGTCGCGATTTCACTCATTTCTTGCGAGGTCGTAACGACGGATCCGCTTTAAGCTGGCCGTTCAAAATACGGTCGCGAGGAGAATACAGTCATTATTGCCATATTCTCGAGAAGGCAACTGACTGAAGCCTGCAAAAAATCAGACGTACTCAAAAACGGATGCAGACAAATCCTCACCGGCAACCATGCTCAGGTCCTGGCAATTACATCCGTTATTCAGCACACATTGGATGGCTCACCAACAATCCGCTTGTCGTCCTCTCCAATGTCATGACCTGCATGATGGAGACTGCATTACCGGAAGCTACCGGTGTTACACCCGGAAGATATAGCGGTTCGATCCACTCGTGTCGAATTTTCTGTCCTTCCTATGACTTGATGCACACATTCTCGAGGTAATGTGGGAGATTTATAGGGAGGATACGGATGAGGGCCTCAATTGCGTGGACTCGGGAAGGAGGAACGGTATGAAACTGATTCTTCTGGCGAAAGCTTTCGAGCACTGCGCATAACCTCGACAATAAACTACATGTCACAGGACTATGCTGAGCGATCCACGCATAGCAGCAGGAAATGAGAGGGCGCACCAACGTACGGGGCACGTCTGCTGCCCTAAACCCGGCCGTCGACCCATGGAGGTAATTGTGATTGCGTCTATTCGCGCAAGATGGTCATCATACGAGACATGTAGAATCGAGAGACTAAGTCGATGACCTAGGATAGGTGCACCCTGGAGAACGTCTGTTCAGCATCAAAAACACTATGACAAGGCGGTCGACTCACCATTTCAGAATCATGGGGAGGACGAGGAGGTTGCGTTCATCTTCGGATACGAATGGCATGAGAAAGTAGAAAATAAACCTGTGAGAAATCAACGGCGCCTCGAGAGAACAATCTTCACGGCAACTCGCGGTGATACGTCACTTGTCTTCGAACAAAACGCAACGCTACCATCAGCCCGCCAAAGAGACAACAGTATAATACAATCGACCAATACATAGTGAACAATGGAGCGTACAATAAGCAAAACCGGAAACAAGAAGCACCAATAGCTCAACTCTTCGTGGAGATCTTTCTCGTCAGAGTTCTGAGCCTCTCCGCATTCTTCTTCCTCCTCTCGATATCCACGTCGACGCTCACGTTGCTCCTCGTGATGCCCGAGTTCGTCCTTGGGGCCACTGTGTAGCTGCCGAGCTCCCGCTGCGGAATCATCACAGCATTCTTTCGCACGCGGTTCTTCTCGTTCTCCTTCGCCCGCGCCAGGATGGCGTTCAGCCGCTCGCCTGAACGCACGACCGTCTCGCCTTCGCCGCCCGGCGCGGTGGGGATGATGCGATCCCTGTACGAGGCGCTGCGCTTGATGATGGGTCGGGACCACGTGGCCACAAGTTCGTTCGCGAGGCGAGCAATGTCGGGAGACACACGCTTGCTTTTCGTATAGAACATGATGACTCTGCCGAGCTTAGAGTCTTTGAGTGCGTTTGTGTCGATGTACTCTGCATTCTTCAGGATGGGGAAGAACTCTTTCTGGATGTCCAATGCGGGAAGCGATTTGTCTGGCAAGGGCCCTAACCATTTACCAACACCTTCTAGAAGGTTATTATCGAGAATTGATTGCGAAAGCGAGTTTCTGAGAGATAGTCATTAGCTAAAGTATGAAAGAGCTGCCACATACGTACTTCCGCAGAACCTCCACCACTTGCGGGAGCAGCCTGAGCTTTGCTGTGGCAGGCAACTTCTCCTTGTTGGCCTGCTCGTCATCTAGTACAGCGGCGAGCATCGCTTCACGTAGCCGTGCAACCTCCTCATCGGCGTATCTGTCAAGCACATCCTCATCGTCCTTCTTCTTTCTCTTCGGTCTTGAAGTTCTCTTTGGTTTAAGAATAGCCTCAATTTGCATATCCAACTTCAACTTGTTGGCTTCATCACGGGGAGGCCTTCAGCCACGCATACATGATGGGCATAAAAGACGAATGACGCACCTTGCTCCGGGGGCAACTGGCTCAAATCCACCTCCTCCCGCTGCCTTCTCTTCCTCTTCCGCTGCTTGGGTCGCTGCTCTCCATCCTCTGCAGTTGCGCGCCGAGTCTTGCGGTGTATCTTCTCCTTTGCCACACGCTTCTCCTGCACATATTCGTCTCCAGAGTCAGCGGACGATTCAACCTCTTCAGCGCGGGCACCAGGTGACTCTCGGCGGATACGTCGCTGCGGTACTTCTGTATGTCGTGAGGTCAGGGTGGATTCAAACGAAACTCGTGGGTTGGCATACCCTCGTCTTCTGACAAGGAGAGCTCATCGTCGGAGTCGCGACCGAAAATCTGGCGCTCAAGGTCTAATTGCTAGATGACATGCGTGAGCAGGCAATAACACCCCATTCCAGTGGGTTGCACTCACATCCATCTTCTGTGCAGAGTCGGGTGATGCAGGTGAGCTGAAGAGAGTAGCGCGCAAGGGTCGAGGTATACTGAGCGTGACACAGCATCTGACAAATCCATCAGACGTGACACATAGCCTTTTCAAGTAACTCAATACTTCACAACGTTTGCAAATTATCACATACGATCTCTGCCACGAGGAAGGTGGGAGTCAAATGACAAAATGAGGTCGTATTGAGATGATCTATGGCTGAGCGCAGTTTCTTGACTGTTTTCCCTTTAATGGCCACATGCATTGCAGTTTGTACTATTGAACTCACTTTCCATACTGTGTTCAGCGGGAACTTTCTTCGCCTGATAGGAGTGAGCATCTTAAAAGTGAGTAGTATATGTATACTGAATTATAGCAGTTTATAAAATAACAGGGGCTCTGGCAGATGCATTTCATGTACATTATAAGTTGTCAATTGGGGAGAACATTGTTCAAGTGTTCGGTCTCGCAGCAATCTTCGACCGTACTGTGTTGGAAGCAATATTTTATCTCCGTGGAATTCGAATTGGTTTCCTGCTTTATCTTTTCCAATGCAGGAGCCTAACACTGTGACCGACTCGCATAGCCAGTTGTGGCCCTACCTAAAATGGAATGCTCGGGCGTCAAAGCTCTTGGACAACAGGTGCATACAGGGCCCGCCTATTTACACGCGTCCGCAACCGCGCCGCGTACGCTTCCAGCCTACTTTCTATCATTGAGCATTCAAGTACCCAATGCTTAACTTTCCGCAGCGTTTGCGATTGCTGGGCTCTTATCGCCACACGGGGAGTCAATGACGTGCAAGTACTTGCAGTGATTGCGGCGACTTGAATTGGTCATTGTGGTCGCGATGGTACATGCGTGTACCTGCATACACCTCGGTGAGTGTGATTTTTTCCCATCTTTGAGGAGGGTCTGCCAGTTGAGAGCGAACTTCAGTAAGTAAGCTGTTGTGTTTAATCGGTCAGACGGACCGGAGCAATCGTCGGTGGGGATGTTCGTCTCGCAATTTGTCGAGCAGGTCATCAGCGCAGTGCGCAGAACCGGTGAATACTATATTCCGACAACTAGTCTTCGCGTTGACCCTGCTTCTACACAGGAAGTCTCCTATCCTGCATCGCCTCTATCGCCTCTCTGCTGCGCACTCACGCAACCGTGCTTCTCGTTGAACTCAACTGGTCAATAGCCAATGCCGACGGCTACTGCGCAGCGACACTTTTTGTTTGCGCGAACGCGACCGCATGCTGGCCTCAGTCCTACTTGCGCTTGACCTTTCTGTCTTTCGGTGTCTTCAATATCCACTCCTTCCGCAGGGACGGCATACTGCGGCACGCTGTTTCTATCGGGCATGGTCTGCAGCGGTCCCGCAGTCCGCAGTGCGTTTGCGCATCCTCAACCCCTTTTTTCGTCTGTCTTCACTCGTGTGGTTGTTGCAGCGTCCTGGATGGCTTCTTTCATACTGGCGATGCGATGCTTCTCGGAATTACTGCGATCTGGCCTGTCTTGGCTAGCTATGTGCAGAGGATCTGGCAGGCCTGCCGAAACTGGGTGTTTCGTATTCTCCTGAGCTGATATTTTGATGGCAAATCTGGGTCCACTTCCCCCCTCCGATCTCGTCGCACTGCCTTTGTTTTTTGCGCCGAGTCACCCCTTTTCATTATCCATACGCGCCTCCGGCCACCGGATTCCTGTCAGCTGATATAGGACCGGAAACCGGCCTCGAGCCTCGATTTTTTGCTTCGCCGTCAGTACGCATGTACAACTAGCCGACGTCTCTATGACTACTCCCAGATGCGAATTCTGTAGAACGTAGAACCGCCGCAAGCGCTTGTGAACCATTCCCACCAAGTCGTGTCCTTGGCCGCGCATTCTACGAATGTACGGCGCCGAACTTCGCACATGCGGCCTCCGGCAGCAAAGAATGTATCTCGGTACACGCGAGAAGACGCCTTCAGCTGCGCTGATGATTGGGTGGAGGAAGACTGTTTACACGACACGGGGAACTCTGGGTTGTGGGAATGCAGGAAGGCCTGGCTACACGGGTTGCCGTTTGAACGTGCGAAGATGATGGTCTGCAATATTTATTAAGTGAGGGTAACTTGGTCATCGGGTTCGGTCACTGTCAGATTCGTGATTGAATATTGATGCATGATGATTGAAAGGAGGTTGAGCTCCTCTTCAGCATTGCAACTTCATATGTTTGTGGATCATGCATAGCGATAGGCTCAAAATGTACGACAAATGAGTCATTAATGACGCCATGACCGGAAGGTTCTCGTGCACGTTTGAGGTCGAGCTGATGTTCTGTCAGAGTGCTTCGATCTCCCGAAGCGGGTGCTGCGATCCCGCGATTGGCGCAGTCGCTATAGCCCGCGTGTTGCGACCGCCGCCAACAGCAGCGTCGCCGCCTCGTCCAACGAGCGAGTGGCCCGCGGCGTAAGGTAGCGGGCACAGGCACCCCGCTATAGCACAGCAAGAAGCGTTGTCGGGTTCTCTAATCGGACATGATAGGCAAATGATTTGATGGATTCCGAGCCAATTTTAGGATACGCTTGATATATAGCTGCGCTCTACGATCCCATAGCTCCGTGCGAGGGGCTCGCGGTGGGCGGAGAGGGGGATGATGTAGCGCTAAATATAGAGAGGCGCGGCCGTGTCAGGACGGGGAAATATATTCTACTACTAATTCCTCCACCCTCATCTAGCTGGGCTGCACTCTTTTCGTCCTCCCTGTCTCCTCCCTCCTCCTCCATGGCCGCGGAGGCCATGCCCGCCAGGCATCTCGACGACCGCTCGTCCGCCAGGCACTCCAGCGTCAGGGACCGTGCCTCTCGTGCGATCTCCCGGATCCGACGTCCGGAACGACCTCTCCCTGTGCCTCCTGCCCCCTCACCGACGCCAGGACCGCCTTCAGAGCCGTCACTCTCGCTGTCGTCCTCAAAACTATCCGCCCCGCTGCACCGGCCATCCATCTCGTCCGTACTCAGGGCAGGGCCTTCGCGATCGTCCCTGGCATGGTCATCTGCCGCCTCGCGCCGTGTGCTCGGGCGCATGCTCAGACAGCCGCGCGTGCTTGCAAATTTGCTGTGCCAGCTTCCCTGGGGAGACTTCCATGCCCTTGCGAGCACCTGCCGCGAGTTCCGCCATGACCTCATGCACCATCCCGAGTGCAAGGAGATCCTTCTCTGCCATTACGTGCCCGGTTACCAGTACGCCATACAGATGGGCGACCTGAGGCGTTACCGTGAAGTCATGGTCGACTTCCACGACCTGACGCTGCTCGGTGAGCTCGTTTGTCCCGATGCACCGCTTACCCCATTGTGCTGAGCCATTCGCAGTCCTCTCGCAATTTGTGCCCCTGCACAAGTACCCCATGCACTCGTTATCCATCATCAATCAGCTCGCACAGGATGCGAACCCTGCACAGCTCTACGAGTCCGCAGCAAAGTACGCCGCGCTCACACAGGCACACTCGCGCTTCGTTCTCCTCCTCCAGGCGCTGGTGCACAGCGCGCCATACACTCCACTCTCAGATGATTCGGAAGAATCGTTTGACCCTCTCGCCCCTCTCATCGCCCCTCTCAGTTCACGGGCTCTGCCCCTTGCAGGCGTCCGCGAGCTGGTGTTCCCCGCGCCACTGGCCTTCGACTCTGACCGGTCGGCCGCTTCGCAGACAGCCGTTACACGCGCAGGTGGTCCCAGCAGCCCGCGAGGACGCGCAGCAACTGTCTCCCCCTCTCGCATGCCTACTATGGAGCGCCCACATTTACCATCGCTAAACTCCGCACGTGCGTCGGGCGACTTCCAGGCGCTACTCGGCGACAAACGGCGCCGGCGCTTGTCCATTTTCGGGCCGAAGGTCCCGCCTCCGCCGCCTGCCGCGAAGCCGGTCGCCATGCAGTACGCCAGCAGCTGGCGGCGCTCGGCGCTCCCGAGGGATGCGCGCCTCCGATCGGGCGTGATGTCGGCGTCGGAGGATGAGCTGTACTTGAAGGCGCCGAGGCGGCGGTTCACGACGGCGACGACGGCGTCGAGCGAGAGCTCGCTGCTCAGCCCGCCGTCGTCTCGAAGCAATACTGAGCAGTCCTCTGACAGCGGCAGCCTGCCCTCGAGCCACCGCGGCTCCGCTAGGGACATCCCGCCCCCTCCCCTCGCCGTCCCCCAGGGCGCGTCCCCACATGATCTCTATCTCGCGACGTCTCGCGTGCGTGCGCCTGTGCTGCGCACGTTTGTGCCTTGCACATTCCTCGACGACCGGGCCATCGCGACGTGCGAGGAGCAGCTCGACAGTGCCGGTTTATGGGAGCACCTCTCCGTCGGCGACGTTGTGGTCAACTTTGGCTATGTCCCGCCGGTGGAGGGCCCTTCGAGCACGGGCTCAGGGTCTGCATCTGAGCGGAACGAGGGCAACCAGGAGTGGATGCTCTTTGACGGTTACAAGCTCATCAAATACGTCCCGCCAGACCCGCCCCCACTCGAAGACCCGCTTTCGCTACCGTCTCCCTTTTACTACTCGCACATCCTCCCGCCCTTCACGAGCCCGCGTTACGTGTACGCGCTGCCGGCAATGCCAAGTGTGTGCGGCGCGGACCTGCAGCTCACGCTTACGGAGGTTCCCACGCGCGTGCGCAGCCCGCGCTCGCTGTCGGGTTGGGCGGTTGTGAAGAAGTATGTGTGGATTGCGCGACTGCCGTATGTTGGTCCTGGTACCGTCCTGGGGCGTGCGTGGCAGGGCGAGTGGATGCTTGAGGGAGAGGGGACGAAGGAAGGGAAGCAGAGCTTGCTCGACGCCGTGAGTGGTGGCCCAGGCGGAGCAGGTGCGGCGAGGAGGGGAAAGTGGGAAGTTGTGAGAGAAAAATCGGGGAGCGGGAGAGTGTGGATGAAGTGAGTGTCGTATTATCGCATTTTGCTTGGTGCTCATCTGCTCACTTCCTTAGATTGCTCGTCCCGAATGTCGATCACACATACAAAAAAATTGCAGGCTCTGCAACACCTAACGTGCCGCCAGCCCCGGGGACTAACGCTAAACGAAAACACTGACACTGGCCACCTGAACTCCCTCGCTCACTTTCTCTGGTACTCGCAGTCGCGCTCGCGTTCGCATCCACTCCTCATCGCTAACTACGTATGCAATTTTCGCGCTCGTACATTCTATTGGACGCTGCAGACGCTGGCTGGACGGCTTTCTAGATACTGTTCGCGCACATCATACCCCGTGTACTTTTCTGTCGACTACTTACCCTGTGCCGTTCGCACGCCGTTCTGACGCTGTACATTACTATACGCTGTTGTTGCTGCCATGTTCCGCTAATGTAATCGCTCTGCGCTGCGGCTCGTTTCGGTTGCTTTTCGCGGACCGTGCTACGCAGATGTTGTTCGTTCGTTTCGTACAGTACTAATGCCTTGCGATATTGGGCTTAAACACCACATACTGACATGCACACATTACTTGTCTCGTAAAGCAGCAATAATAGGCTCATCAAAGATGTATCGGCTCGCTTGAGAGGTCAGATGATGGCGTGCTTACGGGTACTATTACAGCTGCTTTGCTTCTCTTTCTTTCTTCTCTTTCGGACTTGTGCATGCTAGACCAGGCTAGCGATGTCCGTGTTGACAAAGCTGGCAACGTCGAACCCTCCGGGTGGGCTCTTGATGAAACCGGCCTTCTCGAGCACCCTACGAGCATCGTGTCAACATGGCAACAACTAGAATCCCTAAACTCGAGGAACCTACTCCAGAGTGTCCGAGATGACCTTGCTCGGGATGTTCAGGCAGTTTTGCGTCCACGCGACGGTCTTCAGCCACGCCTACACTCGCATTTAGTGAGTCTCCCCCAACGTCAACGGACGAGTCGTTCACCTTCACGTCCTCCTCGGGATACCCGAACTTCGCCTTGATGTACTCGACGTCTTCGCGCACGCGCTTCTCGGGCGTGTCAAACGCGCTGACGTATGAGGAGAGCGTCTCGAGGAACGTGCGCAGCGTGGGGGTCTCTGCACGCGTTGGGTGAGCGGCGATGAGCCAGGAAGGCCACGGCGTCGGCACGGAGCCGATCTGCGGGAATGTTCAGTCCGCGTGAGATGGAGATGAGATGGGGGGTGAATGAGCGAGGGAAACGTGGGCTTACGAAGCGCGCTTCGCCCGCGTCGACGAACGGCTTTGTGGTGAACCACTCCCACATGAATGCGCTGGTCGAACCGTCGTTCACCGAGTCGAGCAGGCCGCGGATGTCGTTGTTCACTGGCCGTATGCTCAGGTTCGTGAGAGCGGACGATGACATCTCACGCGAAAGGTACCTTTGAACTGCAGTTTGTCTGTGGGCCAGCCTTGCTGCAGGGCCATCACATATGCCATCGTCTGGCTACCGCTGAACGCAATTTATTATCAGCTGACACTGAACAATGAATGGAGAAGGTGTCTGAACGGACCTGCCGAAGCGCGAGATGCCGAGGGTCGTCCCTTGCAGGTCAGCGACCTCCTTGTACTTGGGATGTTTTCCGGTGATGACAGCCCTGACGGGGAAAAATCCAGATATTCTTGAACGCCCGTGTGACGGTTTGATGAGACATTACTCACCAGTTCAGAGGCGTGGTGACATAGCTGCCGACGAGCTTGTAATGCTCGTTCCCTTTGACGATGCCAGAGATCAGGGGATCTGTCAATGCCCTTCTCAAGCCATATGAGTCCATGATGTTGTGTATAATAACGGATGCGGCCCACACTGCAACGTCTATCTCATCGGTCGTGAGGCGCGAGATCAATTGCCCGGTTCCACCTGCCCGCATACATGATGAGAAATGGCCTTCGGTGGAAAGGCACGGAATCCACTCACTTGGGCACTCTACCAGTGTGAAAGTCTTTCCGCCGTCATCATCTGCGTACTGCAGGAGTGGGGACGAGAAGTGTTCCCGGACTGCACTCTGAGTCAACACTCCTGTTAGATCGAAATCCATTTCGCTGACCGTAGCCAATCCTCAGCGGCATCCTTGTTCAAGAAGAGGTTGTTGAGAACCTTAGTTCCGGATTTAAATACGGGCTTTCTAGGCGTAAGCGCGTGGGATCTCCATGATCGTGAGATCTTATCTTATCTCTCGAGGACCGTCTGCGATGCGACCCGCCGCTCGGCACGGACAGATTACGCACTGCTAAGTACGGTTGCAATACGTAACGGTAAGTATGAGCTTGTGAGGTAGTCATGCACGGTACCACAAGGGCCACTCACACCAGAGATCACAAAGATGTAAGATCACTATCTTGATCGGAGTGCCAATCTCCCACCAGCCACAATTCACCAGCGCTTGCGCCTTCATCTCCTTTCGCGCATCCGCCTAGCATGTCCGTGACAAACACGACATGGCACACAATGTAAGGACTACTCCTAGGTCAATAACGCTGCTTGTGCTCAATGGAGAACGCTGAAGAACTGTCCGTATCCCCTTTGAGTCGGAGAAACATGCCACCATCGCGAAGCAGGTGCTCGAAGTCGATCGAGAACTGCAACCTCAGGCCGTGAAGAAGACGCTGGCAGTAGAAGGCAACGACCTCGTCGCGTGCGCAGCTCGAGTGCTTGTAAAATCAATCTGACGCTAAATCTCGAACAGGAGCATCACGACGTTGACGGTCAGGCTCGCACGTCTCACAGTGAACGCATTCCTGGAGAACGTCGACCTCGTCGTCCGGACTATCGGAGAATTCGGTGGAGACGCAGAGCGGAGACAGACGGCGTAGCTGTGATTGTGACATTCACGGAGTAGGGGGCCTGACGATACATTCTTTGATGCGATAGCAACGTGCGATTGATTACAAGTCCATCTCGTCGCTACGCGCGAGCTTACTCCGCTACCGTCGCCGCCTCCGGCTCTGCTGCCTCGCCATCTGTCGCCTTTGCCTTCTTCTTCTTTGACTTCTTGTCCTCTCGAAGTGGCTTCTCCAGCAGCTCCTTCAGCTCCTCGTCCTCCAGACCCTTCTCTGTCTTGACGAGCTCCGGCTTGTACCATATAGGAGATTGCGTGATCAGCGTAGGCCCAGCAGGTAGGAGAGCAATCGTGAAGTGGAAGCCTGCAACGAACGTGTTCGCCGGGGTATAGCTATGGCCGCATGCTATGAGGGAGTGGAAGAATAAGGTGACTTGAGACGCTCACATGACCTCGTAAGGCTTTACTAGGCCGTGCTGCACGGCTTCTTGCAGCCCCAACCGTGAACGCTTCTCATCTTCCAGACAGCGAATGTTGAAAGGGAAGGCGCCAGCCTTCCTTTGCACCTCAGAGAACACGGCACGCGACGTCTTCATCTTCAATTGATAGGTGACAGTGGACTCCTTTTGGTAAATCGTGGTCTTCGACTCTTCGAGGCGAGCCTGCATCACAGCCGACAATCAGTTCTCGTACATCAACGTTATTAGCAAGATTCACACCTTGCCATCCTCTCCTGATGAAACCAGAATGTCAATGCCATACACCTCGTTTTCTGCGAAGGTGACGGTTTCAAATTCCTTCTTCTGCGCCTCCGTCTGCACATGTTTGAGCAATGTCAGAAATTCTGGGTGCAGCCAAACATACGTACCGGGTTAAGGATGATACGTTTCTTGCCATCAATGACATTCTGCGACTGCTGGCACGAGAGCATTCCTAGATGTTGATCGATTCAAGCCATCGGCATCAAGCCACCGCCAAAACGCACCTTCTACCGGCTTGCAACCCCACGCTGCGGTCACCTTGTTCACGGTATCGGTGATCGTCCAGTTTTTGTTGCCAACCTTGACGAGCCGTTTCGCGATCTCCGCTGCGGTATACGCCGCCTGAAGCACGTCCGCCCGCCTGCCGGTCACTGGATCCTCCGCCGTCGCGCCGACCACAAGGGTCTCCGCACTCACCGCCGCAAAGCCATCGATGTGCGCGCCGAGCTGCAGCTTAACGACATCGCCCTTTACGAGCGTTTGTGACGATGCAGGGTCCGAAGGGAGGGGAGAGAAGTGTGCGACCGCGTTGTTGACGGAGACGGAGGTCGGGAACGCGATGCCTGATCATACGTAAAATCGCCTGCCGAAGTCCCGATGAGAGATCAATCATTGACGTACCCTTAGGGACCTTCACTCCCTTCACTCCCTTGTTGTACACGGCGCCGGTGCCCTGCTCGAGCAGCTTGTCGCCCTCGACGCACAGATCAAGCACTTTTGCTCCCTCGACACATGACTCGACGAGTTTTTTCATCGCCGCATTGACGATATCCGCCGCACCCTATCACATTCTACCAATGAGCACGAAGTCTTTCCACGCCCCTGACCATCCGCCAACCTTGTATTTCGTGAGGTCGACCTGCGCGGTCGACGTTGCCGGTGTCTCTGCCGCAGGGGCTGCTGCCTCGGACATGATATGCGGGAATACTGAGGGGGGAGGGGGATCTCGGTCTGTGGATGCGGTCACTGGTCCTTGCAGAAGAGAGTTAAGAAACAGCGTCACGTGGTACTGTAATGCATGCACCCGCACTGGACGTGTCTCGACGCATGCTGTCTGAGGTCAGGAGCTATTTTGTCGTCTGTCTACGGATACGATGGCGCGTGCGAGGAACAGAGTTAGTGCTGCACACGAGCATCTCACTTGGAACAGGCCCAGTATTTATTCTTCTATTAGTGGTGTGTTACGCAACCTATCCGGAATTCAGTAAATACGCGAGGACAAGTAAGATGTGGACGATCCGCTCCGCCAGCATAACGGACGCTTAAGATTCCTTGGGCTTCACGCCCACAAAGGCTCGCATCGACCTGCAGAGATTTTCAGGCCCGATATACGAGGACGAGGTCGAGGCTGCGTCCGAAATTTCCATCTCCCCGGCACGCTCCCGCCAGACTTTCCAGTCGGGGCGATCGTTGCTGCCTGATTCCAGCCAGGCAAGCGATTCGTAAAGCTTTGCGCGCATGGACATGCGGTCCTTCATGTCACTAAATAGAGAGAGATTGAGTGGCAAAGCGAAGCACGTTAGCTTAACGCACTTTTCCCAATTCGTCCATGCGAGGTCGAAATCCTCTCGCAATATGACTTCATCAATTTCGGGCTTTTCCCCAAACCCTTTCCCGTTTCTGAATTCCTCCCACATAGCGGATCGGCAAGAGCGAACGGTCTCGACTCCCCTGGCCAAATGGATGGAAGCCCAAGATGTGATAGTAGCGCTTCTGGATGGTTGTCGAGAACGTAAGGAATTACCCTCAGGATGGTCGGTCGACCAGCGAGTCCCGTGCGTCCTCAGGTCGAGGTATAGCTCGGCCAAATTGGTTGGTGTCTCCACGAACTGTCGGTGTACGCTTAGAGGGTCGTCGCTGCTCAGCTGCTGCGAGCTGGGTGGGAGAAGGATATGCAAAGTGGGCATCAACTGGATGTCGTGGAAGTACGCAGAGAGGTAGAATGGCAAGACCGATAGTATGTTTGGAGTGATGAATCTGCGATGCAGCATGTTATCCCAGGATTGTATAAGTTTCGTATGATCGCGAGGATCGACTGGCTGTTGCTCCGGATCGTGGGATGCAGAGACCTTTGACGACGACGTGTCCGTGCTGCTCGACTTCTCCAGTAGAAGTGGCGGGGGCATGAGTTGGTGCTCAGAGGAGTTGTTCGAAGGTACGGATACGAAGCCGAGACTCGACTGGCTCGTGTCGTATTTGGAGCTCGCAGGAGCCGAAGGTGCGCTGAATGAGCTCTTCGCGCTGCTGGGTTCTCCTGGAGATGACTCGTCCTTCTTTGGGAGACGGGTGCTCGGAAAGATTAGGTCGTCTTCGACCATCTTTTCAAGTTGTTAAGTAAGGACAGACATCAAATGCAAAGCAATGTAAATACCTCGATCAAACCACCCGGTACCAAGATACGTGCACATTCCTATAAAGGTGCGGCAAGGTCAACGTCGTAGCACGTCATCTATGATCTCAAGGGCACACTTCAAACAGATCTTGCCATTCATCTTCAGGGACGGCGAGTCCCAGTCCGCATACCCGAACAAAATCAAAGGTCTCTGCTTCAAACGGTAGAGTCTCCAATCTGTACCCCTGTCAAAGACCAGCCACAAGAGTAAAATATCCACGTACAAATCTCCATGCACCCATTCGACACGCTCAGCAATCTCCGTCAGCTCCAATTCTGGTCGCATCAGGTCAGGTTGACATTTTTGTATGTCGAACCCGACAAATTTCGTATTCTTCGCTTCTGTGAGCCACGATTGGCAGGCCACGAACAAAACATGCGCTCACCTGCCACTGCTTCGCAGCTTCGACGATCCACAGGCCATTTCCACATCCCAGGTCAAGCACCTTTGTAGGCAGTGTCTCGAAACGGTGGACGGTGATATTACGGACCAAGCCGCCCATGAAGATGAAATTCCAGTTATCACTATGGGCGTGCCATGAACCGGAGTCATATCCACTCTAACGTCATACTACTCACTACAGAAAGAGGTCGGGCGAATAATGCACGGGATAGGGTACTTGGTTGTGCGCGGAGAGATCTAATGGCTTTCTCTCCACGCCATTTTCTGCCTTGACCGTGTCTCGGCGTCGCGTGCGCTTTTTCATCAATTCCGCCTGCACATCCTTGCTGACGCCGGGTTGAGACATAATGTTTGGTAGCGCAGATATGTATGAGGGTACGAGAGAGCAGAGAAGGAGGATCAGCTTGACAGCACACTCTCATCAATGTCCTTGTATTAAAGTAGTCCGAGAGCGCCGTGGAGGGACGAATCACATAGTTGCGACGGCGCCGTCACAACCGCTGACAGAGACTGGACATTTCGTTCCAAGCTCGTTTGGTCGTCTGGATCAGGGCCGGAGGCAAATCTTTGATGATGGCTGGCCATTCTTCTTTGATCACAATAGTCGGGAGGATATGTCACTTATCCTGACGCTTTAGGTACTTATCCGAAGAATATTGCTTGCGAACCCCGACCCTGCCGTTCGTCACTGCGATCATGAAGTCCACTCTGCTCACCGCCCGTCTAGCGGGCTCGCGCAACGCGTTACGGGCGACGCGTCCTGCGCTCAGCGCACGCAACTATGCTACACCCCCTCCCAATATCGCGCCCGATGACGACCCGCAACTCGGCCCCGACTACCCCCATCTGCCCCCCATTTCGAGACAGTACCTGCCCGCTCTCAAGAGATGGGACGATCCACAGATGCGCCGCAACTTTGGTGACCCTGTATGCTGCTCCTTCATCGCGTCCGACCAGATCTAACACGCGCGATAGTTGTACATGCGAGAGGAGATGCTGTCGATGTGGGGTCCCGATATCCCTCCGGTACCACCACTGGTCGCGCTGCGCTGGTTTACCATTGCAGCGCTCGGCTTCGTCTCATTCGGCGTACTGACAAAGTACGTTTTCACTCTGGAACGTCCAGCGGTACCGCGCGAATACCCTTACTCGGGGCTGGTGACTGAACTCGGCGGGCTTGAGGAAAACAAGGTGTGCTACCCTGATATGACGCTGTCCAGGTAGGCTCACCTTGATTGGCAGGCACGAGAGCTGACTGAGTCAGAGGACGAAGAGTAGACATGCCATGGCATCATGTATCATTGGCTGTACTTTCACTTGAAGCGAGGCCACTTTCGCCGAACGCAAGTTCTCTCTGCAAGCTCGTATCCATCATTAGGCTGCTATACGGCTACAATTGGCACAAACACTCTATTTACTAAGCTAGATGAGCAATTACGCATCGAACAGTATCATTTATCGTCCTCGTCTGAGACATCCGAGTCCGCCCGCGAACCTCGGTATGCCGGTGTAGGTCTAGGACGTAGGTTCACTGCTAGTGGTGGCGGCGGTGAGTGTGGCTCATTGGGAGCGTCCTTATCGCCTTCACTTGCGAGAGTTGCTTGTCGTTTTTCAGATGTTCTCTTAGCTCTCCTGCCCCGAGCAGTCTTGCCACCTCGGCCTCGAGCAGCCTTCTTTCCTCCGCGATCTTGGCTCTTGCCCTTGCTTGCCGTGGTCTTTCTTCTCTTTGCTGGCTTCTCTTCCGGTTCCTTGTCAGAGAAGCTTGCATCTCTCTCTGCTGCAGACGCTTCAACCGATTGTTGCCTTGCTCGCTCCTTCCTGAAGTCCGAGACGACTTGTTGCAGACGCTTGCTGGCATAAGCTTGTCGCTTGCGAGGTGCAGCATTGCCTCCCAGTGGAACGTCGAAGAAACTTGTGAGGTTTCCTTGCTTGTTGAGAGTAGAACTCTGGAGAGAACGTCAGTCAAGGAAGTGTAGACATCACATAACAATGTCAAAGCTACTTGTCCTCGTTTGCCCATTTTCCGAATGATAGGCAGCAGTAGATCATCAACCTTCGATGCATGCCAACCGAGCTCTGAGTTGAAGAAGCTATTGGACTCGTGAGTACCTGTTTCAAGCATGAGGATTGCCCACGTACTCGCGAAGAGCGTCCAGGTCTGGTAAGCCCCATTTGAAAGGCTCTTCCGACTCATCTACTGTGGGATGATAGTATGCGTCCCTCTTCGGGAGATGTCATTTATGTACCATGAGTAGTATGAATATTGGACTCACAACAGCGGGGTTCGGCCAGTCATCAGGAATGTACAAATCCTTAAATCGTTTCTTCTGTATAGGTGTAAGCGACAATCCGGCCATCGGACACGCGGGTACTTACGAAGCGTTTACGAAAAGTGGTGCCCGTATCATCGCTCGTATCCTTCCCGCTCTGCACTTTCTGCCACCAGTGCTTGAACTTATGGAGGCCATCCTGCCCGGGAAATTCCTTCAGTAGCTCCATCGCCACTACAGGACCGACTCCGGGAAGACCTTCCGTATAGTCACTTCCCAGAAGATATGCCAGGCGTATGAGTTTATCGCGGTCAAGGCCTAGTTCGCGTTCGAGGTCAGTGAGAAGGAAACACTCGACGGTCTTGGACTGGTTGAACATGTTCTTCAGGACGCGCAGGCCGCCGAAGAGAAAGACGTCCGAGTCGTCTGTGATTATGCCATCGACCAGGCCCAGTTGCAGTAATTCTGCACACTGCGCCTCGGCCTCCATTGGTGCGGTGATGTATGGGATGCCAAAAAGGCGTAACATGATCTGTCCGAAGGAGTTCAGCATCAACCAGGCCGGTGATAGCGACACAAGGCACGAACCATAATTTGAGAGACCATCTGCTGTGTGACGTCCTCGGAATCGCGCATGGCAATCTTCCTCTGCTGATGCAGCTCCCGGATCTCGTCGTCGATCTCTCGTCTGACAGTGTCCAAGTCGCGGCCCTTCACTTGAGAGATGAACCTGGCAAATTCACCCTCTTCTGCCTGAGGATCCATCTCCTCCGCCGCATCCCACCCATCGGCAGTTGATTCCACGGGGGCGGTGGCAGCACGAGATGCCGACGCTGGTGAAGACGATCGATGCCATGCGTCTGAACCTTCATTCTCAGAGTCGGTCGCAACCTCACTCGGCTCGAGGCCTACATTCTGGTTGCGAGATGTTGAGAAATTACTCAGGAGTCCGTGTGCTTCTGAGATGCTGGCATCTTTATCAGGAGAGACGACCGACTTTGGTAAATCATGAGCTAGTGACTTGTAACCATCATCGGGCGTCGCGGGTCCGCCAGGCCGTTGCAGCAAGATTTGACTGTGCGTAGGTCTTTCGCGCAAAGTTTCTGGGTTTGATGGGTGTGTAGCTACGGGCAGCACTTCCTCCATCTCGTCTTCGTCTTCAGACTCCCAGCTATACTGAGCAGGATGTGGTGAAGGAACACTGATGGTTTGCGCTGCATCCGCGACCGGCTCATCTCGCATGGGCGTGGCGCTGCGGCTGTGGATGACAGGTGCAGTATCCACAGAAATCACCGCCACTTCCTCCATATCTTCCTCCGAGTCTGATATTGTCTGCGAGGGTGCCGGTTGCTCATGTGATGTCGCCTCGCTTAACACCAAGAGGCTAGGTGCACCAAACATCGATGCTTGGATGGCCGAGCTGAGGTGAGGTTGTCTCTGAGGCCGCAGGCCAGTATGAGCAATGGATAAGGCGGTTTCCAAGCGTGATGGAGAGACATATAAACCCTCGTCATCTGACATGGCCGTCGTAGTCATCTCATCGTTCTCAGAGATTAGTCGAGATGATGAGGCTCCCCTTCCGGGCGTCACAGGTTTTGCATTGTCTAGTGTCACACGAGATGATGACGCGCCAACTGTTGTAGAGACGGAAAACCTGAGGCTTTCAGATTTTGATGCCTCCAGAGCATGCCTCAGATTGGCCTCTTCTTCGTATTCGAGCGATTGCTGAATGGCTGCAGCAAATGCAGGATCCTCATCTTCGTCGCTCGCCTCGTTCACATCTCTTACTTCTCCCTCCTCCGGAGCGAAGAGTGGACGCGATTTTTTGGCCCTCTTCTGTATTCGCGTCGTCACTGGTACAAGCTTCTTGGGAGTGTACCGTGAAGCTAAGGCGGTCAACGCTTGGCCTCTGCGGTATTCCCTCAGATCTGGGTCAAACAGAGGATTACTACCTCTACGTGACGGAAATTTTTAGTCGGGTCTAACCGTTCTCGGTTTCAGCGATGCATACGTACATTGCAACTTCCTCCATTTCCATGTCGCTGCTGTCCGCCTGTTCCTCTTCATTAGTGTGATGATCTATTTCGATGGGTTTGTTGCGTGTCCCCTCGTCTCGTATACCGAGGACCCACCCGCCCTCTCCATCCTCGTTCTTGATGAGGACATATTCCCTGTTGCGCTCACTCGCAATTCGGATGGGAATGGATACGTGGGCCTTTCCAATGCTATCTGTCGTGATTAGTAGTTGTTGCGTAAGCGAGTTCCTCTGCTTGAGGTTCTTGATCTGTTCCTTGGAGAAATCCAGAGGTGTCTTAGTATTCCGCAGCATATTTTGCAGGCGTTTGTAAGACGTTTGACGAGACTTCAGCCTAAGATCGCCGATGATTTCATATTGCACTTCTGTAGGTAACTCGCGGAATGCGGGGGACGAGACATCAAAGTCCTCTGGACGCATCTCCTCAATGAAGGCACGTAGTTCATCCTCAGTCGCGAGACGAGGGTCTGGCGCATGAGAGCTGGTAGCCTTGGCAACAATTTCGTCCATGTTCATGTCAGGTAGCTTGTACGGATCGTGGTCATGCCATCTTGACTTCTTCCGCGAGGAAGGCGGCGTAGGTTCAGCAATTCTTCCCTGAGCCTCCTTTGACGGCGTTTTCGGAACAGATTCATCGATATCCTCCAAGTATACAGCATTCTCGTCAATAACAACGGGACCTCTTGGCACCTTCTCCTTCCCTTTGTCATCCTCGGACCTGGGGAGACGTCATTAAACAACGAGCGATTTAGCGCAAAGAGAGTCCTCACGATTTCTCTTGAACATGGTTCAACGCCTCCCGTCTCAACTGCGCAGCAAGCAACCTCTCAGCTACTTTTGCGTGACTGAGCGCTGCACCGGCTTTCTTCTTCTTGCGTTCCGTCTGCGTTCACAAATGTCAAATTTGAGGCTACTCATGCCTAATGGTATCATGCACTCACGATAGTTGCCCTCTTCAAAGCCGGGGCGCCTCCATCAAACACGAAGACGGGCTTGATGCCATAAAACAGCAACTTGGAGATACGTCGCAAGAATCCAAGCACATGAGCGTTAACCAAACCGCGGCCCTCCTTGTCGCGCATGGTAGCCTGAAATTGATAGATCCAGATGCTGGAATCAATGGCCATAGCCTTGCCTTCCATAGTCTCCAGCCTGATTCATCGTCATCGAAGGATCGTCTCGCAGTATTCAAAGCAGCACTCACAGCACAGGCCTGCCCACTGGATCCAATAGTGACCATAGCGACTTGACACCCATATTTTCAACTTGCTCAGGTAGGAGGAAGTGACGGAGTGGTAACTGGGGTATATAATAAGCTCCCTATGTCAGATTGAATACCATTCAGCTTATAGGACAGAATCAGGAGTGCGAGGCAAGGACGGAGCCACACAAGACTCCAGTCGAGTCGAATTACATGACCAAGTTAGACGCTGGGAGTAACGCGCACACGTGACCGTGACGGACGAGAAACGCGCATCGCGGCGTGAAGCCAGCCACCGGCGCGCACTCAACCCTTCTCAGCTGAAGACTTCTTTGATCCTTGGAGAGCTGGAAGTTGCTTGGAGACTTGAAATTTAAAGCTTAACACCGCTGTGTCCGCAGTTGGTATGTAATCGTTGGTATCCAATGCAAATGTGGATATGTGTAGCAACAAGCCAGTACATACGAGTAGATGCGACAAAAGAGACTAAGACGATGCATAAACCACCAAAACTAACGTAGGGATAATATCAAACAAAACGGTATGATAGCCCGAATAGTGTGATCGTCCAATAGAAGGAGGAGTCTGTCCATGAGTGTAACGATGATAGAACAGAGACGGTTGGCAGGTCTAGCCTAATCATTGACGACTACCCGCTTGGCCTTCGGCTCGGCCTCTTGACGGCTCTTCGCTGATCGCAGGGGTCCCCACTCTGTTCGTCGAGTCGTTCCGCAATGAGAATGGACGAGGGCCAGCATCGGCTTCAATGGGAGTTTGTAGCGCATTGTCATAGGCGGCAGGTGGCGACCGTGTATCGAATCCTCCTCCTCCCGTCATCTGCATACTCATTGGATTCATGCCCATACCCATAGAGCCCATGCCCATACCCATGCCAGGCGACATGCCCGGAGCCATCCCTGGGTTCATGCCCATGCCCGGACTCATGCCCATGGAGGGGTTCATGCTCATGGAAGGGTTCATCCCCATGGACGGGTTCATTCCCATGCCAGGATTCATCCCCATTGCTGGGTTCATGCTCATCGACGGGCTCATCATCGGCATGCCCATCATCGACATTCTAGGGTCCATTGCAGCCATGTTCATACTTGCTCCGGTCATCATAGGATTGAGGGGTGCTGGTCCGCCTTCCCCGCCCATGTGAGAACCCGCCGCTGAGAATGCCATCATGGCCTGTTGGTACGCCTGCATCGCTGCCTGCTGCGCTGCCATCATCGTCTGAGGATTCGCGAAGCCGGGCATCATGCCAGGGTACCACGCGCCGGTCATCATGGGGTTCATGCCCATCATCATCGGGTTTGCCATCATGGGGCTGAACCCAGGCATACCCATCCCGCCGTACATAGCGCCACCTTGCTGCATCTGCTCGAGCTGCTGCCGCTGCAATTCGTCCATCTTGCGTTGCCTGTCCTCAGCTACGCGCTTGTCCCGTTCGCGTTCGGTCAAGATAGCACCGATACCACCTTCCCGTTTACGCTCTCGCTCATGCGCAGTGACAGCGCCGAGCAGTCCAGTCTGAGGAGGGGGAGGCTTGTTAGGCACATTGATGAGGGACGCGCCGGTCTCTCTCGCGAGTTCCTCTTGCTTCTTAGCGGACCGGTCTTGCTTATCCTGCAGGCCAGCGGAGAGGAGGCCGTGGGGAGTGAAAGCCTTCGTCATAGTCTGAGAGGGAGGATCGAGCTGAATGAATGTATCTCTGCTGGGACCATTTGGAGCGCCATTGGTACGACTGTCGAAGTTCTGCGTCCAGATTGTTTGACGATAACCTGAATTAGCAGTCGATGGATTGGAGGAACCAGGATACTCTGACTGAGGCCTAGCATGCGCTCCGGGAGATGGGATCTGGCGCGGACCTTCTGGAACAGGCAGTTGACGTCCGAATTCACTCGGTATAAAGCGACGTGGCTGAGGACTGAGGAACTCCTCTGAAAAGCGCCGCCAACAAAGATCAGATCCAAACCCGAACATATGTATTTGAGTAATAACTACTCACCTTGATGACCTTGTCCGGGCAACTGCGGCAGCTCTCGCGGAGCCCGTCGGTTTGGAGGATAAGGTCCTGCATTGGCGTCTCCCATCGATCGTGCAGGAGAAACTCCTCTGTTCTGCAAATTCGTCGTGCTACCAGAGTTGCTCGGCGCGGCGGACCCGCGCGCTGACTGCTGACCGGAGCTGCCTACCGCTCTCTGCGGCGGTTCATCGTCCGAATCAGCATCGTCATCTTCCTCCTCCTCCTCCTCCTCCTCTTCCTCCTCGCTGCTCTCTGCCCAAGCTCCGCGGTTCGCGACTTTGCTCCTGCCATTCGCCCTCCCTGGACGGCTGACTGCAGCCTGGTGCGCTTGCACCTTGGCCTTCCGCTCTTCGGCCTGCTTTGTCGGTGCGAACGATGACCTGAACGCGCGTCGAGATGACGTGGAATGTGATGGGCTGGCAGCAGGCTCGTTGACATGAGGGACTGCTGATGGTTCAGATGATGACGAGGGGGGTGAGGGCGACCTCTGCTTCGTGGTTGCCGTGTCTGCGTGTTCATCCTGTTCCAGAAACGTCAACGCTGCCAAGGCGTCGGCATCGGGATCATCCATGTGTGGCGAGGTGTGCGCCTTATCCTGCGGGTGTCCGTCGCCGACCTCCTCGAGCATGGCGTCCTCGTCGTTGCGTTCCTGGAAGGTGCGGGTGGGAGCGAATGCGTGAGGGACAGCCGCCTTGCTGCTGCTGGTCGGTGCACGTGCGCCAGACGGCTTGCGTCCCGTCATCGATCTAGATGCAGCCGCGGGGAATGCCGAGTGCGACTCGGTTGTGGCAGAATAATTCGACCGCGACGACGCGACTGAGATATCCGTGTCGCGTCGCGCAGGTGGCGGTCTCAGCGCGTCGGAAGTCGCAGGCCGCGGCGGACTCGCGTACCTAGGCGGAGGGTTGGCCATCAAACGTGGAGGCGGCGTATAGGGGTGGTCATCGTCAGCAGATTCTTCGTCATCATCTTCCTCTGTCTTGCTAGGCAGAGGGGGAAGGCGTTGGTGTAGAGATGGGTCCGATCGTAACTCCTGCTTCATATGGTGTTGCATATAGTACAGCGCCCCAGCTGCTTCAGAATAGTCCTCGGAGTCGGAAAGGGGTGGCGCAGGAGCGGGTGGAGGAGTCGGCTTAAAAGCCGGGGTGGGCATAGCACTAATACTGCCCTGACTCGCTGGCCTTGGCGATTTGGGAAGCGCCTTCGATTGAAAGGAAGGAGCTGCGGAGGAGGGAGTGGTCTGCGTAGTTGATGGAGCGGTGGGTGAAGTCGGACGCGAAGAAGTGATGCTGACAGACGCCGACGGTTTCGGTACATGCGTGGGAGACGAGACCGTTTGAGGAGAGGTCGTGCGCCGACTCGCAATTGAGTACGAATCAGTCTTTGAGGACACGGGAGGTGCCACAGCAGGCGTCTGCGGTACTGTCGTATAGTTCGCAGACGACTTCGACGCAGGTTTAAACAGCTCCGGACGATCAAGTCGCGACTCTGGTAGAGGCTTGGTATTTCCTTCTCGGACTGGTTCCTCGCTTTTGAGATTGCGTATATCACTCTCGGGCGGAAGAGTTGCAGACACTGGACTGGCCATTAGGTCCTGCCCTAGGACTGATTTAGCTTCCTCCACAGCCTCGAGAGGTTTCGGCGAAGACCCTTGCTGGGTCGGCGGTCGCGTCAGAGGAGTCTCGTTAGACAATGACCGGTGGATATCGAGAGGTACACTACGCTCCGTGATAGGCGTCAGTAATCGTTTATCCGGCAATACAGGAGGTTTTGACTCAGAATGCAATGAATGGAAAACTAGCGGCGGAAGTTGCAAGGAAAGCTTTGCTTGCGGCTTGATATCTTCCCGTTCCTTCTTTCCCGGAGGTTCACCCTCGTCATGATTCAAGTCGTCCGAGACTACATGAGGTAAAGGCGGCAGAACCGGCGGGCGATCCTGGGTCGGTGAAATCGTGCTTGTAGAGACCCCTTGCATTCGATCTTCTATAATATTCCGCAATCGGGAGCGAATGAACGAAGTCCGATCATCGCGAACGTCCAGCGTCTCCGCGAGTTCACGGTCCAGGAACAACATCTTCAGGAGTGTCATTATCGACCATGCAGAGGAAGATCAGTAATGGAACGTACGTCTCTCTGCGGTCCTATAGGGTAAGCGAACATCATGCTTCGAGGATCTCGAGGATCCCAGCTGTACATCTGAGGACGTCCGTACAGCTCAAATGCGTCATGTATCGCTGTCGGGTCACAAATGAGCCGCGAGTGTTTACACATATAGGGTGTTCTCATTATTCACCGATGAGCCACTTCAGCATCTCGGATGTTTGAATGTTCGCGCCCTCAAGGTCGGGCAGGATCATGATCCAGCACTCCCTCAACTTCATAGACCCGGCCACTTCTTCGTCTCCGAGCAAGCCCTCGAGCTTCATCAGCGTGCTGCGGCTGATAAGCTCTGGGCGTTCTGGATAGACGGCAAACGCCTGCGTGACCTCACGCATGGTGAGAATAGGCTTCTTTTTGTCCTTGTGCTTCGGCGACAGGAACATCTGCAGCATCGGTTTGTTAGGCGCTGCAGATCGCTGAGGGCTGCGCTCGCGTGAGAATAGGTTGGACATTCTCTTTCTGCGCGTAGTGCTCGGTGATGCTGACCGCTGGTTCTGACTGATAGCGAAGTCCGAATCATCATGGTGCCCACCTGCAGTCACTATCATCCACATCCGCTTCCAGTCGACCTGTCCGGCGATGCGTATTCTCACCCATCCTTCCATTTTGCCGTGATGCAGTGTTGATGGCGCGTCTCTGCCTGCAATATCTCGATATATAGGTGAAGTGATTATGAAGAAGCATTATGGCTCACCGTCATGAAGAGTGATTCTGATGAGGTGAGCGGTGTATATCTCCTCCAATCTCGACTTCTCCCATGCGGACAATCGCAAGGCAGCGACCCAAGATGCTTGAGCTGCTTGCGTAGGGCAAGAAAAGAGAATCATATTTGATCCTGCAGTGTTGAGCGTCAGTACATTGGTGTACTTCTGTGGCTCTAAGTTGTCTCCGGTCGCAGGAAGGGTTACGGAGCCAAGAGCATTAACGAACTTGAGCCGTCATGGGGAGAGATCGGATGTGCATTAGACAGAACACCCATTTCTTCTAGATACATGTTACTCACAGCATCTGTGATGTTGATGTAAGTAGGGGGAACCTGTTTACCGTGCTTGCTCGCCTCATCGATCGCCTGCATGTCCCACACGCTCAACGTTGTTCCTCCAAGCTGTCCCCATACGTGTCGCCAGCCTTCATCCCTAGCTGGCCGCTGGCCATCCGGCTGTCTTTGGATGTGTTTCACAAGCGGGCCAGAGAAGTATATCTTGTGGGCGTGGGCGAGAGTCAACTGCACAATCGAGCGGATCTCGGGATGCAGAGGGGGCGCGGGTGCGGCGGAAGACGATGACGAGAAGCGACTGAGAGTAGGATTAGGATTCGCTGCGGAAGGGGAGGCGGGAGCATTGTCCATTGGAGGAGGGCCTATCTCTGGCCGCCTGGGACCAAGCGAGCCTTGACTTTGAGTAGCAAAACCATTGCGCTTCTGCTGAGATTCTGCTGAAATATGTGGTTGTTCTGCAGCAGTAGAACTCGAGGAGGGCGGCATTTGGTCGCTGGATGTTCTCGACTTGAACAAAGAGAATGCGGACAACCCACGAGAATGCCCGCTAGCTTGTCCGCTCGGTGGGCCCGAGCTGCTCTTCCTGCCTCCATTCGGACGTGCTTCCTGTTGAGGATGCTGTTCTTCAGGTGGAGAAGATGCGAGGATTTCATGGCTGCCGCGGCGTTGCTGCTCCTTCTTCCATTGCTGAAGCTGTGCCGGCGAGATGAAGCCTTGATTGCGGCTATCCCACCGGGGACTGGTACTGCCGCTCTTGGAGACTGAAGTCATCTACAGCGAGGTCGTAATAGAGTGTGGCGGCGAAGAGGCATGCAATGATGGCGACGTGGTGGGAGTCAGAAGGAGGACCAAGCTGAAGCTCTTAGTAGTCGTGTTGTGCACGTTCTAGCTCAGGTTGTCATGAAAAGCTATATCTCCCCTGTATACCAACGTCATAGATTGATGGACATGTAGATTGCAATATTTTCGCTTGGGTTTTCCCTTCTTCCTGTCGCGCTTAGGGTCACGGCTAGATCTCTTTTCGTACTATTACAAGCGCGGCGCTGTCGGACGCAACTATATCGAAAACACAAACGTCGGCGGCATCGTTGGCTATAGTATCATCAGGCCCTCGATCTTCTCAAAATGCCAACAAATAGAAAAGGTGATGATGTGCGATACGCGTGCTTTAGAGCTTGGCTTTCACTGTATCGCCTCCGACCTTGACAACCCTGCAGATCATGATATCAAGTTGACAGATTGCATCGTCCGGTCCCGAGAGGGGACTCACAGTTTCCCTGTATTACCACCCGTGAAGAGCATGTTCAAAGCCAGTGGCGCATTCTCTAGTCCTTCGACGACGTGGAACTTGCGTTTGAGGGTCCCGTCCTTCAGCATCGATCCCAAATACTGCAAAGCAGCTGGATAACGGTCGACATGGTCAAAGCTACTCGCAAGTCAGATCACGCCGACATCGGATCATGGGGAGGAACAAACACGATGAATCCTTCAACCTTTGCCCTTTGCGAAATGAGGTTGAGATACCCCTTCAATCCCTTTGGCCTCGCATCTGTTCCGCTGTTGAGCATACGCCACGCATCTGCAGTATGTGACCAGACTCACTGTAATCAGAGATAGCGCCTGCAACCTCTCGAAGTTAAGCATCTCATCGCATTCGTTCAACAACTCCGCACTTACCGCATAACACGATCCGGGCATTTGTGTTCATCCGTGTCAGAGCAAAGTCCAGGATCTCACCGCCGACGTTGTCGAAGAATATATCGAAGTAGCCGACAGATTTCTTGAAGTCTTCGTGGAAGGACGGGCTCTTGTAATTCAATGCCTTGTCGACGCCGAGTTCCTGCTCGAGCCATGCGCATTTCTCCGGTGTTCCTGCGATCGCGTAGACCTTGGCTCCCTTCTGCTTGCCAATTTGACAGACGATGGAGCCCGTCGCGCCTGCTGCACCGGACACAAGCAGCTTCTCACCTGGCTGCAACTTGCCTACGTCCAGAAGGCCCTGTGCTATCTTAGGTCATTGTGTCAATCATAAATCATGGCAGACATACAACGAATGCTGTTAAGCCTAGAGGAGTTGTTGAATAATGAACAATCACTTCCATTGAATGAGTCTGTTATACACACCTGTCATGCTGAGAGCACCTAGGAAGTCGAGATATTCTGCGCCGTCAGGAATCCTACGGAATTGTCACCAATTCGCTCAGCTAAGGTTTCTTTTCACACTACTCACACTACTTTCTGGAGATCCTTCACGTCCAGAACAGCATATTCGCGCCACCCTTTGACTGGATTTCAGCATTCGGGGAGTGAACGATTGAGGAAACATCTCTCACCTACTGTTCCACTGATGCGATCTCCTGGCTTGAAAGGGCTGCCCTCGCCCGCTTCAACTACCGTTCCCAGCCCGAATGCCTTCATAACGGCCCCGATCTGCACCGGCTCCACATAGCTCCTCGTGTTGTTCAGCCAGCCGCGCATGGCGGGGTCGAGCGAGACATAGTCCACTCCGATGAGCACCTGCCCACGGCCTGGCTTCAAGTCGAAAGGCACATCCTCGGTGCGAAACGTCGAGGCAATGATAGCTGCCTTGGGCCGCTTTGCGAGCACGATGCGCTTATAATGGGAGGGGGCCATCATCAAGTTGTCCACGCAAGCCCGAACACTTGCGTGCGACGGTTACCCCGAATACTTGTAAGAGTGACCGAATCACCTGCCCCACATGCGCTTATAGTACGTAACTTATACGTACGGGGGACAGATACCACCGACTCACAGCGCTCATGATCACCTTCCCCGGAAGTCGAATCGCGCAATTGCAATTGATGTAAATGGTACGTATGGAGTCTCAAAGAATTTAAATATACCGATTCAGTCAAAATGCAATACAGTAGATATCTCACAGAGTACATCCAGCGCGACAACGCTGCATCAGACCTGCTGGCAATCGCACGAATCCGGAGCTTTCGGAAAATTGAAGCCAGCAGCTGCACAGCGCTGACAACAAGAAAACCTGGCTGCTCTCAACGATTAAGTAGCACCCATTAATGACAGACGACGTAGAATTCGGCCAGACCCAGCGTCACCGAACATGAAGACCGTGACAACGCGTTTCGATAGGATATGGTATAGGGGTATAGGGCCCGCTCAGAGAGCAAGCGCAAGGGCAGCCACCGCGCTGAGGATCATGATCGGCGTGTTCAGCTGGTGAATGGAGAATCCAGCTGAAGTCGGGTCATCGCCCGTGTTGGCAGCGCCAACGGTCTGGGCGGCAGAACCGGTCTCCTCGGGAGCCACGTTCGCAACGGCGCCCGTGGAAGAGGAACCGGATGAAGAGATATGTCTGTTACGAATGAGGTTAATGCGGCGACAACAACATTAATAGAAGTTGAAACTCACGTTGCAGCGGCCGCCTGAGCTGACGATCCGACGCCGGATGCTGAGGCAGAAGCCGACGACAAACATGAGCTGTCGCCGCTTAGAACAGAAATCTGCAATGGATATGGTGAGCGGGGTTGAGGGTTTAATCACAGTGCCGGAAGTCTCAAGTTCTAGTCGCGGAGAACTGAAACCAACTCCACATAATCCGCGTAAGCAGTAGCGACGGCTCTCACATGGCCACGGGCAGCCATGCTTCCGCGTCGCGAGGCAGACATGAGGGTGAGGCAGCGGCAGCTTCGTGACAAAACTTAGATGTCAATAGCTACCGATGTGCGTGCACTCTCAGACGAGTCGGCGTCACTCTCCAACTATGAGGCGTCTATACTCGGGGTCTGTCGACCAGCGCAATTGTGAGCTCGTCTCATGCTTGAATGGGGAGCCAAAGTCTGAGCAATCCCGCGAGCAGTCGGTTTTGCCCGGTGACAGAACAGTGAGACTACCGGCGCGGATGGGATGACTCACCGAGCCACTCCACGCTTCATCACCGGAAGCGTCCATGACAGAAAGCATTACATCCTCGCCAGCAGCAAGGGCGACCTTCCACGACGTGGATGTGCCATAAAAGTCGCCGAGGTCGGCCCTGTGGCGTAACAACTCTTAGCAGACGGTGAGAGCGCCGACGACTGAAACACGCACACTTCATCACCGCAAGGATCATTCGCGGGCACAACAATCAAGCTATATGGCGCGGCACCGGTATTAGACCAGGAAATGTTGGCGGGTTGACACTGGAAGGCGGGTAAGTCCGTGGCCAGCGTGGCTCATGGATGCCGGCGCACCTCGGTGAATGTCGGGGTGTTGATCGCAAAGTCTGCACGAGCCCCGCGAATCGCAAGCGACAAAAGAGCGGCAGAAACGAGTGTGGTGAACATGGTAATGAACGGACGTTGCGAAGGGAGGGGAACAGGGACGTCTGATGCTGGACGCTATAAGAGAGAGAGATCTGCGAGGGAAAGAATGTTGGGCGGCAACGAGCCATATTATTCTCCAGCCCAAACACGACTAAACACAGCCCATACGCTTGGCCCGGCTCAGCTTGTCCGCACAACATGCAACCGAACTCACGCCTCGACTCACGAAGGCAACCGACTGATTTGTTTCTTTGGTGCTCAGAAACGGACATTGACGCGAGCTGAGATAAAGTACAATAACTCATACAGAGGCAGCAGCATTCTATAACCGTGATGGCATACGTTTGCCCGTGAAGGTCGCGAGCATCGTCCGCTTGGTGATCCTGCCCAGCCAAGATTAGAAGGCGAAGGCAACGATTGTTAGCTACCGCGGATGTCCCGACGCCGGAGATGGAACTAGACTCACCCTCCATGCTCGACGACCGACGGTGTCTGACCGGGTCCCTTCACGACAACACGCTCGTCGACAGGCACAAAGTCCCGCTGTCCTGGACCTGCGTAGACCTGCACCCGCCGGGTACAGTACCTTCCTAAGCGAGAGCGTACTTCTAGCATGGCGGATACGTACCTGCCGAGGGCGCCAAATCTTCACGCCGCCGTCCTGCAACATCATTTGCCGCCAATGGGCTAGCCATCCGACGACGCGTGGTACAACGAACAGAACGGGGAAGAAGTCCATCGGGAATCCTGTTGGGCGGAGACAAAAATGTCAGTTGCAACAATCACCTCATCGCCTAGGAGACGTAGTCATACCCATTGCACGGTAAATCAAACCGCTGCCCGCCACAGATCATCAGTCGCAGAATCACCCGGCAGCTGACCTACTTACCTCCTGCAAAGGCAGTTGTTCAGCATGACTCGAGGCCGACTATCAGCGAATAACGCACCAGAAGTCCACGTTAGGCGCGAGCTTCCTGGAAATGAAGTATTCATCTTTCATTGCTGCATCGTGCAGCGCCATAGCCGTCACGAGTAGCTCATCTTTGCCAGTGCTGTACTATTGCATGAGCTATAATCACGGAATAAACATGCCAATTTGACGAACACTTTGAAGACCTCATCTGCTGTCTTGCGGACGATGAACGAGCGAGGATCGGACTACACCAAAAATAGCCATATGAGCATCGTGCGGAGTTATTGCGGCATGGAGGCCTTGAGCTCACCGTCTTGTACACTCTGCGTTGCAGGACAAGCGTTAAGTCGTCTCAATTAGCATGCACTACAGGCTATGATGGAGACTTACCGGTGACCGAAGCCTGAGAGCGTCTTCTCACGGCGCTTAACGGCCTCAATGAACGCAGGCACATTCTCTGGGCTGTGCGACGGCATGTTTGCATACGACGTCAGTGAGGATGGATGGTCACTCACCTCCCAATGGATATCAACATGCGAATGACGGCCTCGTTCGCACCACCTGGCAATAACTCATCAGTCATCAAAATACCGCTCGTGCGTTGAACGAACCATGTAATGGGCCACTGCGCGCCCAAATATCAGTAAATCCGATCAATTGATCCACGCCAGGAACTCACTAGAGCGATGCACAACCCGCGCTGCGCAAGAAAAGGGTGAGATCTTTAGATGATCGGTCATTCATCACGCAAGCACGTACGCAATAGCAGAGTATGGGTCCACGAGTGAACTGGCTGTCTGCAGCACCGTCGTACACGAGGCGTTCAATTCATGATCTGCGTGTATGAGGAACAGGACGTCCAGGGCCTTTTCGAGCACGGGATTGGGTACGTAGTTCTCTTCGCCTAGGTGGTCCATCTGGTATAGGAAGCTACGACACGACAGACATGCTTCAGTTTGCGTTCGATGGCAGTGGTGTCTGGGGAGGTACGAACGATCCGGTGTAGCTGAGCCCTGCAGGAGGACTCACGAAATCGCGGCCTTGTCGCACACGGTACGCCATGCTAGCGTCGCAGAAATGTCAGGAGTTGACGAAGTGAGATCTTACGAGTCACTTACGCAGCGAGAGTAGTCGCCTTTCCAATCAGCCTGTAGATCTGTCGGTCCATGACCGCCAACGATTCCTTATCTCCCCTAGTGTATAGGCGCTGTCCTGCGAGGCAATGAGCATGAAACTCGAGCAACCCATTGGGACTTTCTTCTGACCTTGAAGTGAAGGGTTCGCTTCAGCATAGAAGGAGCCGAGCATTGCAAACGCGCTTGTGAGCATGCTCATCGGGTGCGCGTCGTAGCTGTTGCATTCTTCAGTCACGAAAATTAAGAGACGCGTTCGGTCGCCCTTACCGGAATGAACGGAAGAATTGTTCAGAATCTGCATGTGTGGGGCCATGCCGCATGACCTCGCTCTGGAAGAATGCGAACTGCTCCTTTGTCGGAAGATTGCCGTAGATGAGGAGATATGCAGTTTCAAGGTGGTTGGAATGCAAAGCAAGCTGCTCGATGGGATATCCCCTGCAAACCGCGGCTCTCGTTTAGACCTGACTCATAAGTCCATCAAGGAGAATAAGCGGACCTGTAACGCAAAACTGCAGGACAAGTGTGGTGATGTCATTCGGCGGATTCGTTCTTTGAGGAAAGAGAAACTAACCTCCAGCTTCTCCATCAATGTACGTGATCTGGCTACGGATGACAGCGGTATTCAAGAATCCCTTGTCCTCTATCCGCAGTCCTCTCTCGGTCTCGTTCTCCTCCCGCTCGTTGGCCTTTCTGGGCGCGGTGATCTTCTTGAAAGCAGTCGCAGGGGCGGCATTGTCCACAATCCTGCCGGCGCGTCTCACTCAAAGCATCATGAAGAATCCAGATGAAGACGTACGGGATACTGTACGTCTTTCCAGTGCGGTTGTCGCGGACGGTCAGGGTGTTCTCGCTCGTTGCAGGGAGTTTGCCCATGGTGCAGTGTGAGAGAGAGCGGGGAGAGGATGCGGGGTTGCCACTAGGCTTACCCCGGACTGCGGGTACTTTATAGGCGACACACAACCCCACTCGCCCAATAATTCCGACGCAGACGATCGACCGAGGATTTCGGAACAAGGGGTAGCTTTCACATCACATGCACCCGCCCCTCTCCGCGTGAGGGCTGTCCGCAAACCAGCGCGTCCCCATTTGGGTCTGCCACAGCCTGCGATGCCTCGCCCATCGATCGTGAAATGACACAGAAAAACAAACATGGCATATGCATGAAGACAAAACAAGTATGGAGATACAGTACAGGAATCACAGGTACAACCCTTCTGGTGTTCCCTCGTTCTTCCGATACAGCACCTGCGACAGACCGTCAATAACGGCGACACCAGCAGAACCAACCCGATACGTACCTTCTCCCTCGCAGCTGTGAAATCCGCCTTGTTCACCCGCATGCGTCGCTCTCTCAGAGCTAGCAAGCCAGCTTCTGTACAGACAGCCTTGATGTCGGCCCCCGACAAGTCGTCCTTTGCTGTGATATAGTCCTCCAGATCGACATCTTCAGCCAGGCTCATTCGTGACGTATGCAGTCTGAAATATACCAGTCAGCCGACGATCTTCACACCTCTTGGCAGAAGGACGCACTTAAAGATATGCCGTTTGGTTTTGATGTCGGGCAAAGGGAACTCGATTTTTCGGTCGATACGCCCTGGCCGAATGAGGGCAGGATCGAGCGATTCAATCCTGTTCGTAGCCATGATGACCTTCACGTCTCCCCGAGTGTCGAAACCATCCAGCTGGTTGAGCAGCTCCAACATCGTCCGCTGGATCTCCCGTTCACCGCCTGACGTTGATTCATATCTGCACCAGTAATTAACAACCTCCAGGATTGTGGGGCAATCGCAAGCAGCTCACCGTTTCGTACCAATAGCATCAATCTCATCAATAAACACAATACTTGGCGCATGCTCTTCCGCCACTCTAAAGAGCTCCCGCACAAGCTTCGGACCATCGCCGAGGTACTTCTGGATGAGTTCGGACCCGACGACGCGTAGGAAAGTGGCGGACGTTTGATTTGCCACAGCCTTGGCAAGAAGTGTCTTTCCTGTGCCCGGAACCCCGTACAGAATGACACCCTTCGGTGGCTTGATGCCCATCTCCTCGTACAGCTCTGGATGTGTTAGAGGCAATTCCACCGATTCCTGAAAAGAGGTGAGTCACGTACTGTAATTCGAAATTAAACTTACATACCTTGATCTCCTGAATTTGTTGCTCAAGACCACCAATGTCCGCATAACTCTCTGTCGGTGCCTTGTCGAGCTTCATTACACTGACCATAGGGTCCGTGTCATCCTGGAGGACACCGATGATTGCCTGGTTCTTGTGGTGTAGAAGGACCTGGCACCCAGGTTCCAGGAGGTCCTTGTCGACGAAGCTCATGATGGAGACATAGTATTCTGGTCCTGACGCTGTGCTGATGATAGCATGGTCGTCGTCAATGATTTCTTCCAGCGTGCCCACCGCCATGGGACTTCCCCGCAGGTCGTCCACCTTCCCCCTGTCCTCTTCATTCTTGTCCTCCCTCGTCGCATCTGGCCTCAGCCGCTCCTGGTTCTGGATGAACTCTTCCTCCATAAGCAGGTAGTCCTTGATGCGCTCCATCTTTAGAAGCCGCAAGCGACAGCGGGTGGTCGGGAAGACGGCGGGTAGTTTAGAGGAAGCGTCCGGGCCACGCTTTCTCTTCTTCTTCCCGACGCGAGTGGGCAGGGGAGGCTCCCACTTCTTCTTCTGGTCCTGTGGGTTCTTCTTGTCGCGGTTGGCATCATCGCCCTGGCCAGGGCCTCCCGCACCGGGCAGACCAGACGCTGCATTTCCCTGTTGCATCACTTTTAGCAGAACATAGAGCAGAAACAAAGAGTTCGGACATACCATGATGGCGAGATGCTAGACAGGTGTTACGAAGGTAGAATAGAGGAACTCGACGGTTAAGGCGAGGTGGTTAAGGTGGTTAAGGTGAGGTGCGCTGAGCTCAGCTCAATGCGAGACGCGACGCGTCAGTGTCCATAGTCGGCTACGTGGGAATTATCACGTGCGTGGCGTAGACGCTTGCTCGAAGAGCGCGTACTCCGGCCACGAACTCAACTCGGGAACTGCTCAGATCATACTGCTATGAGCAACATACAGCACTTTGACGGCAACGACGTTGCCACGCCCATCACGTCGACTTCACAATTTATTCAAGCAGGTCCGTAACGAGGAAGTAACCGGAAACTCGGTGACTGAGGCTGCGCGTCCACTTCGCAGACGATGATGACGACTTGGATGAGGACATACCCGCATTCACGCACCCTTCGCTCGGCACACCGCAGTCTGCTGTAGACAAGGGCAAGGGACGCGAACCAGAACGGCTCGGGTCGACTTCGGGCGCGTACGCCGCTAGCCCGGTGTCTGGTAACATTGGGAGCACAACGAATGGCGGTCCGCGATCTGCACGGAGTACCGTCGGTGGCGTGCAGGTCGAGATGAGGTACGTGGTGCTGTTAGGTTTCTATGTCGTGATCATGAATGGCTGTCGTAGGTACACAGGCATAGACACGCTGGACGAGCCGATCTCCACTACAATTGTTAGTATTTGCGCGAATCGCGATTGTTACGGGGCTGATGGCGCGCACACAGGGCCGTGATCTGCTCTCCATCTACACGAAACTGGTGCATGTGTTGTACCCCCCAAAAGCTGGAGGACGAGAAGTCTTAAGGCGAGAGCTGTCCGTGATGTGATGTTGCGCTTCGATGCTCACACCCGTACAGAGACTGGGATCTGTGGGGTCCCCTGGTCATATGCCTGACGTTAGGCATTCTACTAAGTATCCGGGTAGGACATTGAATTTCGTCCGCATACACTGCGTTCTCTGACAAATTATACAGGCATCTGCTTTGCAATCACTTTCTATTTTCACCAGTGTTGTATGTCTCATGACATTCGGATCGCTAATAGTGACTGTACAAGCCAAAGTATGTGTCATCCATCTCTTCCTTGTGCAATCTTACAGAAAGAACTGGTTAGTTGCTCGGTGGCCGAGTGTACGTGGACATTCGCGCTTAGCGCGTTGATTGACGCTGAACTGCCCCTCCCCCCTAGATCCTTCTTCCAGGGACTGTGTGTCTTTGGATATTGTGTTGCGCCATTGAATATCGCTGCGCTGGTGGCGGTGTTTGTGCGTCTAATCTTTGTCCGTGCTCCTCTGACGCTTGCGATGTGGGCATGGTGTGTCTGGGGTAAGTACATATCGGTCCGTTCACCAACGTCGCGTGCTCATTTCAGACGGGGTACCTTTGCAGCGGCAGTCAACTTCCTCGACGGAACAAAATTGGAGAAACAGCGAACTATCCTGGCCGTCTATCCCCTTCTGTGAGTAGAGTTGTGATCGGGTTTGTGAATCGTGCTCACGGGGAGTCCGTGTAGTCTCTTCTATTCAATATTAGCGTGGATGATCGTCATCAAATAGTTGTATCGACCTGCTTGTGCTGTCACTTAATGCATCCTTATCCTCCTCGGTCTCAAAAATTGCATATCGAATCATGCATTTTCTGCATTCGGTTGCAATCTAGCTGTGGCACGCTGCTGTGCCTTCCAGTTGTCAGCAAGACCTCAACAGCGGGCGTACACCGTACGTGCAATTATATTTTGCTCTGTCAGCCAACGGCACGTGGTCCTTGATTGATTGTGCTTGGGGCAAATGCGACGTCACTAATGGCATCGTCCCAACTGGATAATCGCATTTTGACAAAACTCATGCCCTGAGGCCTGAATATCGAACTTTGTCACACCTAATGAGCTCGAGCTTATTGGCTACCCTTGTGAATCCCGTGAGTATTATTGTCTCTCTCTACATAGACGTTACTGCTGTGTATACAGTATCATGTTTGACGAATCAGTAATGCGATATTACAAGATCCCCGCTCACACCGTCGAGATACTTGTGCCCATTTTCGTTACACCATCGATCCCCTGCGATGCATTTTGTCGGTACATAGTATTGCAGCAACCGCGATCTTCTTGCGGCCCAATCAGCCACCATGCAGTCGATGGTGCAGTGGGAAAAGACCCATTCACGGAAAATCCCTGCTAAAAGGAGAGAATCGCTTCAACTTTCCCGCCTCCAGTGACAGCGCTCTATTGTCCCTTCTATCCCGACTCCCATAGGAGTTCACCCCGCTACTTCCGCTACACGACATCAGAACTGATCACTTTCTTATCTTCCGTCTCCTCCGCAGTGGCGGTCGCCGGACTCGCAGTCCCGGTCGAGGGCTCGGGGCCGCCCAAAGCCGGCGACGGCCTTGCGACGGGCGGTATCGCAGGGGCGATCCAGAACATGGGATATCTCCTCTGGATGTTGTTAACCAGGAGCGCTACGGCTAAGACAAGCATGCTCGACAGGAGCACGACCGGCAAATAGTACCAGCTCAGCTCCCAGATATCGTCGTTGAGCGCGGGAAGCAAGGCCGTTGCGCCAGCGGGCGGGTGCGTCGTGCCTGTGATTTGCATTGCGACGATGGCGACTGACGTAGAGAGGGAGGCAGCGAGCCAGCGGAGAGACTCGAAGTGCGAGGAGAGGGAGAAGAGCTTGGTGATGCAGAGGCCGAGGAGGGCGGAAATGAAGTGGCCAAAGACGAGTGCCCGTGGCTGGGAGAGCGGCGCTTCGATTGCCCCGAAACAAAGCACGGCGGAGGCACCCTTTGAAGGAGGTCAGCCAACAAGGTCCACGTACGAAGAGAGAGAAAACATGACGCACGTATGAAGCGACCATAGAGGGCATACCGGGCCGCTTGACGAAGTAGTGCGCATGACCAAAGACGGCCTGCAAGACGCACAGGCCGCAGAACGCGGCGATGAAGGACCAGAACCAGATGAGGTAGTCGGGCAGCTTGAGTGGTGGGCTGGCGCGGTATCCGAGCCAGCGCGTGAGCCACGGCGGGTATCGAGCGAGACGGTGAGGTGGCATGGCTTGCGATGCTCACTACGCAGCGGCGCGGTGCAGAGCGAGTGGAGGACGGAGCGGAGGGCGTGGAATGCTGCAGGTTCAGCAGGAGACTTGCATCGTCGGACGGAAGCCACTGTTTATATGTTCCATGGTGCCCTTTACGCGCAGGTTACGCATGATCGGATCTTGTTCACCCTGCCACAGAGTAAGCACTTGAGCGCTTGAGCCAAAAGCTTTGAACGCCGGCACCGAGCGGCTCGGGCATGGCACGTGCGTTCAGCTGCTTTGATTATAATGCAGAGGCATACAGAGGATCAAGTACTGCAGTAGAACTCTTTGCACTGCCATAATCAGCCTCTGGTCGCAATATTGCTGCAGTCGCCCGTATTGTGTTAACGCTCGAGAGTCGACACGCGGGGCGCCCAAGAAGATTCAGAAGATCGATGCTGCCGCGAAGTACTGTCATTGCATTGGCGCGCTCCGACGAACAAGGGTAGCTTGGTCAATATTGTGTCGACACTCGATTCACACGCGAGGCACTCAAGAAGATATAGAAGGTCGATGGTGCCGCGAATTGCATTGCGGCATTGGCAGCTCCTCGGACGAACAAGATTAGCTCGAATATGGTACGTGGGTGACTCGGGTGCATCTGGCACGATTCTGTGTGATTCCTCCTGAATCCAAGCGGCGTCAATATCATCTACCCAGCGAGATCGCAAATTTGTAGTCTCGTACCCAGGCCTCTGTACTCACACCCCGCCACCGCAGAAAAGAGGTGTGGGGCAGTCTGATAGGGACACCCCCTTCCGCTAAGCGCCCTCTAAATGCCCAAATGTCACGGCTGCAGAGTGCTTCTTGGAGAGACATATGTGCCTATACTGACGTGTGAGCAGCTATCAGAGGAAAGGAATCAATCAATAAGTACCTGAACAGTTTCGTCTGTGGTAGCTGTTGACGAGGCTCGGATTTCGTGGTCTTTGCCAACAGTGATGAAAACACATAGAATTTATATAGATTCCATAGTAGAGAACAGAGCACGGTCTCTCGTAGCCTTGAACATCTTCATGATTCAGACAATTCCGACGACGATTCTAAGCCTACCCGCTGTTCCAAAAGCAACACGTCTCCGTCGCTGCAAGGTTACACCACAGCTTCCACCTTTAGATCACTCGCAGTATCTCCAGAAAGGTCGAGAACCCGGCAAGACATGTCAATCATTTCATGAGATTCCGGATCAACAACCACCTGCAAGGTATGAGCTTTTAGCGATGTATTCCCGTGGCGATCACTTTGCATGCATACCTGCGTCGTTGAGCTATTGGCATCTCTAAACACCAGGCGATTGGAATCCTGATAATTTCAATGATGTAATTACTCGATTTAGCCAGTGACGAGCTTGACGCGAAGACTTACCATCGGTGGAGGTGCCACCTGAAATGTTGAGTCAGGCGCCGTCAACACCGTGGACAACATGTCCCGTGAATTCAGGCTAGACATCATTGAGTTGCTGTACCTATCGCATTTCGAAGTTATAGTCAGTATATATGCCTTATATAGCTAAAATCAGGTACGTACAACTTGCACAACGTATAAACAAAAGCTAATACAGCATTCAGCACGATCAAAGTCGTAACACGTAGTCAACTAGAGCTCACCAAGGTGCAAACCGCCGCTCTGAGGAAGACGTTAGCTCTATCACATGTAAGGATGAATGCTAAACATCTCACGTCAATGAAGAATACAATGACGGCGGTCAAGGCGAAGCTTGAAGTAAGTACACCATTAGACATGGTGACTGCCATAAAGTCAAGTTTGTTGTTTTATCACATGTTCGAAACCGCTCACGCTGTATAATCCTAGTGATCAATGTATCTGTACGACGCAGGCCCGTGCGACGGGTGTGCTGTATGTTTAAGCATTTAGAAACCCTGGCTCTTTGCAGGAGGTAGGAACGGACCAGGTGATAGATTAGTGAGACGCAAATCGTGATGTCGGCGCAAGCAGCCGAAGCCAACCAAGTACTGACAAATTGCTGTAGGAATTGTGAATAATATTCCTCGTTTAGTACTCGCGGTCTCACCTTGTAATGGTTTAAGTCTGTAATCTCAGGTCTAAATGCGATGCCAATTGACATTCCGAGCGCCATCACTATGGAGGACAATCAAATTCCAGTAGGAAGAACACAGTTAGAGAACGACTCACAGCATGAAATCACAGACAAAGCGACAATGAGCCCCACAAGCCATTTCTTCCCCGTCAGCTGGCGAATGCGCCACGCATAGAATAGCTGAACTTGAAGCCCGATAATCCCCTTGCACATAGTGAGCCATGTGGTTATTTCCTGGATTGCCGCAGTCAGATACATACCGCCATAGCCTCTTCTAAAGGATCCTTCAGATAAGACCTAGGAATTAAGCGAAACATGCATGGAATTTCCCTGTTTCAAACACTGCAATAATATCGCAGAAAATTCAGCTATTTAGGCAAATTGTAAACCAAGCGTTTACTCACGCCAGTTGGCTAATTCGACTGCCTTGAGGCTTCCTAATATAAAGCGAAGGACCATGAGCATTGCTATATGAGCACAATATGAATTGCCCCACGAACCAAAGTGATTAATGAGCACGTTGTAGATAAACCACATACTGAAGACGGAATTCACAGTGTCGGAGAGAAACAGGATTCCGACCTGACAGCGTGTCAATGATGAATATCAGAAGACATAGTTCATTCTGACATAATATTTCATCCATTTGGAGTCGCTGGAGTTCGAATTGTCAGCGTAGAAAGTCATATCAAATGAATGATAGTGACAGACCGTCCATAGGTCGAGTAGTAATATAACGTCTGGGTAATCATTACTCCATACAACCTGCAGAATCACGTCGGTAAATAAAGTCTTGTCATAGGAGAATGACGCACATAGTATTCATGAAGATGCCCGCCAGTGGTGGGCCATCTCTATCGGTCCGCAGCAGCAATGAGAATAACTAAAACGTGCTGAGAATTGTAGTACGTACATGTACTTCGCAAGCTCAACCGCTTCTGGGGAGCAAGACATTTTTCTATGTCCTTGAAAAAATACAGTTGCGTAGGTACGATGGTCGAATGAGCATGTACTTTGTTTCGTGACTCTACATTTATAGGCGAGTTGTTGTTCGGGATCACCCCAATTCCCTCATTGCGCTGTTAGCATCGATAGTATCGGTGCCTAGTTGTATTACAAATCACCGCACTCACCGGTATCTGGTACTGCTACAGTGCACTTCAAGACGATTGAAGTCAGTCGGAAGTTGATAATTTATCACATTACAGGAGCAGTATGGAGATGATGGGATTTCGAAGGTCACTGGCAGACTGGCGCTGAGCCCCGGTTTCAGCGCTCTGCCAGAAGCGGAAAGCAGTTGCGCGCTAGCCATTTAAGTTCCGGTTCTATCATGCAACTTCGAGGAACGCGCCCATTTCGCAAAGCACGCGGATTGGACGAGCAGAGCCGTCGATGTATTGTTGCAACCTGCCAGTAGGATTTTCAGCATTCAGCGCTCACTGGCTAACGTCCAACTGTCAATGTTTAGGCCTTGGCGACGCAGGCGGCTAACTATCATGCCTCCCGACGAGCAAGATGGACTTCACACAAGAGCTTAAGCCTTACATCATGAGATCAGCCTTCGTGCAATCAAGACATCTCATATCAGGAAAAAGACACCCAAAGTCTGTAAATTCGCTGACAACCCGGCTCTTGTGTCGACCCCATCGTTGAGATGAACTATTCTGTATCAGATGCAGGATGCTATGAAATGAAGGATAATATGACCACAAATTGATGCGGTCAGGATATCAGACAAAACGCGGCGCGTGTCCTTGACGGTCGTGCATACGCGAATCGCGCAATGATGGTGAATACAGACCCGATGACGAGCACAACCTGGTCACGGTAGGCACACAGTATGCCCGACACAGAAGGACCACGAATGCCGCTGAACACGGTCGGCCGGTACCACCAATCGTCGCTTCCCAGCAGTGCACTGTTGATCGGCGTGCCTGTGAGGAACGCGAACGACGCCATGAAGTATGCTGCACCAAGACAGACGCTGCTCGCAGTAGAGTGACATGATCAGCAGCGCAGGTTTGAAGTTACTCGTTATACGAACCCGACTTCATCTACGCTCTTTGCCAGCGATGCGAGTGCCGCGGCGGACAGTAAGAGGTCTACGAACATGGATCAGCGCACGCACAGCAGACATCGGGAGCACGCACAGAAGCAGCTGAAGAACCGTAGAGGATCGCAAAGATGATGACCGACCCAGTATGCGTCACGCCGAACATCGCGAACACGAGTACGCCGATGATGAGGATGACAGGCACAGCACGATTCCAATATCGTCCGCGAGTGTGTTCAGCACGACCCGCCCGAGATCGAGCCCGCGTTCAGGATCGCGATCTGTCCCAGCCAGTGGTGCGACATGGAATTTGGATGGGAGCGGCATGAACGGTGAAGAATGCGAGGTTCTCGGATAGCCCATGGAGGCTCACCCATAGTTGGAGGTAGAAGTCTGCAAGGCGGTGTCAATGGAGCACAGCGCACAGAATGCGTGAGGACAGACATAGATAGTACAGTCCCCAAAATGTCAGGCGGACACGCACGCACGCACGCCACGATCTGGAATGTCTACTAGTGGCAGCGCAGGACTCTGGAGAATGACCTGCAGTGCGTGTTGAATGTTGATGTCCCGGATGTCTCCCTTCGGCGGCTCCGAGTCTGCCGCGATTTCTTGCAGCTGATTCTCCTCCACCGCGGACATGATGGGCAGGGATAGTAGGAAATGCTCTTTATTCTTCTCATGTGAAGTCGGAGAGCGCAGGCGTAAGGCAATTGCGCCTTCCGCAGCACCAGACTGCAGAGCGGCGAGGGCTGAGCACACGTTGACAGATGACAGCTGAAGAGCCGCACGCACGGATTGCACGAAGATGACAGCATCTGCTGGATTAATGCTTGCAATCCGCCGTGCTGCGCGGAGCAGGGGCAGATCAACCAAGTGTCATCAAGAGCGTCAGGACCAAGTACCCGCCGGGTTATCCGATCCAGGCTTCCCTGTATATAAGTCAACTACTTCCAATACTTCTAGGGCAGAAGCAATTAGCGGACAAGCGAACAGCGCTACTCGCAGAAGATAAAGCGCCCGCTCGTGTCAGTTTCAGTGATAGAAGCTGCATTCTATCCCGATCCCGTCACGGGGAACTTAACCAGAATACCTCTTAAATACAAACCGTGTGATTGACCAATGATCAGGTATGCATTGCGAAGCAGTGACTTGAGTCGGCTCGATGCTCGACCCGGTCCCCGGAGATGAGGGACATCGTCAATCATCACATCCGAAACAAGACCTGAGCTGAGATCACCGGTGGTGCGCGACTCGAACCAGGAGAAGCTGTGGTTGAATGAATTGTCAAACCGTTACGATCCAGTTGCTTCCTTCGTTCCTCATAGTATGGTGCACGACAACGGATACCGCGGTTTTAGGGTTCCTGAGGGCGCATGGGTGGAAGCGAACACATTGTGTAATTCTCTTTTCGTGGCTGTCTCAGCAGTACGTGCTCGATTGTGATGAGCGCTTGTAGGGCGTACCGCGCGATTTTGAGATATGACAATGAACAGTGTGGACGCTCCTAGCATCACGCCAGGGCAATGACTGAGCTTGATTTATCGTCATGCAGTGGGCGATAACCGGCACAGGACAAAACTCACCACCGGCCCAGCCGAATGAGAACCCACCCGTATCCCGCTGACGTGTGTTCTTCCCATTTTTGAACCGCTAGACGAGTGGGACAAGAGCACACGGACAATACAGTGTACGTTGTGTCATCATCTTTCTGATTTGGTGGTGACATCCAGATACCCGAAGACGTTTGAATGTAGAATTCTCCCGCGTTGCGCCAAGTCTATTGCAATACTTCTGAATTAGATGGCCCTCGTTCGATGTGTTAGTTTCCCCATTGAATATG